GGCTAAGGCCTGAGGCCCCACATTGCATCCAATTACTACCAGGGCCTGACCACTGGCCACCAGGTGCTGGTGTTCTTCGCCACCCACCATCGCTGCGTCACCGTCACTGAGCCTGGACCTTTAGCATCTAACCTTATACAACATCAGTGTTAGTGAGCGATCCATATGTTCAGGCTTTTAGCTTTCGATGGACCAGTGAAAGTGAGTGATCCCTTCGTTACCCACTACTTGAAAAATTATTGACATAATAGGCCTACCTCATTTCAAATACTATAGGCCAAGTAATTTTTAATTTGTCTTTATTTTAAAGCATTTACTTTGTTATTATTACAATTCAGACTGGGGCTGCTTTAGGTCGAGTTCCTATTGTTGGGTGATTGTGAATGTAATCCTATTTTGCGCTGTTATCCGACACTTACAATGTTTGTCTTAGCCTCAGCTCTTCAAGTGGTAGTTTTGGCAATACCAGGAATACGTTAATTAAACCATGGAGTGAGCACTTCCCCCCTTTACTCCACTCCCAGCGCCTTCTATTCACAAACTATTTGTATAGCAGTTAAATCTGACTGTCCACAAGTCGATAGACAGCATTTGCGTCACTGTCCCTTGTTGTCTATCAGTGTTTTCTGAAATAGCCTCGTATCGCTAGAAGTTCAGATACTTACTAAGGCTTGGCTTGATTTTTGATCAGGATCTTGCAACGCCTGTGCCCAGAGGTTGCCTTCCATTGTTTCTCCGCTGCCCACTTTTTTATTCTTTCCCCGACAAGTACCAAAGACTGGTCCCGCTCCATAAAAGAATGCCAAAAGCATCCTATTGCACCACCTCCAAGCATCTACATTAGTGGGAGTTTGGCAAAAATCTACCATAGCCTCTGATAGGACTGACGTTTGAGCTGGTTCACAGACGGTATAGCCAGATCTTGGCCAACTCGGAATAATTATCTCTATCCCAGTCTGTTCCTTTTAGCTTAGGCTGTAAAAAAATAGTAGTAGCCTACTCTATCGACATGAAACGTTTGCCTAATGTCCAAAACCATTTGTCATGGCCTGTTCTGTCATTAGAGAATGGCCACACGTTAGTTGTTTTTCAGATTTTTGTGATTTAAAGTTAATATGCCGATATTCTTGTCCCCTAAAGGATAAGGAGGCTGAGAGAAGGCAGTCTCCTGCAGTACTTCATGGACCATAGTAGGCGTGAATACCCCCGCCACAGCAATCCTGCAGACTAAGCGACTAAGAGTTGTAACGTTCCAAATTCGTCCTCAACGCATATTGCGAGTGGATGTGATGATCACTTGTTTAAGGTAGGTAAGCTAATATAGTTATTGGCATTGTTGTAATTATATATTCCGAGTCTGAGCCAATAAACTCGAAACGACAATTAATTAACGCACACGTTAGAATCCTGGACTATCTCATTGTAGGCTAGGCTATCTGGACAAATTTTAAAGGTGTGACTAATTTCAGGCGAGACAACAATTACTTACTTTAAAATCTAATTTTATCTCTCTACCCGAAATTTCGTCATAGAGTCCCTAGGTTTTGTGCTACAGGGAGGGTATTTTTATACCATAAATCCCCCCATAAAACCCCATTCCCATGGTCCGATCATGCTGGTTTGCGAACTCGTTCGAATAAATGTAGGTTTACACATGTATATATATGACATGCAATGTTTTATATATATATATATATTATTAATTTGAACGGATGATGTTTTTGGTCTTTGGGGACATCAAAACGAAAAAGTAAATCAGTCCCGGGTCCAGGTCTTACCATGAGCCCTACGGTAATAGCATATTCACTATATGGGAAATTCGCTAAAAGCACCTTGTTCTGCTGGGTAAATTTTTAGTAGACTTGTTGTTTGTCAAGGTTGCCTGTGAACAAACAACTTCAAGTCACCCATATATATATCTTAATATATATCATAATATATATCTTATATTTCTCATAGGTATATATATATATATATATTTGTCTTGCTACCCCCACATACAGCCTGAGTGATTGGTGCATGGCTTGAACCCCAATTTCATCTCTGTATTATTATGTGGTAGAGAAATCTATACTCACAGTCAGTTTCAAGGAGCAAGACCAAGGTTCTTGAAAAAGCCTAACCCTTTTGTTTCTACATGTGTATGGAATTATACCAGTTTTTAAAGGTTTAATACTGAACCCTCCTTGCAACACCATCATGTCCCAAAAAGTCTTAGACCATGATTCACAGAGCTATTTTAGTGGAACTGAACCAAGGCCCCATTAGAAAAACAGGCCATGCTGCAGTGCGGGCAGCGCAACACTACTTTACATTGGTGGATAGTTGTACTGAAGTTGCCAGACGTTTACAGCCATCTTATTTACCTAAAACATATGGGATAAGGCAGTGAATCTATCCATAAGTGTGTCATGGATCCTACAGCATGGCCTGTTTTTCTAGTGGGGCCTTGCCTGGGCCCAGGTGTGCAGGAGAGGTTAGGTTTGTAAGGGGCACAAGAAAGAGAAAAATTCCTCTGCAACGAGGGGGAGGGGACGTAATTATTTTTGGGCCCTTAGAGTGTCACATGCAAACTAAAACAGTATAAGTATAAGTTGTATGCTGATGATTCACACTGTAACAATTTCAGGAACCTTTCCTGAACAAACTATATCTGTAATCCTCATGGTCCAGAATGTGGTAAGGATTCTGATCCAGAGTAGCAAGCAAGAAATCCACCACATGAATTCACAAGGGTGGATACATATACAGGGCTGGCTTGCCCTGAAGAGGTCAGATCGAGTATAGCATATACAATCTTCTGGTTCCTTTTAAAGCAGGGCTGGAAACATACAGTCTTCAGCTGGAGACCTGCATGTTTTAAATAGCATTCATAGGAAATATGCCTTGCTATAGTTCAGCCATCCCATGAACTCAGTCATCTTGGCTCAAGGCCAAGAATGAAAGGATCTGCACATAGAGCCTCGAGGGGCTAATGAATCAACAAAGTTACCTTATTATGAGTAGTCACTTTATTATGAATTGAGGTTTAACCTCAATAATATACTATGAATTGAGGAATTGGGGTTTAATTAAGGTACCCTTTAGAATATCCTCCATCTGATACTGTCACAGGAACCTTCCTGAGCACTAGGCAAGCTTTAATGTTTGCAGCTTTGAATAATCAACCATCATTTTGTAAATGAGGGTTGGATCATAGGTAATCTCCTGCTACTTATAACTTTCCAGATAGAGAAATCAAATATTGTATTTTGTTTTGCATAAATTGCTATTACTTTTTAAGATTTGAGGTGTTTTGTTGTTTTCCTCAGTGATGCTTTGTGTTTGTACCAAAAGTCTCTGATAAATAATAACCAGCATGACATATTTCCAAAGTGTACAACTGGACACCAACTGATATTGTCTCAGCCAGTTATCTTCTGATTTGTACATAAAAGGATTGCTCCATCCCTATCAAAGTCAGTTTCACATATCTGATCAAATCTCCATCTTCTAGTTTTCCAGTGGAAACTTTCAAGGATCATAAAACACAAAGTCAATGTTCCAGTAAACAAATTCCAGCAAACTTGACTGGCAGTATCTCCCATGTGTTGTTGTGAATGAGTCTTTGAACAAGTTACCCTCCTCCACCTCACAATTGTTGCAATCAAAGATTTACAGGGCAGATTCCCTTTTGGGTTACTTGCACTCTAAGGATCTCTATTGTGACCAGGTTTGCTAAAGACTGCCTAGATTGTTAATTTTACTTCCGTTTCAGTATAAAAGTTATAAACAGGATCGATGGTCTACCCGTGAAGAACCTTGCATGCCCATATCAGGCTGATTACTCCAGGGGGCCCCGCAAAGACTCAATTTATCTTGGCGCTATTTCTCTAGCACAACTTAATTTGACAGTCATTATTTTATAGGATGGCCAATGGGCCGCTAAGAACATCTCTAGACTATAGTCAGCCACTTTGATAATCCTTCATCAAACATTTAATTTCTTCAGTTTTGATTCCCAGAAAAAATTTCTTGAAATTTTTTTATAAATGTTAGCACTATTATTAAGGACTATTCGCAAACGAAATTGAAGAAATCTTGGGTACTTAGATATTATTTTATCGTCCTCACACGGTTTGACCCCAGTTGTAAGACTCCAGTGGTTTAACTCCTTCAGCAAAGGCCGTGTAACACCACTGGAGTTAGCCAAACGAGAAAAAAAACTAGGAAGTAAAAGACTTCATTCAAAGGAAAGAGAAGAAAAAGATTGATTATTGATGGATGAATCAAGCTAGGACAGCAAAAGAGAAGGGAACTTGTGTTTGCCTAAGGTACCCCTGAGTCCAGCTCAATTAAGTTAAAAACCTAAGTTGTTTATTACCTAAATCACGATCATTCTTAAACCTGGATCAATTATTACTAGCATGTTAATCAAAGATGATCCTGTAAAGTTTTTGAAACTTGAAAAGAGTTTCAAACTCAGTTTAAGGTCCAACCAAAAGCGCATGTACTCAGAAAAAGAACATGGACTTGACATTTAACTTTTGGGAAGGGTCGTGATGTAAAAATAAAGTTGCATGATACATAATCTTCCTCAGGGAGAGCTGATGATAAGGCAAAGCCAAATAATCCAGACTCTGCATTGAGAACAACAATTGTTGTAACTTAATTATGAAAAATTATCCTCAGTATACTGAGTGGCAATTAAAAAATTGATGAAACATGTTGTCCCACAATTTATTGAGAGTTAAAACAGTGTTTGTTACAGTAAAATACGTAACAGCTATACACAGTTATAACACAAATAACATAGTGATGTTTCAAACATATATTTATCATCTTTTAAAATAAACTTTGCAAGTAACCATGAACATAGAGAAATTATTAACACAAATAAACTGACTGCAACAATTTTTTTTTCAAACATAAAACTATAAAAAATAGTCAATACTAATTACTGTTATAATATTATTACAGAACATTTTTTTTGCAACTACTGAGACGTAGAGAAAAAAGATTTAAAAGATATTTAGATAATTTATAAACTTTTCCTCAGTTTTATTTCAAACAATAAACATTTATAAGAAATTTGTATTATGAACGATATGTAAAGTGCCTAAATATATGTTTATTACTATGGTATAGATTGCTGAATTTATTTAAATACACTGTAATACAAATTTTTCTAGCTTAACAATTAGATTACTATTGCATTTTTATAAACTTGATGATTCTAATTCCATAAAATGAAAATTGGGTGTTTTTCATTTCAATTAATAAGAATGTGATTTTATCAATAAAAACATTTACTCATTAAAATTTTAATATAAAGAAACTTTTATTAAATTTGTCTGATATTAAACTTATATTATTCTTAGGAATTTAGTATCACGAATTAAGTAAGAATTTGAGTCATGTAGGCTAAATTACCTGTATCAGTACAAGACCCTTTAACAATGTCAGTATACCGGCATTTATTATATATTTTCCAGAAAATATAGTATATGTTAGAAAAACAGATACTTTGATGACGTTAAATTAAACGATGACATTTTAGAATTTGTTACTGACTAAGTTTTAAAACTTGGAGAATCTACTAAACTCAAAAAATCACATTGTTTTAGCAGTAAGTGTGGTTTTAATTTGACAATATTGTTATTCATACTGTTAAACAACATAATCATGAAGTAAAAAATTAAACAATTATAAAACAGGTAAACAACAAGGGAAGGGTTTTAGGTAAAAGTTAGATCTTTGGTGACATCACAGATAACATTTCCAACAGCATAAAACACTGATAAAATCTTAAAACATCAACCATATATCAATAACACATTGTAGAACATTGTAACAATGTCAAAGTGATGCACTCAGCAAACTTTAATACTGATAGTTATATCGTGGTGACAATCATGTTGATCTAATTTACACACAACAATAAGTTAGAATATTGACTGTAACAATGTCATTGTGTACTACAAACATTGTTAACGTAGACTAGACTATTAAATACATTAAGTATGACTAGTGTTGACATTGACAATGAACGATCATATTTGCAAATAGGTGTAACCAAACTGTTGTATAAATTCGACTCTCATTATTATTGTAAGTTAACGAAGTTTCAAAAAACGATCTTAACTTTAGGAGTGGGTAAGTAACAACAATACAATAAATGTTCAAAGTTAAACTACAAATTATGATTGTTCCAACAAATAACAGTAGGCCAAGGTTAACGGGGTAGTTCAGGTTGAAATATGATTGATGTATATGTATTCCCAGTTTTTAAACACGTTTGGATTCAAAACTTGTTCAAAACATTAGGGATTTAGAACTTTTACAAGAATCTAACTAAAGTGATAAAGATGATTCCCCAAATGTTTGTTTATATTGGGTGTTGATCTCAGTGAGTCTTTTTTTGTTTTCTCCCACTTAACATAGTAAGTATATAGAGAAAGTATTGTTTTCGTCCAAATTTTTGAGTTTGAGTTCTAGGTCCCTCCCCTTAGCCCCAAAGAGTGGTTGTCTGTTGTCTGATTAAGATGAAATTTGGTATGTGGGTACCAATCCATGGTATCTCCAATGCTTTTAAAGGTTTTGGAAATTTAGATCTTTAGATCTTTAATATCTAATGTATATTTAGATTCTTTAATGTTTCCCATAAAATTACCTGGAAAATCAGATTTTTACAAAAATAACTTGAAAGATTTTCATTATAATTTATTATGTTATAGTGGTGTCTTTTTAACCAATGATAAAATTTCACAACCCCCATTACTGTAAAAATTACATTTCAATAGTTATTGCAATTTTTGTGATTTTACCCTTAAAATATCATAGTGAATCCCACCCCTTACACATTGTAAGTGTTTTGACAAGATAATGGGATAAAGAATGTGTCAGTTTGCTGTTATTTTGATTTTCTATGAGTCTGTTTAATTAAAAACCCAACAGAGCAAATGTAAATTTACTTTATCGGTAGGTTTTTATGCTTGTTGCAGTATTTAATATAAATTATTAAATAATAATGAAATGTAGAAAAAATATACCCATACTTTTGTCTTTAAATTCTATCTAGTCTCATTTGATAAAAACATCATGTGAGGCATTAAGATTTTTACAAAAGTACTGAGTTTTTTAGATTACTTCCCCACTCCTAAGAATTAAAGTAGAATTAGAGCTTTTTTCACTTAATGCCTATTTAGAATTAGCATTAGGCACTTGTATATTACATATCCTGTTTGTCAGGTACAAAATGACAAAACAGATCAATGTAATATGTTTTAGAATGTCTAAATCTGATGCTGTCATTCACAAACTTCATACTGCATCATTTTAAATACCGGTACAACAAAATCAGACACTAAAGAATCGATACACAGAACTAATTTTGTATTACCCTTAGGCATACTATTTACGTAGAAAGTTTGATATTTGCTAAAACTAATTATAAAATCCCACTAATTGAAATGAGAAATAAACAAGGTGTTAATTATTATTCTCAGATAAAAAAATCTTTGTTTCTTTTTAAATACTTTCAAAGTCTTCTTAAAACAATAATAGCAGTTTTAATAATTTAAAATGTATTTAGAATCCTTATTGCTTTATTGGATTTAAAGTCAATTTATATTATCTTTTAATGACTACTTCTTCCAACAACACTTTTAGTTCCAAATGTGATGGTTGTTGGCACTTAAAAGCTTGGAAACAACTGAAAATCAGTAAAAAACACAATGTGTGTGCAAAGTTGTGTATAAATAACATATCAAACTCCGAAGAAAAAAAGGAAGTTGTGGTCTATTTGGTCTTAATTATGGACTAGCTATATTGTACATACATGGTAATTGCACACCATTACAATGTTTTATCAACAATCGAATCTAACCCAAAAATTATGTCCAGCAATTTTCTGGTTGTTACTATCACAGAGAGTATTTTTAGTTTGTCATACAGATAAAATCAAAGACGAAACTTAAATTAATAGCTTTTTTACAACAAACAAAATAACAGTAAAATTTATTTACGTGTTGGTTGTAAACAATTAAATCTTATTTTATATTCAAGTTCATTTAAATAATTTATCCGTCTAAAGTCAATGAAACACGTTTCATTACAAATTGCCAACCAAGCTTGCAAACTTATATTTGCAACTTTTAAATTGCAAATTTGACCCACAAAAAATTTAATGAACAAAAATAATAGTTTTTTTAACATGTTATTTTCGTGGGCAAACATGCCCAATGTACCGGTACTTCTAATTATACTTTCAATTCTTTGATTTATAACAGTTCGTCAAAGTTCTACAAAATAGTCAACTTCCTAAAAACCTTGGACTTAATATGACTAATAACTGACTATTAGCCAAAAAATATGCTAACATATCTAATAACAATATATATATTTTCAGTGCCATCTAAGTAAATATGTCTTCTTGTGAATAATGGTTCAACTTGAAAAATCTATTTATGACCTATTACAAAACTTTGAATATACAAAAGATAACGATGTAATTATAATACCGTATAAAACTACTATTAACTATTTAATGAGCTATACATGACTTTCATTATATTTCACCCCACAATTTATGCAAATCGGAAATCTTATGTCAATCTATTTCTTCATCAGTAAAACACTGCTGTTTTTGTTCTACTTAATAAATCGTAAATACCTATTGATTTCACAAGAGTACATAAGGGCCTGACTTTAGATGTAATTCAATTAACATCCAAACCTTAAACACAAAACAAAAGTCCATGTAGTGGGACACAGACTGGTTATAAGAGGCCTCTGCATTTAAAGAATATTAAAAATGGTAAGAATTTCCACGAATAACAAGAAATTAACAATCTTTGTTAATTGTAACTAGAAGATAATCTTTGTTATCTTGACTAGTCTGCCTAGGACAGATGATTTTATTCAGTCAAGATAGTTAACTAAAATTTCCATGACCAATGATTGCAATGTTAAGTTTTGATCATAAAATGGTTTTGAAACATTTAAAAGTTAGTAATAGGCTTTTAAACTAACAAACAAAAACAGAGAAAAGAAATTTTAAGATTAATTAAAATGTAAATACAGCCATGCAGGCACTCTTAATAACCCAATCTGTTGCCCACACATAAACAATAGAACTGTATGAATGCAATCAGTTAGTTATTTGCCAACTAATAGTGTAAATATTTCTTTTGTATAATTGCTGCATCCCAACAAATAACATACAAAGATAACATTTAGTTTACATGACCACTTTTCTCCTGAGCCCAGTCGAAATAAAGCGTATTTTAGTGTCGTATATTCTAGATCTACTAGAACAATCACATATGTAAGAGTACATTTTAAAGCGTATGAATGCAATGTTCCTTGCTCTTTGCCACAGCCTTGAGACGTTAGGATCATTGTGGAGTTCCCTAAGTCACAATATAAAGCGTATTACGAGAATAGCACATGCGGGTGAGGTTCTCCAAAATACATACAAAAACACAGCCTACATTCAAGTTCCATTTATAAATTGGTGTCACTGTACAGTTTAGTATCACATTCAGTACTTTATTTTAGAATAGTACAATGAATATAAAACAGTAATCAAGCTTTTTTCAACCATAGTAGTGTGCTATGGACTGATACTTTAACAGAGGTTTAACACGTTGACTGCTGAAAAGGCTAACTCCAAATATTAAAATTAAAATACAGCAACAATTACCTATTTAGAATCTGTTTTGAAATACCATTGGTGTATTTCATTGTATATGTTTGCAACCTATGATGAGACATCCGAGTGTGACACTGTTTATATTAGATTTATTTATGGATATGTAAAATAGTATAGTCCCAAACTACATGAAATATTAGTAACCACTCTAGTAAAATGTTTTGAGTTGTTTCTTGTTAAAATATTCCTCCACTAAACAAAATCTACAGAATAATCAAATACTTGTACCAAAAAATAGATTTCCACATTCATTGTGACCAAAATAAATTCATATCACTTGGGATATATCCAGATACAGTCGATAACATGAATATGGGAAGGCCCCTAACATTTCACCATGACTGTTTAGTTTTTGAGAAAGAATAGGAGGAAACTTCATCGCTGGTAGCGAACAAATTTGTACCAAAACAAAGCATAAAAAATATCTTAACCGAAACAGGTAAATAAACTGACATAATTACAATTGAGACAAAGTTTAGGTGTGCTGCCAGGCTTCTAGACGCCGTTTGCATCATGCTGAAGAGCCTGTAAAAAGTAATTATGACCCTCTCAGTAATTTCAATTTGGAGATTAACGAGACAATTGTTGTATGAAAAAGTTACAAATGAAAGAAAAATTCACTACGATCGGATGGGTATGTTGAAGTTGGGGACACCTGATGCGTGTTGAGCCCCCAACATCCTATATGGGTGTGTGTCCCGTGGGTGTCCGTAGTGAAAGGTGGAGGGGAGAGCTTGTACTGTCCCCTCTCCTTCAATTTGTATATTTACGAATGTGTGTTCTATTGACGACAGTTTACATCGGAACTGCAGACTGAGTAGAGCATCTAGAGAGAGTGTGAATTTCTGATTACGTCAGAACCGTCCAGTGGCCAGTGGCGAGTAGTAGAATGATTGTTCCGGCCCAGCTTGACTTCTGTGTATTAACACCAGAGCTGTCTCTGATGGAGAACAGCAGTTAGGGGACCGAGGATTCCAGGGTGAAGGTGTCAACACGACACTGCGGAGCCACACGGATATCTTGTCGTATACCACCAGGCCAGTAAGGACGTACGTTAGGACTGATCTAACCTCTACCAAACCCTGAATACGAGCCTGGAGACAATACCTGATAGGAGGACTACGGACCCAGGATCAAAATTGTTAGTTGTAAATTGGAAACCTGCTTCAAAGGATAAAGAAAAGAATGAATGAAGACAAGTGTTAGATTTTCCAGTCTTTCACTTCAATACTGTGAAACATCATTCGACATTAAATCTCTCATACTCCAATACTAGGGACATCAATCAACATGGAACCTTTCATACAAGATTATCATAAGACATGAATCAACATTAAACATCTGATTCTCTAAGATTGTGGGACATGAATCAACGTAAAACCTAACATACTCCAATATTGTGGGACATCAATCAACATGGAACATTTCATGCTCCAAATCTAGAAACATCAATCAACATAGAACCTTTCATACAACATTATCATAAGAGATGAATCAACATTAAACATCAGATTTTTTAAGATTGTGGGACGTATAACAACATAAAACCTGACATACTCCAATATTGTGGGACATGAATCAACATAAAACCTAACATACTCCAATATTGTGGGACATCGTTCGATATGAAACCTCTCATACTCCAATACTAGAAACATCAATCAACATGTAACCTTTCATACAACATTATGAATCAACATTCAACGTTTGATTCTCTGGGATTGTGGGACATGAATTACATAAAACCTGACATATTCCAATGTTGTGGGACATAAGTCAGTATTAAAACTTATACACTCCAATATTTTGGAACATTTATGACATGAAACCCCCCATACTTTAACATTGTGGTACATTATTTAACATTAATCCTTTACACTGCAATAATCAACATAAATCCTGACATACTCCAATGTTATGGGTCATGACTCATGATTCAACATTAAACCTTTTACACTCCAATATTTTGGGACATTAAAAAATCTGAAACCTCCCATACTGTATAATATTATGGCACATCGATTAACATTAAATGTTTACACTCCAATAATCAACATTAAACGATGCGGGACATTTACCATCATCAAATCTGCCGTACTTCAATATCATTGTAAATCAAACGATGCTTATGCAGTCAACGTGTTAAAGGTGCCATTGTCAAGAACATCAACTGTGTATGTTTCAAAAGATTACATCTAGGTTCTCTACAAATCTATGAATCAAATATAGTTTCCTCATGTTATTCATAGAAAAACTTAAGACATGTATGAAACTATTGTATATTACATAAATTTTATAATCTTTTCACTCAATTAGCAACTAATATTTTTACAAGGTAATCAATTTGTGCTATAAAAGTCAACTACAGTAGAATCCTCATATCCTCGGCATAACCGACACCTCGGGATATCTAACCTAGTGTCCGTCCGTCTACTTCTTTCCTTTCATGAGGGAGGCGATCACGCAGAGCGTGTTCAGAACCGAAATTCTGATCATGGATATTGCCGTAATCATGGCAAATGATTAGAGATGTCACGAAGACCTTAATATATGATCACAGGTGTTGCCGCAGTCGCGGGAGACGATTACCAAGTCACAGAGGGCGAAAGTTATGCTCCTCCCGATATCTAACCTTTTGGCTGTTCTGACCATGGCCCGATCACGCCATGGTCTGATATGAGTGGTTCTACTGTATATTTAAGTATGTGTTGGAATATTGCAAGGTTTATTAAAAATCTATTTTAATACATAGGCTACGAGAATGAATGAAAGATTAGGAAATAAAACTAGTAAATTATATACGTTTAACTAAATAAATTTCAAGGAAATATCAAGGTACAGATTAGAATTGACAAATTCCAACGTAGAACAAAACGTTTAGAGAAACAGTAAATGTCACTGATGCACTATAGTACATTATTTTGTAAAGCACAAATAATTGTTTAGAATGAATACTGTATGTGCGTGTATATTTAGAACTGGTACAGTTTGTGCAAAGCTACTCAGCACTTTTTCTTATACAATATGTTCTATATTTTCATTCTTAAGTGCAAAAACTTCTTCAACTTATCAACCGATTTTAATGCATACCTGAAATGCTAGAAAATGTTTTAAATATACTACAAATATTTCCTAAACAACTATTTAATACCAATACTGTAATATTTCACTGTTCTAATATAAAGTCAAAGTCTCAATATGTATCTTAAGGTCATACAGCACTATGCAGTACTATACAGCATGAAAATTTAAACTAATTTTAATTTTTAGAAGGAATGTTTCTTTTTTCCCATACAAACTAAAATATGAACCCCTGAAAAATATTGGCTTGTTGTAAATGATTTAAAGACTTTAATAGTACAGAAGACCCTAAATAAATATCTGTAAAAATTTTATTTAGTATAATCAAAAAACTACTGTGCGATTACATAGATTTGTCCACATAACTCTAGGAAATGCAAACATTTCCAGGTTTATCTAAAACAATTTACGACTTAAATTTCCAAACACATTATTATATGTAAAATTAAATTTGAGGTTCATTTTGATTCCTTACACAAGTGCTTAAGTGGTGTGGTAAGTCTCCTTGTATACGCCATGTTGATCGTATCGACTTACGAGGAACTTCTTGATTTCCGCTTGAAGTTCAGTGTTGGGAACAACGACAGTGGATGACAGAGGTACGTTAGTCATTGGACTGGTGTTGCGGCCGTTGACCATCCATGCTTGGATCGCATGATTCTCATACGTAAAACCATCTGTCACGAAAAAAGAACCAGTTGCATTACGACAAATCTGTTACTACCAATCTCATTGACAATACCACATGCTCTGAACAAAACTATTTTCCAAAGAGTTTGATTGATAGACGATTCCTAGAAATTTAGGAGCAGGATACTCCCTACCATCAGCTTCACCACTTCTTTCCTTTCCCTCCTCCTTCACAGATTGTTTGTCAGAAAACCAGCATTAGTGTAGATCATGTCAATTAGGATGGTGTTTGCAATGAGCAATGAGCAAAAGCAATGAAGCAATGAGGGAAAGGCTCCCAGTATGTAGTTTTAAGAAAAAAAAATTACATACCAATTTTGCTGCTGTTTAAATGTTGATAATTTTTATACTCATGTTAAATAGTTTTTAAGTTAGTTGGAGGCTTGTTACTGTAGCTTTGTTACTGTTAGAGCTAATAATATGGCTGACTCAACATTTATTTAAAAGACAAATTTAAAACAAGGAATGCTGCGGACAATCTTTATATAAGGCTTATGCAGCTTAGTGCAAAAAAGATTTATGTTTATTGCGTTTGAACAAAAAATGGTGATGGAGGAAGGATTCTTGTGTGCATCCGTGTCCTGCTCACTACTATAATTGACATGATACATAACATATTTATTTGGGGAATTCTGTTAAAGACAGCTCAAAACTTCAAATAATGTTTTCTGAGAGATGCAGTTACCAAAGGAGTGATTATCAAAGTTCTGTTTCACATCATACTCCAGTTTTGTAAATATTAACATTAGTTATCTAGTTGCAGCAATCAATATACACACCTAGAATTTCCAAGTTTTACTTTACATCTCAGATCTCAATTAGTTTTAAATTGCATTAACACAGCAAAATGTTAACTTTTGATCTGAAAAATCAGTTGAAGATTGACTAGTTTCTGTACCTTCACAGATGACAGGTTCTGTCATCAGCTGTTGAGTGATTGGGCAGAGGAAATGTTCTGGGATCTCCACTGAGTTACGTTTGGCAGCAGTCACCAAGTCATCCAAACTGAGCTGAACGTCATCTGCCAACCATTCTACATTCATTATTCTCGCCTAACAATCAAAAGGTTGCTGGGTCATTCCTTAGAAAAACAGTTAGTTGCCTTTTGATGGCTTGAAACTGGACCCAGGAGTCTTTGATCATTGGCCTTTAAATAAATGATCCTGGCTAACTAAACAGCTGATCTTAATCAGTAACAAAGCTACGCAGATCATCTCACTTCATTGTAGACATATTTGGGTTGTATTGGGTGTAGACACCTCAATCGGAAATGATAATTAAGGTTGAAGTCATGCTGTAATACGCATTCTTCCTTAACTAGGCTTAGGTATAGGGGTCTCAATCCCGAGGCTTTAATCCGATTCCAAGATTCCACACTCCGTGATGAAATATATATGAGAGAAAATCAAATAACTTCTGCAGGAAAAAGGCTACAAAACAAGGTACTGTAAGTTGAATATAAGAAATATGAAGAGGCTTGTTATTAGATGCTCGCACTAAAGCCAATAACTACATCTTGGCTGTGAGCGGCACCGTAGCAATAAAAGGGGTAATTAATGTGATCTATGTAAATACCTCCTTGACTCCGAGGTCTTATATAAAGGCTGTGTGTTTGGTTAAGTGCGGGTGATGAATACAAGGTATCATACAAGATACAAACATGTCAAGAAATGTCATAAAAACGTCAGCTAATTTGTAAAATAGGGTTAAGACAGAAATTATATTTAGCACCAGATATAAACCCTGATAAGTTTTAAGGTAAATAAAATTTGGAACATAAAGCCTACATATACATCCTATGGAGTGCAAAATGAGGAGATTCGGGTGGAAATATACCACACATTTTGAAGTTTATGTGGAAGTCTGGCAACAGGACTCTTTTTCCTAGAACAATAGACCGAAATATATTTTACATTACTTTAGAGTAGACCAAGGGGCTGCGGCATTATCGCTTTGATAAAATCCATTGGTGATTTAGTGGGATTTTAACCCAGGACCTCAGGGACTGAAGTACCACGCTCTATCACTAGACCAGCTCGCTCCAGATGCACAAGGACTCTTTTCAAACAAACGAGATTTTTTTTGTGTGGTCTAGCAAATAGTCTACATGAAGTCTTTTACATGATTTGTTCATTCAATGCATTACAGTCAGGTCATTTTAAATGGTCCCATACTTAATTAGTAAATACTAAAATTACACTATAAATTATTTTATTAAGAATTTTCACTAAACATCACTCAAGCTCAGATTATAACACTTAGTAACTATTTATGTGAACTTAAAGCAATAACAAAATTAAAAAAAAAATAAAACTTACCAATCCTGAGTGCGTCCAGGTCCAGTGATTCCCCAGGGTTAACCACTCTTTTGGGATTTTGTTCAGTCTTTAACAAAAACCTTGATTGAGTTTCATTTCAAAAATCATAAAAAGAGTTATTAATCAAGATTTTAAAAAAGTAGCAGTGATAAACATCTTGGACTTAAAATGGTTTACAATACCTGTATATAGTAATCCTTTGTTGCTGCTTTTGGCAACTAGTTTCGGTTCTTCTGAACCATCATTAGGCATCAAGGTGTCAAGTAATCACTTCATTCGAAGGTCGTTAACATACAGAGCTACACAACCACAATTATTCAGACATCAAACGTAATATGGAAGTTTTACATTTCTCGCAGGACCATTTAACCAGAAACACATTGGAAGAGTTTGAAATATACAGAGCGGTTAAAGCTGACCATCAAAACGGTTTGAATGATAAACTCTCCTTCCAATCCAACTATATTTACAATACAGGTATTAGGATACTGGAGGGAAACAATGAATATGTGAACACGCACCGGTGATAAGAAGACAAAGACAGACGTCATAGACCACATTGCCGCCAGTCTAGACTTTACCTCAGCCCGGTCATGATCGATTATGTCAATGTCAACGTGTGTCTGTTCCGTGTTATCGTGTTTCGTATATGTTTTAATTATTGAACTCTGTATGTTAACGACCTTCGAATTAAGTGATTACCTGACACCTTGAGGCTTGATGATGGTTCAGACGAACCGAAACTAGTTGCCAAAACAGCGACAAAGAATTACTATATGCAGGTATTGTAAACCATTTTAAGTATAATACAGTAATCAGGAGGCTAAACAATTATTTAAAAACATCTTGGACTTAGGTGCCAGAGGAACAGTGGTGTAAGCGTAAATTTTCCAGTGCAGGAACACTCATCATTGCCTCAGAAGACTTTTGGAAAGAGCTGAGTGGGAACACTATTGCCACACATTCCGACCCCCCCCCCCTCCCCACTACACCACTGGAGAGGAATGGGTTTGATTTCCAAGACATTCAATTGACTTCGGAAGGTTTGTGATGGTCAGGATGGGGAAAGGATCCGGATGAACACTTGTTTACAAGTTTGAAGTAATTTGTAGTGTTTATGAACTAATGAAACTACTCACCAAATCATATTTGTTGTTCAAACATATCACTTTAGGAACTTTCCAGACAATCACAGAAGAATCTAATGAGCCTGAAAACAAATAATCAGTTAGCTGAAATAAAAATAGCAAGACAAATAGAAAAATGCAGAACAAACATAATAACAATTAGCTTAGAAATTGATTATGAAGTGGAAATTAATACATTTTATTTGACTTGTAAAGAGGATTTTTAAGTTCCCTTAATCAGTTAGGTTGCCTGATTCGACTAAATGTTGTTTGTTTTATGTTTGCTAAGTGGAGATGCCTAGTGAGCGACTTTGACTGATAGGAAAAGGCCACTATGATGGCTGTGGCTGTCAAACTGATAACAAGCAGAGAAAGGAGGCAGTGGAACTGGCCAGACAAGCCAAAGAGACAGAAAATGTTGAAATAATAACATCAACTGGTCAAATGAGTTGTGAGGTATAAGAATAATTTGCTTGAAGTTATGGACATATATTATGTTAAAGTTTGTATTAATCATGGAAGAGACCACTTTAGTTTAAACAAAATCAAAATTATTAAAATGGTCCAGGTAAAATATTTTCTAATTATGATTTGTGATCAAATTACAAGTTTCAAATACAAAAGAGTTAAATTTCCAAAACCCGGTGTGCACTAATACAGGGAGACCAGTAATCTGGCAGTCTGAGATTAATTTTTAGTATATTTATGGAAAGTTTTGTCACTGTGTGTATGTCCTGTCCAGTCCAGTATTGTTGCACTTTGCAGTGAAGTTGCTAAGTTATGTCAAGCAAAAAATTGAGCGAGATGCCCTTTCAAGGCAAGCCAAGCCTAAACTAAAAGCTTAAGTGATCATGCACCAATTCAGAAATCTAAGCTCAGCCAAGCTTTTATTGTTGTAATTGCAGACAGCATCTGTGCAAATTGTGCAATTGAAAATTCACTATCTCCGTGATAGGGGGAAATTTTCAAGATTTAACCGTCATCACAGGATATGATAGTGATGTATCCAAGACCAAAGGAGATGTTCACGATTTTGCTGTTATTACTATGTATTCAATGTCGACGTGTTTCCCCCGTTTGCCTCATTGATAACCAGTACCTAATTATGACATGGGGTACAGGTTAATTAGAGTTCACTGTATTGGGACAAATCTACACATATACAGTATTATTGCTATTATTTAAATAATGTTAGAAAAAATAAATTAGTTCCTATTGCTACTCAAGCCTTCACCAAAATTTTAAATGTTAGGATTGCCAAACTTTATTAACTTTTTTCAAGAAGCTGGTGAAAGATTTAACTAGGCATAAATAGTTTATTTATTGATAACTCTATCAATTTAAGTGACAAGTTACAAGTAAAGCTTTAAAAATCACTATAGACACTTTACCTGTGGCAAAGAGCATTGAGTCTGGGGAGAATGCACAGCAAGTGACTTGGCCCTTGTGATGAGTCAGTACATTCAAGCACTGCCCATTTTGCTGTAAACCAAACATACAAGTTCTATATATCTGTGCTGAAGAATCTTTCCTGTTTTTTAATATTTTGTAGCCTTCTTGTAGCAATTTCTTAAGTATATTCAAATTTCTATTTCTTTATTCATTGAGAAGTAAGCATAATACAGCATTTGAATAATGTCAAAGATTACAATTATTAAAATGTAAAATACATATTAAAAAATAAATTATAAATTACAAAATACATCTCCCCATACAGATGCCTTCTTAATGTCTAGTATCTTGAGGGAGGTGGAAAAATTCTTCTTGAGGATAAATGGCCATGTTTATTAAGAAGTTTTTTTGTTTTGTTTTAAACTTTGTTGGCTCTTTTTCATTTCTAATTCCTCTAGGGATATATTTTAAAAAACTTTTACCAGCAAATGATGGTTTTTTTCATAAAACTTAAATCTGTGCCTATTTTGCAAACACAGATTTTTCCTCATTTCATATCGGTGAACCGGTAGACTGGATACATCAGATGAGGTTTTAATTTAAAAAGTTAAAATTGAATCAAATTCTATTCATTTTCTTGTTTACTGAAGTAGTAGTTTCAGCAATATTAGCAGTCTTAAAACACCATGTTTTTTTTTAAATGCTCCATTACATTTAACGGTTTCTTATATGGTTTACTACTATATTAATTTAACTATATACCAAGTCGAATTAAAACTTATTAGTTGGAAATACTAGCTCATAAAAACATAAGTTACAGAAACTGCAGATGGTTATAAGAAAATCTGATGCCTTGTGATGTGTCTTGTAAATGGTTAAACATGATTTCCCATTTTTCTGGAGTGAGATTTGTGACAGAAGCCAACACAATGTGAAAGGCTCCAATTGGTAATCAAAAAATTATGAGAAATACTCATTAAAATGGATGCCTGACAATTCTTTGGCTAGGTTATAGTTGATTTTGATCAATTGATTGAATATGTAATGCAAAGTATATTTATTTACCAAATGCAGCTATAAGAATGCACAACACTTTGGTTATGGTAAAATTATGTAATTTGAGGGATTATAGCAGAAAATTTGTATGAAGGTTGTGAGGACGGCCACACACAGAACCAGGCGGGTCGGGGCGCGACAGGGCAAGACGAGACGCCTGACTTAAGTACTGTCTTGTTGCTGTCACACACAGAATGAGGCAGGGCACGTCAAGTAAAAAGTTTAGCCCCCATAAACCTGAAAATTAATATAGGATTTTTTATTTCTGAGCCTTGAGCCGATTCAGCCAACTTTTAAATTTGACTTTATACTTGGGAGCAGAATAGAAAACAAAATTAAAACAGTCATACCTCCAGAGGTGTGGTTTTTGAAACCCTTAAGATATGAACGTTGGCCCTCTCTTTCCTCAGTTATCAATACCAAGATAAATTATTAATTATTCAACCACTGTAGTAATATCATCACTGTACCACTGTATCAAAGGGTGTAATCTTTGGTTGTACAAATTGTTAGTCTTATATGTAAATTGTATCAGTTGTAAAATAAACCTTATCAAAATTAGCCCGTAAGGGAATAAATCACATGACCGCGCATGCGCAGAATTTCTGCCCGGTAGCGACTTGCCTCAGTGCATAGTTTTGGAGAGCTTCACATTTTGCCCAGCGGGCGCCCAGGGGCGTCTTTTTGACGTGCCCTGCCTCGCTCGGTCCTGTGTGTGGCGCTCCATAAGAGCCCATGCAATTCCCGTCGCACAAGACGCCCCGGGGCAAAATGCCCTGTCGCGCCCCGCCCCGCCCGGTTCTGTGTGTGGCGGCCTCATTAGGCAATATCTTGATCAGACGTGTCCATTGTGTTCTCCTACCATACATTTGTCCTTCTTTCAAACTAATTGTTGTTTTCATTTAGATGTTTTAGTTTTTTTTATTTGTTTACTATAGTTCTGTTTTTCTTTTGTGATTTTTCAGCTTTGGATAGATTCCAAGATTAGATTCCAGATCTCAAAACATTGTGAAAACTTTTACTAATCATGTTTAAAAACAGTCGGTACTAGTTTATTATCGTTAAAATAACAAAATTTAAACAAGTGAACCCACCATATTCCATATTCTGGCTGTACGATCGATGGCCGTAGATGCGAGCACATCAGATGACTTCCCTGAGAAGCGCACTTCAGTAATGCTGCCTCCGTGACCTCGCATACAGAACATCTCCTCGGCTTTGACCACGAGTTCGTCCACAGGCCACAACTTGAACACCTTCACTAGACTGTCGTTGCCTCCTGTTGCCAGCCGATACACCCGAGTTGACATACCTAGGCAGCCACAACAAGATAGATCTTAGCTGAAACTTGAGCCCCAGTGGCTTTCTCCAGGTGGTAAATATTTAAAATTACAGTATTTAACCACTAATAATGCAGTGAAGGTAAATCATCACTACTTTCAAGAATTCCATTTGGACAATATAAAATATTATAACTAGTTAATGAAAACAATAAATTTCACAGTTTTGAAAATTGTCATAGTGATCCCTACCTTACCATCTAGATGGAATTTGTAGACTCTAAAATCAACTATAATAAGTAACGGCTATGAAAACGACACAACTCTATCATCTGAAAATATCTAATCAACCACATTAGAGTTAGAGACCATAACATGATAATGAGTGAGTAGTACATGGAATGTTCATGACGAGGACCCCAGTGGTAGGCCTAATCTAGTGACTGACGAACTGGAAGTGAAATCTGTGAAAACCGCCGTTTTACAATTACGGAACATATAAATACGGCAAATTTAACCTAGGATAGTTGATAGTTTAGGATGGGAGATTTAACTGTCATTTGCCTTACAGTTCGGATTTGGCATTGACTTTCCACGCAGCACTGGTCCCGGCGATGAAGATGTGGCTTGCTACGCAATACTTTGACCAGGCTGAACTTCAATCAGGTATAAATAAACCAATGATGAAACCACAGGAGGCAGATTTATAAGGAGCGGGTATGGAAAAACGTGTTCCACAGTATGATAAATGCCTGAAAGGTGACATGTAGAAAAATAGCCAAGTGTCAACCTTTAGAATGTATATAGTAATTTTTTTTATTTTCACTTTGTAGTTGGTCTATTTCAAAACGCCTGTTACTTTCTGGACAGCCCTCAATTTCCTAAGTCTAGGAACTCCATAGCCGAGTGTCTTCACGACTATGAAATGTTCCTAATATTGTGGACTAAACTAAATGGGCTAATCATGTATACAATGACGTTACCTTTGATTTTAGTGAGAGCTTGTGAGAAGTCGCAGGACATAACACCGAGGTCGTGCACATTCTCTATCAACAGCTGACACAGAGTTACAGCTGGGTTGGCCTTCCACAGCTTCACCTGTCCTGCAGTACACCCTGTAGCTAGATATTCCCCGTCTGGAGAGAACGCTAGGCAGTTGATGGACTCTATGTGACCAGGGTACGAACTGAAATTTGAATTTCAATCTTCATTCATTGAATGGCATTAACTTGTCATTGAACTGAGTTGAAAGCATTATATGATTGTAAACAGCAGATTGTAAAAACTATTTCCTTATATATTTCTACTAATTTTTAAGGACTATAAAAACTAAGTCATGTGATTCCTAAATACAAGTTTAAAAATAACAATCATTTTCATCAATAATTATTTATTAACCAAAAGCCTTTCGGGACTAAAAAATATCTAAGGTAGTTGAAAAATTTGTTAAAAACAAGTCAAATACAAGGTCGGATATACCAAGGAGACGGTTATGCGGGGTTCTAATGTATTTTATATTGTCATTGCTCATCTTGTTCTACCAGTAGCTTTGGATATGAATACACTACCTTGAGAAATACATCCCGCTGGCATGAACGTTGAAGGATGTATTAGATAAATCAGAATGTATTTGAATAGTTAAGACACTAACAGATGATACGTACAAAGAGATAGCTTGAGTTTTAATGGACCACAAGTAGACTTTGCCATCGTTGCTTCCTAGAGCCAACCAATCAGAGGCTGGGGAGAATCTAGCAGCTCGTCCTCCTTGGATACTGAGCTGAAATGGTCTGTTGATCATCTCTCCGGTCTGTCAATAAAAGATTGACATGTTCATTTTTGCTCTAATCGTCTGAATTTTATTATGTCACAGAATACATATACACTGTTTAAGTTTTCAAGGTTCATATTAGGAGAGTTTTTAATTTCATACATAAGATGAATTGCGATTGGTTACTGAAAAAATTAATTTTGTCTTGGTTGTATTAAAATTTTACATTTGCAATCAATATAAAATCAATTATGTACTGACTGGTTAATTAGCATGTTGGTAAATAAATATTAAATTTACTAGTGTTGGTATGGATTGATTTTGACCAGTTACGCCAGTCATCATCAGGCCCAGAGACAACAAAAGTTTTCAAATTAAGAGGTTTATCACAGAAAAATATTGCTTATAAATTTGATCTTTACTGTTTGTTATAAGGGCTTTTGTCGAGATGAAAAAAAGGAAATCCAGTTTTATTTTCACTGTGTGATTTAAATATGGATAACAGAAGTGAAGAAGTTGATTAAAGTTTCAAATATTTCTCACCGCATAGTTCCAGACAATGATGGATCCGTCAATTGAACCAGTAACAAGGTATCTGCCGCATCGGGAAAACTCAACATTTACCACTGAGTAGCTGTGACCTTTCATTGGCTTTGAGCTTTTCTCTTTAAACTCTGTCCCTCTTCGGACAAAAGGCCTCACCATCTTGTCACTGGAAATAAAAAATTAAATAATGATACAACCAGTAAAAATCCTCTGCAGCAAATGCTAGGTCATTGATGCACTGTGACTTCAGTTTTGTTCCAAAACGCTATTGGTTTTTGCTGGTAATAGTTACTAGTTAGTCCACCTGTTTAAGGTCCATTCTGAAATTGAGTGGAATTTTTGTCCCTGAATGTTTTCAACCCAAAAAACTAATTGATATAAACATGATATTTATTTATAAATGAAGCAACAGTGTATTTAAGAGATCCCAATGTTATTTTATTAAAATAATTTGATTTTTAAGAGATAAAATCTGCAAAGTACATGAAATGTAACCACCGTGGAATGTCCCCATCCATGTTTTTTACAACACTGACAAATTATTTTGGTTTATGAAAAAAAGATCATTTATTTATATAACAACTTCTCAATATCAGTAATAAAAGATGTAACCTAGACTTAACACCATCTTAACAGTTTTTACAAAAATATCTAACTAGCTTAATTTAAAGACAAAAGTTGTCCACGGAGTTGGATGTAACCTCCATGGACCATATATAAAAGTATTAAACTGCTCACTGGAGAGCAGCACTGTCCATTGGTGGAGTTTTGAGGAAGGGGGCAGCCTTATTGAGGTTTCTGTTGATTGTTTTCTGCTCATGTGTCCTACTTGCTGTTAATAAACAGGATTTCCATTCTCGCAAGGCGAGTACCTTTTATACTAGTGTGCAACAAATAATGCATGTCATATGCTAAAATTTTAACTTTGGCTTTTTTTTTGGGAGACACCTGTTATCTTTCAGAAAACATAAGCTCTGGATATATGAATCTATAGGTTGGGATTTACAAGTGACTGAACAGAAAAATTTAACCTCCATGGAGGTAACTCCCATGGATAATTACTTTATATAATATAGCATATTATATTATATTCGTTCTTGACCTGAAAGGGTGTATATGTATTTAGTTTGTTATTAGACTTTAAAAATATATTAAAAATAAATATTCTTTTATAAAAAATGTTTTTAAAGTATTGGGCGGAAATTCCACTTAATTTTAGAATGGCCCTTAAGCTATCAAATACTAAATTACAAGCTGTGCTGCATTAGCAATATATAAGTGTTTTTTATTTGTAACATGGAAGATTCTAATTGAACATTCAAGATTGTTTACTCCAACATCTTATTTGCAAAACAATGTTACAAATAAATGTATTACAAAGTATTTCTAAATTAACATATAGATTAAACTTAAAAATTAAAACTTATTTTTATTACATGTTTCAATACATGTTGAAGATTGAAAGTTTTCATCTTGAATCTAGTTCCACAAAAATGGGATTACATAAATGTTACTTTGATTGATTCTCCCTTTACGTAAACGGACAATCCAACCCAACCTGAAGTCAACTCATGAAACCTCATGAAATGAAGGTATCAAAAAGACTATCCATATACAGTTTAGCACAAAATGTATCACAAATAACTGTAAAAAAACATCAAACAATATAAAAATTGCATTCCGAAACCTCAATTTTATAGGCTAGGTTTGAAATAAAATGTCATTGTTTTAACTCACCTACATCCTATGACGAGATCAAAATGTGTATTGAAATCTAATGAGTTAACATTACAGCCCAGTTTTATGTCATCGAATATAGTAAAATATCTCCGTACCATGGCCTTTTCTTCGAGATCATCTTCACTCTGGAACAAAAAATTAAAATAAGACTTACCCTCAATCGTACTATCACTCACCATAACAGCATTATTACAAAAAGGTTTGAATTAATGTATTTGCATAACTAAAAAATTGATTAATTAAAAGTTGTTTCTTATGATGTTTTAAGACTATCTGTCTCAGATGGACTCAAAATCACATAGAACTGGAAAATAGTATTGATTAAGGCAATCTGTTTTTTAATACTTTTGTTAAAGGAGAGGCTCTGGGCCAGGATATTAAACTCTATAAGAAAGGGAGCTTACAGAAAAGGTAAGCTACAAAGAAGTACAGAGAACCAGAGAACACAAAACCCAAACACACATTGAGTTTAAGAATGTGTGGGTTAGTAAATATAAATATAAGAAATATTGTGGGTATTGTGTCTTCTTTGTGTTCTGTTTTTTATAACTGTTTGTTTCTGACTTAATGTATATTTTTCTCGCCAGTTTAAAGTGCTAGATTTTGTTTATGCTTTATAACTTGGCAGAAAGGTGAAATAGGCCATTGCTGTTGCTTATGTGTTTAATGTGTGGATCATTAATTTTAATGTGTAATCCGAATTTTAAAATAAAGCACTTTATCATTTTTCATTTCAGACAGGCAAGGATATGAATTACCTATCTTTATTTTGTTTCGGCATTTTTGAGTGATCAACTGTTTTTCAATGGGTAGTGATCAACTGTTTTTAATGGGGAGTGATCAGCTGTTTTTCAATAACTGTTGAATCAACATCTTGACAAAAAAAAAACTAAGAAATATTTATTCAAGATACAAGTATTTTTTTTTTACATTACCTTTGTTGTTGTAGCCTTTAGTTCTTAAGTAGGCAAGATGTTTGTGTCACCCTATGCATTTCACCATGTGTGACATCTTCAGGGGTCTTCTTAAACCTTCTCATCACTAACACTATGGTCTACACTGTATTTAAACAAATATTTACACACACATGGTCACTAGTAAATACAGTACACAAGCTGGCAAAATGCATAGGGTGACAAAATGTATTTAACCTACTCAAGAACTACAGGCTACAACAAGAGTTATCTGATATAATTCAAGTTCATGAAACTGGGATAGGAAATAATATATATATATATTTAAGGTAAATATAAGGTAAATCAATAAAGTATCAATAAAGTAAATGTAAGGTAAATCATGCCTACCTGACTGGGTTGTTGGACTTTCACAGGCACTGGTTTGCATGTCAACTGCCACACGTTTACTGTCTTGTCATTGGAGCCTGGAAACAACATAGTAGTAGTATACAGCTGGCTCTAGATAATCCAACACTTACAAGACTGGGACGGTAGTTTATTACATGTAATGTTGAATTACCAAAAATATTATTTAAATTAATCTACAAGTGATAAATTTAACTTGGATAAACTCTTTAATGGATTCAAATAAATTAGTTTTGTCCTATTTTAATAAATGTATTTTCATTTTGATCCATAGGAATTTCAAATGTGATTTTCACAAAGATTTTATTTTAGTTTTTAAGTTATTAATATTATTCTGACACTTTTTATGAAATATACTCGTAATGTGCCTTATTTCTAATAATGTTGAAATTAAATAAAACAAAATCTTAAAAGTGTATTAAACATACAACACCACATTAAAAAAACACATCATTATTAAATACAGTCCGACAAAAAAATGAATAGATGGATTTTTAAGTTCATAGTTACCTGAAGAAAAAAATCCTAACTCAGGTGAAAAGGCACAACAAAACACAGAATGTTTATGTCCGTCTAATACTCTAACACAGACTCCAGAGGATACCTGTAAAAAAACTTATGATTAGAATTTTATAATGACTCTAAAAGTACCTTAAGTAAATATATTTTAGAAAGATTTTACTCACTCCGAAAATATGAATTGAATACTAATCATGCCTCATTTTTAAAACTGCGTCTTTGAAATAGTATAATAACGAAAGTGGCATTTTTCCAGTTCACGCTCAAGTTTCATGTGTGAGGTCAAGCCGAATATCAAGTGCGAGAGGAAGCCGAGTACTTAGAAGGCAAAGCTGAAGATGGGAATAATTGGAACAAGTGACAGAAAATTATTTTTAACAAGTTTCAAAAGAGAACGATGCCTTTCATCACGACCAAAAAATACTCATATACAGAATAACAGACTTCAGTAAAATTAAAATTATTATATTTTCTCCTAATCTTAAATTTTTTAATACAAATATAAATCAAACCTGTTATAAAAAAACCTACTTGGTAAAGTGAAACTTATACAATCTAGGCCTATTATTGAGTTGGTAGTCTAACTTAAAGATGCTGAACACATTCAAGTTCAAGGTTATGTTTATTGTGCAATAAATACACGGTTTACAGTACTAAAAACACGGCAACATTAGCTTACGTCTCTATTCCTGTTAACATTTTTATTTCCATTGTTGAACAGTAAAAACAGCTGATTTCAATTGTAAAAATAATTGGTAAATTGGAGCATTGAAAACCAGATTATTGTTTTTGTATGGCTTGTGAAGCGAAAGCTTCACAAAAGAATCTTCTTTTTGCCTGAGTAAGTAAAGTGTAAAAACTGTCTAAAACTGACACAAACAACTTGAACAATGTACCTTATTCAAATGACCCACAATATTTTGACACTGATTATATAGGGTAGTTCTATGGACAGAGAGAAGAGGTAATCGTTAGACCTTTAATAATTTTAATGAAATACGCTTTAAATGAACACAGTTCAAATAAAGAAGCAAGCTGATATTGATAAGAACGTGGAGCTTTGATCCCGAGGTCCCAGGTTCAAATCCCTCCAATCACTAATGGCTTTTAACTGTGTGATAATGCTTCAAACCTTTAGGCTTAGTCTTAAGTAATGTGTTAAATGGTTCCAGGATAGACCCTAGCCAACAAGATTAAAAAAAAAACATTTAACGAAAAATCATCTAGCCTAGGATGTACAAACAAATGCCGTAAGGACATAAAAAGCAAAATGTAACATGTACCTCCCACAAGCGAGCCGAGCTGTCTAGTGAAGTGGATCCTACGTAACATCCATCTGGTGAATAACGAACACATGTCACCGAGGACAAGTGCCCCTCTAGTGCCTTGAGGAACTTGATGGTAATCTTGGGTGCTTTACGTTCCTTGGCTCCAACGACCTCAACACTGACCTCCCAGAGCCTGAGGATGTTGTCATCTCCTCCTGTACACAACTGGTAATCCCGCGTCACCACTGGCAACAGAACAATAGTCTATTTAGAGTTATTATAGAGTACTAGTGAACCCAAAACACTACTACTACTACTAATACTACTACTACCACTACTAGTAGTTCAACAACATATGATTTTTTTTTAGGGAGAGGAGAGAAAATGCTTTTACGCACACAGATAGCCAGTCTGTAATAAGAGACTCCTGAATTTATCAGACTACTCCGTAAAAAACCCTTCTACTCTGTTGGACACAGACCTGGAATTGTTTGTCACATTACTTCAAGTCAGGCTAACATGTGACCTAAGCCCTCAGGACTCTCACCGTTTCTGGCCAGATTCTTTAAGACCAACACCGTATCCCTGTCAAGGTCGAGCTTCTTGGCGCGGAGAATACCCTGGATGTAATGTGACACACAGGTCCAATTGTCCTCACCCTCTGTCATCATCGGTATGATTTTGTCCACCAACAGCAGTCCTACTAACTATTGAGCCTCCAGGCGGGGCCTTTCCCAACGCTGGCAGTGGAAAAAAGTATTCCACATCATCGGGAATGCCTAGTATATGCAATCGAGTGACACGGTTTTGCCCATCCTGAACAGGTACAACCGGAAAAAGCCGTGTCCCGTCAGAAATTGGGTGAGGTAGAAGTCCACCTCTTCATACCGCCGATTAACCCAAGGTTGGACTTGCTGTATCAGTCGCCTGGTCCAGCGTCCCTGTGTCTCCTCTTCCCAGCTCTCATGCCACAGCTGTTAGGTGCGGGTGCGTTCCTCTGTTCAAGCCTGGTCCTCAACACGGCGCAGATAAATTGCCTTTCTCTTCGCTGCCAAAAGTTTGACGGGGATGACTCCAGCAACCACCAGATTAGTGAGTAAAGTGGTACACGGATTTCATAACTGTTATTTTTCTAGAGACCGTTGTATTTAACCACAACAGGCTCTGTTGCTAGTTTATAAATAAATTGGTCTGGTCGATCAGCTGTTTCGTGTCAAAATAAAATAATGTCAAAGGTTTGTGATTTTAAATATCATAGTAAAATTATCTAAATCATGGTAACTTATTCTCAACTAAATCTTACTATTGCTAGCATTTAATCAAAGTAATGAGATCCATTATGAGAAAACTTTAAGGTACACAAACCTTGATCAAAATGTAGTATTCATTAACAGTCATAACACACAGCAATTATTATGCAGTAGTTTTTGACTATTTCCAGCTAACAAACATGTGTTCTTTGTTTGAAGTTCATTGTTGGTGATTTTTGGTTTGTGTATTGTTAGTTGTAATGTGTTAGTTAAGTTTTTTCACCTGAGGACGGGATCAGATTCCAGATCCCGAAACGTTGTGTATTGTTTTTTACCATCAAGATAGAGAATGTCCGCAATAAACCTTTGAAAACATATGTTTCTGTAAATAAAAATTATCTCCCATGTTATCCTAGCCATCAGGGAAAGGATCCTAGGTCAACACAACCCTGAAGTGCCACACTCAGTGATATTCCGTGGAGCTGTGTTTGCCGACAACGCAAGGTTTGACAGATGTATACAGTTGTGGCTGCACGCATTGTACTTGTGTCAAATCAACAAGGTTTCCATAGTCAAGGATCTGCTAAGGTTTACATATACTACTTATTGTAGGCTAAGTTTTTTATGAATGTGATTAAAGCAGGTTTTACTGTAGGGTATGTATTATCAAGGATTGAATTATCGAGGTTCTACTGAATTTTCATTCAGGTTCAACTGTCCGCTCTGTACTGCACAATGAATAAGGAAGGACTAAAGTAGGTGACTTACACTCGGTGTAATGGTTGGGAGAGAAAGCTAGGGCGAGTATGCCTCCATCGTGAGCGTCCTTTTGTATATGGCCGCACAGTGTATCCACCATGTAGAGAGTACTGACAGCTCTGTCTACCAGCCACAGCTTGTATGTGCCATCTGTATCTCCTGTGGCCAGCAGATAACTGTCCGGGCTGAACCCCAGACAGGCCACACACGCCTCATGACCCAGCCAATACCTGGGGTAACAAACATTCAACAACGTAAATAATTGTAAGAGTTTTTGTAATAGCTATGTTTGTGTGTATGCCGCAACGAGGCTCCTAGCCGCTTACTAGCATCATTTGTGAACAGAATGACATCATTTCGAGCTCTGACCCTAGTACATTATTGCAAGGAAAGTAAACACATCAACACAGTTGAAGGATTTGAAATATATCAATCATCTAAAAACAGACCCACAGATTTTCCCAATGACCTAAGGCAAATTATCCTTGGAATCAAAACTAACTAATAATACTGCATTAAAATAATAAAGGCAGTGGCAGGGTGAAGAGAGCACCTGACATAGACGACATGGGTGGGAGGGGACTCATATCTCGCTCCAGTAACGATGGGTGCTTAGTCATGACTCACCTTCCACCGACTACAACTCACGTCTGCCAATAGTATAACAAATTGGCAGAAATCTTTGTTAAATATTTTCGTGTAAGTGTTTATGACAACTTTACATAACCCCAAAGATGAAGAGGATTTGTTCAACTACTTGATTTAATAACTTCTTGATCAGCATTGTACGTGTTAAAAAATTTACGGTAAGTAAGTAAAAGATAGGCTACATCTAATATTATAATATACATATTGGACGTATCTTTTATTTACTTTCCGTAACTACCGTACTTGATTAGCTTGAAAAATAACCTTCAGGGTTTTTTACCTTGGTTGCCATACAAAACCCAGATCATTGACAGCACAACAGGTATTTAACCTTTTCATTATATGCTAAATGTGTGGGGTGTTGGCCTTTAGAGGATTTTATGGTCCCATTATCTTCTTCAACATAACCAATAGTGACAACATTTTTGAGCTAAAAGTACTTCCAAACTCAAGTAGCACTAGCAAATACAAAACAGTACTACTAAGTACTAATGACTAATGCTTATGCAATAAATAGGAAGTTTTGTCACAGTTTTGTTTATTTAGTCATCAGCCATCATAAAGTATTTAGGCCTACAAATGGTTAAGTGTTGCTCATCACTATTCTAGAAGATCTTGGAGATTTTACTGACTTTAACTAGTTAATTGCTCTACAATCTGTGGATGATGCTGATGTTAAATGGCAATAGCATGCTTTGATAAAACTAACTAGGCTACTTATTCCGTAATTTGTCGGTCCTAATATCAGTATTTCTTAGATTTAGAAAACATAACACTCATAAATGTAATACAACTATACCCTAATATTTTCATAAATAAATATTATATCATTATATCACATAATTATTAACAATAAAATGAAAATCTTTCAAAAACCATTGAAAAGAGACACTATCTCATTTTTTCCAGCAACAGATTTTTGCAAAAGAAGTTAGCTGCGTAGTTTAAGCATATAAGACATATTATAGCACCAACTATGAAAGTGGAAAATCTATCTTGATATATTCATATTTAAACTATATGACTTTAAGTCTAAATACCTAATTTAGATATGAACCTACCGCTGTATTTGATAGCTGGTAAGACTCCAAAGAAAGATGTAGCCCTCATCGGTGACTGTACCCAGCAACTGATAATTAGATGATGATATGGCACTCTCACGTACTCCTCCACCAATACTTTGTACAATACTGGCTCTCACTGCTCCTGTCTAGATACATATAACATATATAGCTTTTATCAATGATTTGAGCAATAATTTCTAAAGAAGCAAAATTAATTCAAAACATTTCTTAATTTAGCCCTTGGAATGCAGAAAAATAGAAGTTTCAGGATACGTCAGTTCATCCGGTTTGGGTTTTAGTCCATTAATCAAGTGAGTAGGGCCTACAATATAATTAATCATATATCATAAATATCATATTAGGATGTGTAAAGCACTAAGGGGACAAGTTTTTGGAACAGTTTTACCTGTGATAAAGTCTGTGCCCTACCAACTGGGCCACTGACTCTACTCAACCTCAAATCAAATCAAACTTTATTGTAACAAGAACCTTCGTACATAGCATGGCTATAAAAACAAGTGACATTGTCAAGTTACAATAAATACATAATTGGTCAATCTTACATTTTAAAGTTAAAAATAAAAGGCTGGACTTTGATTTTAAAATTATTTTACAATAAATATTCATTAATATGGTAGTCGTTTTTTCTATTAAAAACTTTGGCAAATTCTTTTTAAGTGTAATATTTTGTATTGGCTATATTTTATAAACCTAGGCCTACTGGTAACTTATTGTACGTAACTTTATCCCATGTATGTTGGTGTCTTTTCAAAGAGACACAGACGATGAATTGGTAACTGAAAATTATTTTCAAACCTTGTGTTATATCTTTGGTCAGAATTGCCATTTAAAAAAAATCATAGTTAGATTGTACCATTACTAAGGTTTTCAATATGTATAAATTTGGAACAATAACAACTTAATTATTAAGATTTGTAATTCCCTAAATAGTGATTTAAAATATTTCATAAAATATGAGAAAGTCATTATCCATAAAAGCTTTTTCTGCAATTTAAAAACTTAAGCTGAATCACAGGATAATCCACAGAACTCAATCCCAAGGTGTATAATTGAAAAAAAAGAAAGCATGGGAAATATTAATTCTAGTTTTAAGGTCAATATAATTATGTAGTACTAGCATTTGATAACAGGCTGAATTTAGTATAGGTACCATACTAATAATATTATCAATACAGTTACTCCAAGAAAAATTAATATCCAGTTCCAAACCAAGGAATTATGCACTGTTACTAAGTGGTATCAACTGATCCTGAAAGATGATTTCTGAATTGTAACCTTCTTTAGATTGTGCAGTACAAAAGTAAATAGTTAAGTTTTATCTTGATTAAAAGACTCAATTCTATTAGCTTCAAACCAGCTTGCCAATTCAAAGACAGTTTGATAAATTTTATACTCCAATTCACTATGAGACTTGGCTTTGATAATTGCAGTTGTATCATCTGCATATAAGATGATTTTTTATGTAACTTTATAGGTACCGGTATATAATTTATATAGAGGAAAAATACCAAAGGTCCTAAGATAGACCCTTGTGGAACACCCATTTTAATGTTTTCCCAAGGAAACTTTGATATTACCGGTAAATAATTTTTCAAAATTACAGTCCTTTAAACCGGTTTTCTAAGTATGATTTAATCCATGTAATAATTGATTGTTTTGAAAATTGGTAAACATCAAGCTTTTTTTTAAAGTAGGCCTATGCTGTGGTTAACACAATCAAAGGCCTTGGAAAGATCACAGAAGACCCCAATGGTACGTACTCTGTGACCCATCCAGAGCCCAAGATACTTCATCAACCTATCTATTTAGTCAGGGTAATTTTTTAAAAGCCCAATGATCAACGATGCCTGGGTTCAGTTTCAAACCATCATAAAGTTACTGACATTTTCTTGTGATTGAACCGGGAACCTTCTGATTACCACCCACCTGAATGACACAGTATGTAAAGTAATGTGGTAAAAAACAATACGTAATTTCACATTCAGTTACCTTGGTATTAAAAAGATATGTCATGCCATCCATGGACGAGGTTGCAAGAACTGAGCCATCAGGAGCAAACACAATACTGGTGACTGCATAGTCATGGTACAGCAGAGGAGAGTAGTTGGCCTCCTTGTAACCTTCCTCAGTCCACTCCCACACTGACACAGCTTTGTCTCTGTAAACAAACACAATAATGTTGTCTGTTGGCGGATATAGACAGAAAGTGTTTCAACGTAGAAAGTAAGTGGCCTAGGGAGTTTGCAGAAGAAGGCTGTACACATTTGAACGGTAAGGCCAGCATGATGATGCACGAATGATGCACTACCCAGTCGGGCTTACCTAGTGCAAACCTAGTCAGCCTAGTCTGCTAGGTATGTCGCTCGTGTGAACCGGGCCTAACTAATCCAGTTTATGTTGCAAATATATTTAATAATTACTTTGTAGAAGAGGTATTAAAACTGACTGGAACTTGTGAAGAGGAGCCTCTGATACCGGGTGTTTTTCGTGACGCTGCGGAGGATTTCTGCTCATGGCCTACTACTGAAAGTGAGTTAATAGAAGTTATAGTGTTGGTCTTAAAAAAAGCTCTGGAGTAGATGATATCCCTTGCTACCTCCTAAAGCCATGCAAAGAATCAATTGCTAAACCACTTGCCAAAATTATAAATACATCTTTTAAAAATTGAGTTTTCCCTAGTAAACTAAAGACATCCAAGGTAGTGCCTATCCACAAAAAAGGATGAGAAAGATCAAGTAAAAAACTACAGGCCAGTGGCAGTCCAAAGTGCATTTTCTAAGATTTTTGAAATTATTTTTCTTAAAAGACTAAATCCTTTTTTATAACCACAACAATATGGATTTAGAAAAAACAGTTCAACAACTGATGCAATTTTTGATTTATTAGTCTCAGTACATGACAACCTGGATGTGTTGGAGGAATCACTGTGGTTGTTTTATGACATGACAAAGGCCTTAGACCTTCTCTCCCATAGTAAACTTAAAATTAAACTGTCAAATCTCAAATGGATTTCTACCTATCTACAGGACCGACACCAGATTGTAACCATAAAATATTCAGGGTCTGATGGACTAACAAGAAACTACCGTTCTACAATTTCCCCTGTCATAAACACCGGATTGCCGCAATGCCCCAACCTTAGACCAGTTTCTGATCTATGTCAACGATTAAAACCTGAATATTTAACTGAAGGGAAAGTGTGGCTGTTGATGAAATGAAAAAACGTCTTTATTTAGCCAGCGTTATTCAAAGTACAGTTCTTTGATTTTCAATACAACTGTTGTCAAACTAAACGTAATTGGTCAGCTTATACTAGACTTATTGCAACAATACATTTTAGATCAACTGGCTAATTATTATTGGTATAAAATAAATCTTTCAAACCCCTTTTAAACCTAGAGAGGTTTACTGATTTGAGGTGAGTTGGAAGGGCATTGTAGGCTTGGGGCCCAAAGTAAGAAAAGGCTTTCTTCCCTAATTCCGTTCTGACCCGTGGCAAGTGTAGCAAGCCTTCCTGCCGAGTGAGGCGAACGCTCACCTCAGACCTGAAAACCAGTTTCCTTCTGATGTATTGGGGACACTCCGTTAACAAAGTTTTATGAACAATTAGAACGGTTTGAAGATCACAGCATTGTTTAACTGTCAAGATGTTTGCCCTTGACCTATACTCGCTGATATGATCCGACCTTTTTAAGTTGAAGACAAATCTCAGAGCACTGTTCTGAAGTCTTGTGAGAATATTTATATTCTCTTGAGTAAGGCTGTTACCAAAAGAGGGAAGAGCATAATAAATAGATGGAAGAATTATAGCACGAACTATTTCAAGTTTGGTTGACATTGGTAGAACAAACCTAAACCTATTAAATAATCATAATTTAGCAACAACAGTTTTACAGATGTGTCTCACATGTTCAGAAAAATTGAGCCTAGAGTCCAATTTGACACCAAGGAATTTTAATGAATCGCTAACAGGCAACGGCTTATCATTTAGAAGAACTTCACAATCAGTATCCTTGTTGTGTTGGCTTTGCACAGAGTAGTTTACGATTCTTAAAACAGAACACTTGTCAGGATTCAGCTGAAGACCATGATCATTAGACCATTTATTAACACTTATCAAGTCGCTATTCATGCGGGTGACTGCTTCAGGAAACTCAGCCAAAGGGTAAGATAAAATAAGGTACGAGTCGTCGGCGTAAGAATGGACAGAGCAGTGACTAAGCTGTGACTCAAGGTCGGCAGTGTAAATCAGGAAGAGGATAGGACCTAAGCAACTGCCCTGGGGAACCCCCGACACTTTTGGTAAAAAATGTGAAACCTGATCATTAACTCGAGTTTGTTGTGACCTATTACGGATATAGGAGGAAAACCACTGCACAGATCGACTATCAAATTGGTAAAAACTCAGTTTGGCTAACAGAAGATCGAAACTAACTGAATCGAATGCCTGTGAAAAGTCCAATCCAGTTACAATACTACCCCAATTTCTATCTCTTGCACAAATCAATTCATCCATGACATTCAGAAGAGCTGAACTAGTGCTGAACCCCCTTCGAAAACCTGACTGTGTTTTAGGAAGAATTTCCTCTGACTCAAGATACGAGACTAATTGCTCTCCAATCACTTTTTCCAATATTTTGGAAAGCACTGGAAGAATTGAAATGGGTCTGAAAAGGAAAATAATTGATGTGAGTCACTTGGTGCAGGAGAGTGGCTTGGGTAGGCTAAGAGACAAGGCACAAGTTGGCCTAAATGAAATGAGCGGATGGTGTAAAGAAAATGACCTTATACTGAATAGGGGTAAAACTAAGGCTATACAATTATACAACCGTAAGAAGTCTGAAAGAACTCCACTACTTCACCTTGAGGCAGCTAGTATTGTTGTAGATGACTCTATTAAGTATCTTGGCCTGACAATAGCAAGTGACTTAAAATGGTAGAACCAAGTGAACGCCACAGCAGCAAGACTGAAAGCTGTGTTTCACATGGTACGTAGGCTGCAATTGATAGTTGATCAAGCTGTACTGTTGAAAGTTTATTTTGGATGCTTCCATAGCATAATGAATTATGGTGCGATATTTTGGGGGAATAGTCCATTGGCAAACCTTATATTTTTGCTTCAAAAACGCATAGTAAGAACAATTGCGAGAGTACCTTACTTATCACATTGTAAACCAATTTTTATTGGCTACAACTAAAAATACTCACACTGCCTGCTCTGTTCATTCTTGAAGCTGCAGTGACAGTTAAAAGGAAGCCAGAAAACTTTCAAAAAATAAATAAATCTATAACTACTCAAAAAGGCAGAAGGAAACGTTACATGTACTACAAGTTCCATTCAGTTTAGTGATAGATGGACCAAGACCTACATGCATAAGAATATATAACAGAATTCCAGCAGGCATAAGGGAAATTGAAGATGATGAAAAGTTTGAATCTACTTAAAGAATATCTAACAACTAGGCCTTACTACTCAGTAGAAGAGTTTTTGAATCAAGAATAGGCCAAAACTATGACGACAATGGCACACCCGTGCTACTAATGGGATAACTACCAGTACAAGTATCAAGTAAGCAGCAGGTGCTCAGTTTCTATTAAGAAAGTGTTTGAATTTAAGAGCACTTTGCTTGCCGATTGGCGTGTTTCAAGCTTCCACAACTGACCGTAGCCCTTGAGAGTCTTACAGAGACTGTTAGGTCAATAATTAATCTCTTTCGTTCAGTCACATTGTGATCCACAAGCCAAATTCCCTTGACTTGTTATCACTGTTTCAAACGAGACTGATGAATAACAGCAGTCCCATCAATGGAAACCATTGGGCAAATGTTGAACACCCTCCAAACTTCCTCCACCCATTGTGCACATTTTTTAGTCCAAACACTTTTTCACATACATCGACTGGCAATGTACTTGAATTTTTTTTCAATTTTTTTGTTGACAACTGAGACCACAGAGATGTAATCAGATTAGGCAATTATATTTATACATTTGCCAGGAGTGTCAATTTTCTTTCAGAACGTTTTTGAATGCAGTACTAGGATGAGATTTATCATACCGTATTTGTTGGGTGAAGGAGAGAACACAAAATTAAATTTATTTAGCCTAAGTTACATCTCTTGTTTGTGTTTAAGGATGGGTCATACATACATTGATGTAGTTTTACAAACACCTAAAAGTTATATGGTAACCCATAGAAGAAAAAGGTTTACTTCATCAATTCCGCGGTGTGGTCAAATATTAAAGCTATTTTTAAGCCTTAAAAAGAATTCTGTAAAAAAATCCAACAACCTTAGCAAGAAAAGTTACTTTAAGTTAAACTGGAAGATTAAATTTGTGGTTTAAGGAACCTCAACAACAAAGCTCTCAAGACAGGTAGTTGAAGCTACATAGCCTTGGAGCTGATAAAATTACTTAAAATGGTTTAAAATACCTGCATATAGTAATCCTTTGTTGCTGATTTAGGCAACTAGTTTCGGTTCTTGTTTTGAACCATCTTCAGGCCTCAAGGTGTCAAGTGATCACTTCATTCGAAGGTCGTTAACAGAGTTCAATAAATAAAACATATACAAAACACGATACACGGGACGGACACACATTACAAAAAACACGAAAAACACGAAGGGACATTGACAATCGATCGTGACCGGGCTGAGGTAAAGTCTAGACTGGTGGTCAAAGTGGTCTATGACGTTGTCTCTGTCTTCTTATCACCGGTGCGTGTTCATTCATTCGAATGAATGAACACGCACCGGTGATAAGAAGACAGAGACAACGTCATAGACCACTTTGACCACCAGTCTAGACTTTACCTCAGCCCGGTCACGATCGATTGTCAATGTCCCTTCGTGTTTTTCGTGTTTTTTGTAATGTGTGTCCGTCCCGTGTATCGTGTTTTGTATATGTTTTATTTATTGAACTCTGTTAACGACCTTCGAATGAAGTGATCACTTGACACCTTGAGGCCTGAAGATGGTTCAAAACAAGAACCGAAACTAGTTGCCTAAATCAGCAACAAAGGATTACTATATGCAGGTATTTTAAACCATTTTAAGTATAATACAGTAATCCGGAGGCTAAACAACTATTTTTTATGATAAAATTAGGTAGTAAGCAGGAGTATCCAATTGATTAAAAAATCTATCCTGTTTCCGTTGAACTTTTTTTCTTTTGTAAGCTAACTTAGCATGTTTGATTTTTTATTATGATGTAAGTTTTCTAATCCAATTTGTGTGTTTTATTGTCATGATTATGATATGACTTAGCCTATTGTACCCTACATTTTCTGTACTGAATGGCTGAATAATTAATTTGATTTGAAACTAAACATGTACAATAAAGGCAATAGGCCTAGACCTATCTATTGTCAGGATAACTTGATGGATTTTATTGAAAAACTGTAGGCTACTTAGGAGACTTTTTTTAACTTTCACAGTTTAATTGATAGCATTAAAATACTCTTTAGCTTTAGCAGTACCAGTCTATATGCTAGGCTAATAGGTTTCTCCAGTAAATTATACCTCTTCAGTAAATAGGACATAAGTCAACAATATACTTGCAGAAAAGCCTAACCAATTTAGGGGACCAACATATGGAATTTTTGTACATTGCAACTAGGCAAGGTCTAAGTAAGTTAATAAACTATGGCTTATATTTTCATGAAATATTTTAGGCTATCTAGGATTACTTACGATGTTCCTATTGCCAAGGTGTTAAAGACGTTAAAGCCACATGAATTGATATCACCTGCAAGCTTTATAGTTTTCAGAATATTATATATGAACTGAGACATTATGTAAGAACCACGTTTAGCCCTAGAAAAATTTAAACCTAACTGAGTCTTCAATTGCTAGAAAATTGGAATTAAAATGTCACCGCCATTACTGTTTTTGGTTATGATAACCATTGTAATCTAATCACATCTAGTTGTCACTACACTACATTTTCAATTTCGGTCAATATTGTCACTCCAATAATATCAACACTCTTGAAAATGACACTTCACAGTGTAGCAGTAGCAGTACCATTGACATTTGACACTTCCCACTCATGCACTTGACAGCAAGCACCAAGCAAGCAGTAGGCAGCTAGGTAGCTCTAGCTCTGCTCTGGCTAACAGCTGGCTGGAATTGGCAGTGACAAAACGCCGGGAAATTGTCTTTTTCTATGGCGGATAGAAAAAGAGCATTGATTTTAAAAGGGATTCTGGGAAAATATATACGAAATTACATATTATAAATTTTGCATACTGGATAAGTTAAACAGCCTTAACACTAATTTTGAACACACAATCATTGATTTTGGATATTTCATGTAGCTCTTTATAATGCCTCAAAGGTCCGAATAAATTTACAAACTGTCCAATAATAAGTCCTAAAGTATTCGGAGATATTGCAGCTTGGAATTATTTTGGTGGGGGGCTATTTGATGATTTTATGTATTCAATATATTTGTAAAACAGCGTTTCTTGTAGGAAACCAGATTTGTATAAAATGTAAATGTGTGTGTACATCACACCATATCACGCCATGTCTGTGACGTCATATCAGGTGATTTTAATAAATTCCCATAGGCTGCCGCGACCACGCTATACCCGTGTATCTAACCACTACGTCAGTCTGCCCTACACCACTATCCCGGTCGCACAATTTGTTTTTCAGGATTAATTTTGCCAACAGCGTCATTTAGAGACTTCTGATTGACTATAGCGAAGGTTTAGTAATCGAAAAATTATTTTTGTTCATAGAATAAAATTATAAATGCCTCAAATTCAATTTTTATATTTTTTTATTATGAAATTAAACCGTCATAACCTAACCAAACCAACCAAACGTGCTGACAATGAAAAAATCGAATGAAGGTTTATTAATCGAAAAATAGTTCTGTTCATAAAATAAAATTATAAATGCCTCAAATCCTATTTTATAATTTTTTTATTCTAAAACTAAACTATCATAACCTAACCAAACTAACCAGACTTGCTAATAATGAAAAATCAAATGAAGGTTTAACAAAAAAAAATATTTCTTTTCATAAAATAAAACTATAAATGGGTCAAATTAAATTTCATAATGTTTTAGTTATAAAATTAAACCGTCATAACCTAACCAAACCAACAAAACTTGTTGATACAGTAATGAAAAAAATCCAATACAAAAAAATAATGCTATGGGTGGGATTCGAACCTGGGTCCTTCGGATCATCAGCCCAGCACTCTATCCATTACACCACCGAGGCCGTAGGTACCAACCGTATCGTCGTGGTAATGATGTTCCCTCAGCCAATCAGAAGCCTCAAAATAATACTGTAGGCAACACTAATCCTGAAATAAAAATTCAGCATCCCGGTCCGTGCAGCCCGTGCGGTATTTACTAATTATGTAGTTTTTATTTTCACTAGTCCCTAGTCCCGTCTCCTGTCAAGTTAAGTCGTCACAGTGACGACTTTACGGACTTACGGTTAATATGCATCAGATAAGACATTTCCTGGTTAGTTATTTTATAAGCATTTTGAAAAAGGCAAAATGCAGTGTATAGGCCTAGCATATTTATGCCTTTTAAGAACAAGTGTATTTTTCATTCGTCTGATTTCATGCTAACTGCTGGTCCTGTTGCATACAAATAGCAAGCAAACATGTTTAGAACTCCCATGAAGTCTGATGGTAAGACATTCATTCATTTAAGAATGTCATTATGCAACCATGACAGTAAATTATTTTTTTTCATTTTGTAGCTTTTTAGAATTCAAAAGTTGTAAACAAATTTGCTACCAGATTCAACTTCTACTTTTGATGCATTTATTTTAATTAAGAAATAGAAGTCAAACATTTTTACAAACAATTCTTTATTTGTTATGTACAAACAACAAACAATCGTCTTTGGTAGAAAGAGAGCGAAACAGATCTCGTTAGGTATCCCATGTGATAGGCCTTTGGACTTCCTTTTTTTCAGGAGCAGTTATTCTTTATTATTGGCTCGGTTGCTTTTTTCCATTTCTAGAACAAAGAATACAAGACATTCAGTAAATACATCAGTTTCTTGTTTCAAACTCATAATTTCATTGTTAGTATGTTTTTTGTGTATTTTTTTTTAACAAGGCTCCAACATTTGAATGTTATACATAAATTAATTGTTTTTCACATTGATTAAACTCTTTCAAGAGAAAAGGTATAAGCTTAAACTCTCATCTGTTTCACGAATAAAGCAGGTGCTGGTTATTTAAGTCCTTTTAGCACATCTATGATGTATAATGGTGAAAGGGCTTAACTACCCACACAGCACAGAATATCCTCAGGATATCCCACAGAGTTCCCAAAACGTCCCAATATCCCATGGGATATATAGGAATATCCCTGGGACACTCCTGGGATAAGAACTTTACAATAAGTAATTAAATTTTTTGAGGGTTTTTGATCGATGGATGGGAATATCTTTGGCATGTCCCTAGAACATCTACGATATCCTTTTTTTCATAATTTGTCAATTCAACTAAGAATTCCAGTATTTCTTGAGATATGCTACAGAATACTTCAGGTAACGTTTATAATTATATATTTTCTTTCAAATGATAATGTTTATTACGTAATTACTTAGTGTGATGAAATATATTCCTTATGCTGAGAAGATCCGTGGGAGATCCCTGGGAAATCCCCGGGACAATTGGATGCCGAATCGGAATTGAATCAACACCTGAACTAAATTTCCTATACAGCACAGGATATCCGGACCGGACCAGTTCCCACATATCCCACAGAGGTCCCAGGATTTGAGAATGTCCCTAGGATCACTCTAGGATATTACACATATCCCACACAGACAAATGCATTTTGGGGATATCCTGGGGACTTCCTATGGATATTCTCGGTATGCTACCTACATTAAAACATATCTTAGAGTATTTGATGTATTTTTAAAGTGACAAGTGCTTGAGAATCGTAATTAAATAGCATATTTCAATAGTATTTCGAATTAAAAATAACATTACCAATGATTTATAAAAATTAATCATGTTTTCTGATCATATCCATAGGGCATCCTTTGGAGATCTGTAGAAATTCCTCATGGGGCAGGATAACTATCCAACACAAAATTTTCACCCTTTTTTATAATATTAATAATAATAATAATAATAATAATAATAATAATAATAATAATAATAATAATAATAATAATAATAATAATAATAATAATAATACACCTGCTTATAACGGGAATGTTGCTGAAAGTCAACAGTCCCGGAAGATCAAATAATTTATACCTGTGCCGCTAGGTCAAAAACTACAATGTTTGCAGTGTCTGTAGATCAAAAGTCCCAGTAAGTCAAATAGTACAGTCCGAGCTAAAAACGTGGTCTATGTTAAAGCAATTGACTTATTGGGAATTTGACCTAATGCAACAGCAGTTTTAATATAACGAAATACGGTAAAATACAAGTTCAGTTTCGCTGAGTCAACAGTGCCGGAAGATCAAAAGCAATAAAAGTGAACGTCGATTCAGTGTAAAGTAGACCTCCTGCAACGCTTACTACACCAACAAAACTTGCTTTTAGTTACTTCGTGTTTTGTCATAATTAGAATAGAGCTAAAATTATCATATTTGGTACATAGCTTATCTATTAATGCTTCTTGCCAACTGTTTGGTCAACACTGTAAATAGGTATAGTTTATGTAATGAAAAGCCTTTCGTTAAAATTTGTGGCATAAAATACACGCAAGGACGATCTAAAAATTTCTGGTTATTATATACGTTTGTAAAAGGAGATCCATTTAATTTTGGAACTATTTTATAAGTTATAATGTAGTCTACACATAAACTGTGTAAATGTATTACGCCTCGGAAGGGTTGAAACCTGTCCAAACTATCATATATATTATTAAAACGTAAATATGGTTTTTTCACATTCTGAATCAACCAGTCGACGGATTTTCATTATTTTTGTGTTGAAATAAAGATAATTTTGAGAACTAGGGAATGTCAAAGCCATAATTATAATTAAGGGTCCCAGTTTTTTAGAAATTAAGTTTCAATTTTTAAGAAGTCTAGCAGCCGACGCTTACCTTCTAAGCTAGCTTTTAGTACAATATAATTTGCTTAACATAACAGCTGTAAACATTCAGCATTTGGAAACAAATTTAAAGACATATTTAGAGTTGACATATTTATACTATGTGTAATGCTGACCATTGATCCATTCAATTCTTAGGTATGAGGATGGCAGATTAATTAAATATGCATAGTAAAATTGTAGGATGTTCAAATTATTTTTAAAGGAATCTTTATAATCATTGATTTGTTTTAGTCCCATATAATTTGTTTTAACTAACAGCTGGTTGAATGTAATATCCTACTAATATTATAAATGAGAAAGTTTGGATGTATGGATGTATGGATGTATGGATGTATGTTTGTGACAAGTGAACGCGAAAAATACTGGTCGAATTGGGCTGAAATTTGGCATGATGATAGCTCACATTCCCGATTAACATATAGGCATATTCTTATTTCAAAAATCCTTTCGGGCTCCGCCCCAGTGGCTCTGGAGTTTCCCATGTTAACCTTATGAGAAATGGAATTATTGAATCTTAACAGCTGTTTCAATTAAACAAGTTGGTTCTGTTCTATGATGTTCAATAGCATTAAAGTTACAAGGATTACCAACAGGGTGCAGCACTATTATTTCTTTTACATTTATGACAACAGCTAATTTGCAACCAAAAGGTGAGTGAGCGTAGCGAACGAACTTCAACCTGGAGGCGAGTTAGCGTAGCGAACGAGCTAACCTGAAGGCAAGTGAGCGCAGCGAACGAGCTCCAACCCAAAGGTGAGTGAGCGTAGCGAACGAGCTCCAACTTAAAGGTGAGTGAGCGTAGCGAACAAACTTCAACCAGGACGTGATTGAGCCATGCGAACGAGATAATCTTGAAAATTAAGAAGTTAAACGGGGCAAAGCCCGCGGGTTACAGCTAGTTGTTCTATATAACTATTACGTTTTTGGCGAATATCCCATATAGGGAATAAGCTATTACCGTAGTACTTATGGTAACACCTGGACCCGCGGGACCGATTTAATTTTTCGTTTTGAGGTCCCTAGAGGCCAAAAACACCATCCGTTCAAATTCATATACAGGGTGATCAACTCACGGAGTCCACCATTGGGAAATCGGAAACGGTAAGAATTAGAGAAAACTTTAAATGGGGCACATACCTTTAATTTTTGTGGCAGTTAAAATATGATTTTAGTTTTTTATCATGTTTTCGGATAGAATATGCAATTTAAAAACTTTGTTAGCTTTGACATTTTTTTGATAAACCCACTCGTTTAGGATTACAGCCTATGGAAAAATGACTTCCGGTTAACATTTTACATCATGTAGCTCCTAAACGAGTAAGTTTAGAGCAAAATTGCAAAAAGTAAATCAGTCTTAGAATTGCATCTACATTCCTTTAAGACTATAAAATAAAAAGTTTTCCACTTTTCAAGTTTGCCGCCATTTTTTTAAATAATATAATTCATATTTTTAATGAATTGTATGGTCTTTTTGGAATGTGGATGCAATTGTAAGACTTTTTTACTCTTCCCATTTTTGCTATAAACTTACTTGTTTAGGAGCTACATGATGTAAAATGTACACCAGGTGTCATTTTTCCATAGGCTATAACTCCTAAACGAGTCGGTTTATCGAAAAAATGTCAATCATAAAAAAGTTTTTAAATTGCATATTCTATCCGAAAACATGATAAAATATAGGGTGTTCCATAAGAAATTTCAAATTTGGCCGCCATTTTGGAAAATGGCGGCTGAATTTCAAAAAACTAAAATCATATTTTTAACTGCCACAAGAAATAAAGGAATGTCCCCCATTTAAAGTTTTCTCTAATTCTTACCGTATCCGATATCCCAATTACAATTGAAATTGTAATTGGACACTAGTAAGTACCAGTGCACTTGTTGCTACCTCCCCCCTTCGGTTTCATGTATTCCTCTCAATCACTTCAAACCTAGGAGGATTAAACATTAATGTTAATTAATGTTAAATCCTCCTAGGTTCAAACCTTAAACACCCAGATCGAAACTCGCCTGTCGTTATTTTAACATCGCTTAATTTTTTTTACTATATTTTTCAAAAAAGGAAGATTAAATTGATTTAATTTGGATTTTAAAAAGTGGACGTTTTATTTTATTAAAGATTTATGGTGATACGTAAATATTGTGGTACAGTAAAGTATATTATATTGTAGTTAAGTGTTAAATTTCGAAATTTTAGGGTGAATCGAGATGAATCTTTTTTTATAACATGGGTCTCTCCTACCTTAACGTACATACCAAGTTTCATAAACATCGGTTGGAAAAGTGTAAAGATAAATATTTGTATGTAAAAAATACAAAATGGCAGATATCTGGTTAACGAAACGATTTTGGAAAAAATGTTATCCTTCATTTTCTGTTTATTTTGACCCAAGGAATTACTAGGTAAAGTGTCTCTCCGCTTATTTTTAATACCTTGTTTGTGATGTATTCTTATTAATATAAGTGAAAAATGTAAGCTGGTAATACAGAAAGATGTTTTATAAATAATATGAATGTACTGGTAATCTGTATATTCATCTTTTTCTTGTCCTTAGAACTGTAAATTAAAAGTCCACTCAGCAGTCGCATCGTACGATGTAGTTCTTTCCATGCGTTGCGAAATGCTAAATTTGCCGTCCTCTTCAACCCAAGTTATCTATTGAACCACTGATTGTAAAAAATTCAAACAAATATATTTTACCCATCGCACTTTTGGCTACAACTTTGCCACAGACAAAACCTCTCTAACCCAAAAACAAACAAAAATCTCGCATGCTAACTTTTTCATGTTAGAAATCACGATTTAAAACTATTTCACCATACATATCAATTTTTATTAATTATATCGGTAAATGGTTTAAAGTTCCAACAAAATAGTCATTGAGTAGGACTAACCAAGAAGCTCTGTGCCAATTTTCAAAATCTTAGCACAACTTTAAGTACACCAAAACATGAAATTATTGAAGTCATGCGTCGAGAGGACTATCGTTGTTTTTAACAGATTATACTTTTGACCTTCCGGCACTGTTGACTCAGCGAAACTGAACTTATATTTTATCTTATTTCGTTTTATTTAAACTGCTGTTGCATTAGGTCAAATTCCCAATAAGTCAATTGCTTTAACATAGACTACGTTTTTAGCCCGGACTGTACTATTTGACTTACTGGGATTTTTGATCTACAGACACTGCAAACATTGTAGTTTTTGACCTAGTGGCACAGGTATAAATTATTTGACCTTCCGGGACTGTTGACTTTCTGCAACGCGTCCGCTTATAACAACAATAATGTAAATATTTTCTTTTTTATTTAAATTCACATTTATTTGAGAAAGTAATATTTGAGAAGGAAATATTAATTAATCATATAATGATTATACTCTATGGTATTCAAATTACTGTACAATATCCTCTACAACTCCCAGAAAAACAATTTAACAATAATTGATGGATGCCTAAACAAAATCATATAGTATCAAAAAGATTTAAGTATTGCAACCATTGCAGCTCCTCGAACCGCTTGAAAACTAATAATATCAACAATCACAGATAGCTCAGAGGTAAGGTAAGAGTTAGGAAACAAAAATTTCAATTTTTTCCAAAATTTGTTTTTATGAACTATTTAATCAAAATACTGAACTAATAAAAGCGCTTTTCAGACTAAATCTTTATTATTTTGTGTTTTTATGTATGATACCCTGGCGGGATATCCCAGGGATCAGGACTATTTGGGCGAACATAGGGATATCCCGGGGAGTTCCCCATGAAACTCTGAGGACATTGTGGGATATACAGAGGATATCCCCCATCCCACACTGGGATATCCCCAGGACATTCCAAGGATATTCTTGTGTTGTGTGGGTAACAAATGCTATTTTACCTCAGATATTGTTCCTGTCTGTGAGAAAAGGTGCCAGAAGAAATACAGTGGAATAAGAGACATAGGAACAAGGGCCATGGTCCAGCCAATAGTAATTGCCCATTGGGGATACACGTAGTCTCTGTTGTAGGTTAGGGGTAGTGATGAAGCGGTTGAGAAAATCAAGATGCCCTGGACATAAAATAACACAATTAGAATTTTTTAAGTAATACAAACTATTTATGAAAATTAATTCATCAATAAAGAGATGGAAGATTCTCACTTAAACACTTGAGATTTTAAAATTGATTTGTTTATGCCTTTTTATCATGTTTTCTCCTTCAAAATCCAAATCCTTAACAAACAAGATTTTTGTGGTCACACTTAGTGAAAATAAGGAAAATTTCTTATTTGACGTGTAACTCGCAAAGAACCCATCACATCAAACTTCCACCGTCCACCACTTACCAATCTCTATTTCTTGGACCTCTCCCATCAAGCTCTACCGTAGACATGTGAACTCCTTATATGAGTTGCACACCAGACCTGACCGAGATCAAATACTAGCCCTGAACCACAGAGAAGTGAGGTACAGAGGAGACACACTTATGGGACAGCTGTGCACTTTCAGCTCTGGTATGTTGTTATACTTGTGACAAGCAAGGAAGAGCCCAAGTTGCAAACTCCTATCGCACAGGGCACAGAGTTTTCCTCCACCATGAGCGCTGTAAAGCATGAGGGCAAGGATGGTGTTTGACTTTTCCCTAGACACCACTTAAGTGTGCCATTGAATGTTTCCTCTGTACCTTGCTTCTCTGTGCCTCTATCTACAGTGCTCAAGGGTGTAGTCACAAATTGTTCTGTAAGTGAACGCTCACCACTGTCTAAAAACTGACTAACATGTAGGATTATTGGAAAAAGCAGAGTGGCAGTGCTACCTCCTGGCTTGGAGGTCATCACCTAGGAATGCTTGGCCTTTAACACGTTCACTGCGTTACATATTTTCCACCATTATTCCAATGGTGCGTTACGAGATCTATAGGTCTCGTCCGCTATGATTACCCAGGTGCGATACGAGACCCCGAGATTACGTTGCGCAGTAATCTTTTGCGCATCATAACCTCGTAAAGAAAGGCAAGAGAGCGCTGAGTGTTTGTTTATCTGAACCAGTACAATGTTGACAATCTTCAGCCAGCCCAGGAAGTAAATATGACGTCATTGTACGAGACCCCGAGATCTCGTACCGCACAGCTGTAATAGTTAATTATTTATTTGTATTTATTCTTTTCCTACAATAACCAATTAAGAAAAATATATGTTACCTGTTTATTTACGAATTCCTTATAATCGTAATCATTATAAAAAATATATTTTATCTTTCTTTTATCACTTTTTATATTAATGCGTTTCCTTACGGCTGATTTCAGGCTAAATAAAATACAAATGAAATATGTTTACAAATTACTGTATTTATTTCGTTATATTTTTGGGGTTGGGCTATGACCTCGAAATGAGTGCGTGCCAACAGTGAGTCGAGTGGGCGGGGGGAAGGGATGGGTGCAACCTTGAAGCTATATTTAGACTTGCACCACTTCCCTAAAGGGCTGGGAAAGGGATCCCAATCGCAAAACAAAAACTAATGATACAAAGTTGTTTATCGGAAATTTCTTGTCCGGTTTATGTATGATTTAGTAGGGACCAGGATAAACATTCAAATTAATGTAAATGATTTGCTTGTTTACATCAAAATACAACATTGCACAATCGTGATATTTTAGGTCATTTACCAGTGACCTTTATTACGCATCCGTTAGTGCTAATAACAGTATAAAAACGCCATTATTCTTTCTCTTTGTTCTTGAATTATTTATTTGGTTTCCTTCTTTCATCCAAGCATTCAACAAAGGTTACCATGGTTACTAATCACCCCATTAGCCTCATGTAGTGCTTGGAACAACTACTTTTGATACGAGACCCAGGGGTCTCGTATCGTAATAAAGTAAAAGTTTATTACTTCAGTGCGTTACGAGATCTATTTATCTCGTTCATTTCATAGTTACTAGTTGATACATCAATAAAAATGCATTATATATGTACAAGTTTAATTTCTTTACGATTACTGTACGCCGAAATATCGATGTCGTAATTTTTGGAAAGAAGCCAAATTATGGGTCCCGCACTACGGGCTAGGTACGATACGAGACCTCGGGATCTCGTAACGCAGTGAACGTGTTAAACAGATCCAACAGTCTACTGCACTCCCAATGCAAGACAACAAAAAGTTCAAGCAACCAAACTTGACTCCTAGGTTGTGGCATAAGCCAGGTATTCTTTCAGCGGTTGTTTTATACTCACATAGATAGTCGTAAATAGAAGTTTGGTTATATTACTTCTGACCATTGATATCAACTTTTGAGATCAAACAGTCAAGGGAAAGTGCAGTAACAATTTAAAAGCCTCAAAATATCTCATTATTTCATGATGAGTTTACATTACATCTCTGATGATTGCAATCTTCTTCAAAGCAAATAAATTCTTGGAGCATGGTAAATTGTGTTTATTATTTGGAGCTCTAACAGTTCTATTAGTTGAAAATAAGGAAGAATGGCCATAGTATATTTTCAGTACGTAACTGTTCATGTAAAGAATGGCAATTTGTATTTGTTTTGTTAATTTAATCATCTCCCTCTGTTTACTGTTGAAGTTGTGAACTCACGAATGCTAGACAAGAGTAAAAATACGTGTATTTAGTAAAAAGTTAAAGTGAACAATAATAATTGAATGAATTAGTAAACAAATAAATATCATCTGTTAAAATAAAGATTTATATACAGGTAAGTAGTCGTCAGGCACTACAGTACCCCCTTGCCAGTGGTTGAGCTATGTAGTTGAGCAAACACGAAAAAAATCAACTCTGGAACCGTACTGGAAAATGAACTTGCCTCCCAGAGCGCGTAGTTAATGGTGTAGATCTCAGAATAGATTTAGATGTCAATGTACCTCGTTGTTGAATGTCAGAATGAGAAAAGGGAGCAGTAGTAGTTATGGTGCCTCTGGAAACGCTGGTGTCATCATGGTCGAGTTGTAAGCTATAGACTGGCTTAAGTCGATCCATTGAAATGGTTACATCATTGCCTCGAATCCGAATTACTGCAGTCTTGTCAGATCTTCTAATGACGAGGTAAGGACCTGAGTAGGGGGGATCGAGTGCACCCTTAGAAATGTCGGTACGTACGAAGACATGAGTGCATGTGTTGAGATCCTTGAACACGAATGGCGTCCTACCTCCATGTCTTGTTCCATCAACTGGTCTTAAGTTGTTGAAATGTTGACGCAGATTTTTGACAAAACTTTGTGGGTCAAGTTCATGGTTGGAATCGCTAAGTGTAAGGAACTCTCCAGGTAGGCGAAGTGGTTGACCATACAGGAGTTCAGCTGAAGAAGCTTGTAGATCATCACGCCATGCTGTCCGTATTCCCAAAAGTATGACGGGCAATACCTCAGTCCATCGTGCTGTTGCGTGGCATCTGATGGCTGCCTTCAGTTGACGGTGAAAACGTTCAACTAGTCCATTTGACGATGGGTGATAGGAAGTTGTTCTGAGACGAGTCGAACCTAACAAATCTCCTAGGTGTTTAAACAGGCTTGACTCAAATTGCCGACCTTGATCTGTTGTAATTCGTAGTGGTGTTCCGTATCTAGAAATCCAAGTGGTAAAAAGTGCTCGTGCTACAGTTTCTGCTTCTATGTTTTCGATTGGTACTGCTTCTGGCCACCTTGAGAAACGATCAACACAGGTCAAACAGTACCTGTAACCTTCGGAGACAGGTAGCGGACCAACAAGGTCAATGTGTATGTGCTCAAACCTGGAAGATGGAGGAGCAAACATACCTACAGGAGTCCAGTTGTGACGTGATATCTTGGACTTTTGGCATGCCATACAAGAACGGGCCCATCGACGGCAGTCAGAGTTCATTGAAGGCCAGACAAAACGTTGACTGACAAGTTTCAATGAAGCTTTAATACCTGGGTGGGATAGATTATGTAAACTGTTAAAAACGGTTTGTCGAAATGGCCTTGTGATGAAGGGACGAGGGATGTGAGTAGATGTGTCACAGTAAAGCAAAACTTGTGTTCCTGGTATTGGGATCTGTCGAAGTTTCAGGCTGGAATCAGACTGCATGTGACGTATTAACTCTTCATCTTTGCTCTGTGAGTCTGCTAATGCCTGATAGTCCAATGGAACGGCAATCGTCTCAATTCTGGAGAGGGTGTCAGCTACCACATTACCTTGTCCAGAGATGTGGCGGATGTCCGTTGAATACTGCCCAATATATTCCAAGTGACGAAATTGGCGGGGAGAGCATTTGTCTGCTTTTTGCTTAAACGCAAAAGTGAGTGGTTTGTGATCTGTGAAAATGGTAAACTGCCTACCTTCTAACATATGTTTGAAGTACTTTACTGATAAATATATTGCTGTCAACTCTCTGTCGTAGGCACTGTAATTTTGTTCAGCAGAGGTTAATTTTTTTGAGAAAAAGGCCAACGGCTGCCAACTATCACCTATCTTTTGCTGCAACGCACACCCCACAGTATGGGCGGAAGAATCGCAGAAAATGGCCAATTGAGCATCTGGTACAGGGTGAGACAGCATCACAGCTTTACTAAGGCTTTGCTTGCAAGCCTCAAATGCTTCATTACTTGCCGTGGTCCAGTTGACAGGTGAATTTCCCTTCGCATTAGCCTTCAGGAGTTCGTTTAGTAAGCTTTGATGCTCCGCCGTGTTAGGCAAAAACCTTCGATAAAAATTTATCATGCCAATAAACCTCCTTAGTTCCTTAACTGTTTTAGGTTTAGGATATGAGTTGATGACTCTAACCTTTTCTGGCAAAGGTTTGATACCTTCTCCAGATACTTCATACCCTAGAAAGTTAACGACTGATGTTCCTAGAACACACTTACTTGGGTTAATGAGGATCCCATAAGTTGAAAAACGGTCAAAGAGCTGTTTTAAGTGTAATAAGTGTTGTTCTTCTGACTCTGAAGCTACTAGGATATCGTCAATGTAAGCGTAGCAGAAGTCTAAGCCCCTAAGTACGCCATCTATAAAGCGTTGAAACGTTTGAGCAGCATTGCATAGTCCAAATGACATGTAAGGGAATTCGAACAGGCCAAAAGGTGTGGTAATTGCTGTCTTGTGGACATCCTCAGCAGCAACCGGGATCTGGTGATAAGCCTTAACAAGATCTAAGGTGGTGAATATTGTCTTACCATGAAGTTGGTGAGAGAAATCTTGAATATGGGGAACAGGGTACCGATCAGGGATAGTTCTAGCATTCAAAGCCCTGTAATCTCCACATGGCCTCCACTCATCACCTTTTTTGGGAACCATGTGAAGGGGAGAAGACCAGGAACTAGAAGAGGGTCTAGCTATACCTAGTTGAACCATGGATTCAAATTCTTTTTTGGCGAGTTTAAATTTATCCGGTGCCAGGCGGCGGGGTTTACTGAACACCGGAGGTCCTGGTGTTGTCTCAATATGATGTTTTGTGTCATGTTTGGAAGTACAATCAGGTTTACCTGAAGGTCTGGTGAGGTTTGGGTATTCATGAAGTAATTGAGAGAAAACTGTCTGTTGACAAGACTTAATAGTTTTAACACTACTCACTAAATGAACTGAAGGAGGTTGACCTTTGGAAAAAAACGAAGTTGACTGGTCAACTAAACATTGACGTCGTACATCAACAAGCAGATCATAATAGTGTAGAAAGTCTACCCCTATTATTGGTTTGGATACATCGGCTACGATGAAACGCCAAACAAATGAGCGGCGTAGACCAAAGTCCAAAGGCAAAGATACAAGACCATACGTCGTAATCTCAGTATTATTTGCTGCATATAGAGTATAGTCAGTCTTAGGTCTTTTTTTATCTAACCTATTACGAGGGTAGACGCATACATCAGCTCCCGTGTCAACTAGAAATTGTTGTTTGGTTACCTTATCGGTGACAAATAGGCGACGGGAACATGTGAGGTCGGAGTCGCTTGTCGCCATTAGAGACTCCCTGGGTCGTTTCCCGATCTGCTTCCTTTGAATCTGCAAGGATCGGTGCACTTCGTTGCTGCGTCGCCGAACCGCCAGTGATACCAACAGACGTCATGGCGATCAAATCGATTCTTGGAGCGTTGCCATGATTGTCTACGTGGATATGTGTCTGATGTCTTGTGGAATTTTGGACGTCTCATGTCTTCTTTGATTTCTGCTATTTCTTGTTGAAATTTTTCTGTTACTTCTCTAATATTTGATGTCAACGTGGTTGTAAAGCGTTCCATCATTTCTTCCATCGAGGGAGCTGATAAGGACGCCTCCGATACTTGATGGTGAGGACTGACTTCATGGACAGCATCCGCAAGCTCCGCCAGTGTATCGAGGTCCGCAGCCTTTTGTGTTACCAAGATGGCTTGTGTTGCTGAAGGAAGACGGCTAAGCCATTGAAACTTCAGTAGTGGATCAGGTATCATGGTTCCGGCTAGAGTACGCATGTGCCTCAGGAACTGTGATGGTTTCCGATCACCTAACTCTTCTCGTTCCAAAAGTTGTTTCGTCTTCTGTTCCTGGGTCAAGGTAAACCGTTTTATAAGTTCTTTTTTTAATTTGTTGTACTTTTCTTCTGCTGGAGGGTTGGTGAGGATATCCCTCACTTCCGCTGTGTATTTCGCATCTAGGTTACCGCAGACGTAATAGAACTTAGTTTCGTCGACCGTGATCCCCGCTAGAGAAAACTGGGTTTCGATTTGTGCAAACCACAATTCTGGATCTGAGTGCCAGAAAGGAGGGATCTTGACTTGAATTCTGTGTACTGATTGTTCTCCGTTTGACATTTTGGATCACGTCGGGGTCACCAATTGAAGTTGTGAACTCACAAATGCTAGACAAGAGTAAAAATACGTGTATTTAGTAAAAAGTTAAAGTGAACAATAATAATTGAATGAATTAGTAAACAAATAAATATCATCTGTTAAAATAAAGATTTATATACAGGTAAGTAGTCGTCAGGCACTACAACTGTTATTGTGTAAATCTCTTACCATAGTAACAAATGGTGTGAAGTAAAGCCAACACCATCTCATCCAAGAGTTCATACGATATCCTACCATAGTGGCGATATTTTCATAGAACCTGTCCACGCCATAGAAGTAAGCTATGGCTACACACTCAAAGAAGCAGAACCATAACAGTACCATCCCGCTGGCTGCGTAGTAGTCAAACACTTGGAAGATGTACATGCCTCCCTGCAAAATAGCATTTCACCAATATTTTTTTCAAATAATGAAAAATGGGGTTTATTCTTGCCATCCCAGTTTCAAAAACTTAAACTATATTTGATTTACCTTTGTTAGAATTGCCAGTGTTCTTGTATGTAAGATGTATGTGTCACCCTTTGCATTTCTTTATCTTGTGTGGCAACTAGGGGTTTTCTTAATCACTTTTCACTAACATTATAGTATATATTGTATTTACACAAATTTTTACACATGCACGGTAGTATTGTGGTCCGGTTGATCGGATAATTGACATGTTGCCGAGTCACAGCAGGACTTTCTTCCTCTGTTTCATTTCTTGGACTGGGGCTGTAAACCAGGAAAGTCCAAACTATCCTCAACCGTCGTCGAACGTTCTAAATTCAAATTCCAACAACATCGACCTGACTGAGATACTATAGTGACCGTGCAGGTGTAAATATTTTTGTAAATACAATATAGACTATAATTTTAGTGATCAATGATTAAGGCGACCCCCTGAAGTTGCATAAAAGGTGTAGAAATACATAGGGTAACATAAACATCTAACCCACAAGAACTCAGGCAATAACAGGTAGGTCTAAGAAGGTAAATCTAAGAAAGTTGTGTTATGACTGACAACATTATTGCTCAAACTTTGGAGGGATTGTTTTACTATTACTGAAATACTTGTGCCCCCTTTGTCTTGTAAGCTTCGATTAAATACCAGTTTAAATTAGTTCAATATTTACCTTAGTTTATTTTGTACCAGAAAGAAAATTATTGACGCACATGGTTCCATTGCCTGTACAACAAATCAAGAATTGAATCAACTAATCCCTCTATCCTTAATTCATATAACTTAAATGTCTTAATATATTTATTTTATTGTTTTAAGCGAAGATAAGCATTGAATCTCTACATATCATAGTCAGTGTCCACTTATGGAGGAGTTAATAGTATTTATCATTTCGGTTGTTTTAGGTACGGTCATGGTTGGTAAGTAAATTGAGATGTAATCTTATATCAGATCCAATGAATATTTAATTGATTGGCAACACTGTGGTTTATTTTTTACAAATTATATTAAATAATAGATAATATCTTAACCAATGAAACTAACCAAAACCCTTTTTTTTATCAAAGTTTATAGCTTAACTATTTTTTTATAATGTGGTATTGTAAATAGTGAAACACTGATACTCTGAATACGACATAACAATGTGTGAATTTTGTAAACATTTAACAACTAGTTAGTACGGGCGTTTGCGGAAAGGAATATTTCACCTATTTATAAATAAATGACAACTCACATTAGTAACCATGAGGAGACCTATTGCGTAACTGATGATGCTGACAACAATGATGAACAATTCCCTTCTTCGTCCCTTCCTCAATGTGTTTGGAAACAAATCCACAACAGCTGTTACAAATCCCTCAACTCCCACGAACTGGGAGTCCAATCCCATGAGAATGATCATGAAGAAGAATAAAGCTGCCCAGACGGACGAATATTGCATCTGAGTGACTGCCTTCGGATACGCGATGAACACTAAGCCTGGACCAGACTCCGCTACCTAACAGAAAACTTGCAAAAGTATACTCAGTTACTCACTACAGGGAAGTAAGGTACAGAGGTAACTTGCTTATGGGACGATTGTACGCTTTCAGCTCTAGAATGTTGTACCAGAAATATAATTGTGACGAGCAAGGAAGAACCCCAGCTTCTAGCACTGTGCGGAAATGCCTATCGCACAGGACACAAGGTCTTCCTCCACCGTGAGCATTGTAGTACACGAGGGCAAGATTGAGGGTGGTGTTGGACTTTGTTCTATCATTGATACTCTGTATCTTACTTCTCTGTGACTAGATTATGTCACTCACTACGACAGTGACTTTATGCTAATATATGAATGAAGTGAGTGTAGAACTGAATGGACAAGCTGTGTAGCTTTGGTTGTTTTTAAGATCAGCTGTTTCTTTATGCAGTATCATTTAATTAACACATTCACTACCAGATCACAATAGAGTTTTCTACGTCATTTGTAGTTACTGAGATAGTTGACGTGATATGAAAGATGCTGTATTTTACATTACAATAAGTCATCCTATCAGTTTAGCTTGGTTGAAAAGTCTGCAAATTCAACAATCATTAGTAATTTAATTCTGTGCAACCTGTCAGTGGCTCCACTTCCACTTTGTCCAATTTTATTTACTAACTGGCGACGACTTTAAAATAGGGATGGAACATCTAGTTTTATTAGTCAAAGTTAGAATTTCAACAATATGAGCCACGTCAAATACCTGAGCAACAGGAACTCCGAGCTCTTTAGCCATGAAGCCTAGTACACTGAACACAGCTAAGCCCGAGTATAGGCTGGTTGAACTGTTGACACATGATATGAAGATACAGTCCCGGATAAAGTTGTTGTTGAAGTTGTTATAAGACCCGAGAGCAGTCATGCAGCCAAGAGCAATGGCGTAGGAGAAAAAGATTTGTGTACCTGCGTCGATCCATACCTGAAAATAATGATGACCTTATCATATGTTGTAAGGTGTTTATTTTTATTTTTAACAGGTTTTCAACCTCTTCAAACATTGCATTTAGCCTTGCATTTTAGACTTTGAGTCTTAATCTTAGGTAAATATAAGTAAAATAATGATGAAATGTAATTTGTATTCATCATACAAATATAAACATATGACATACATAATAACTAACTTATATATATAATTAATTTAATTAAATCATTTAGAGAATAAGAGCACAAAAACTCTAGATATTATTATATATTTTTTTTTATTATATAATATTTACTTCTGTTTTAGGAGGTTATTATAAATTTTCCTACTATTTACCATATTAAACCTTCTAAATAGTTAGCTGTTTTATGCAATGGTACCATATGTTACTGAATTTAAATTAATGTTCAAAATATTTTAAGCATTAACAATATTTTACCAATTAACATACTGATTATTGTATATTTTTAATATGAGGATGATGGTAAGAAATGTGCTGTAATTGAAAAATTAACATTATTTCTAAAAAATAGCTAGATACTTCAATAGGTTTAATACAATATAGCTCGTTTCGTAAAATATGTAATAAATCTTCAAGATAAAGGAATATAAATATCAATCAAACCATATGTACTCAGATACAGTGTAACTACAATGATTTGATTGAATTTTTTCTTAAAAACTGTCTAATTTTCTGATGGGTATTTATGCATTATGATTAACATTTGCACTTTATTTTGTCATTGATGTTCCTGCCTTTCAAATTAGAAATTAGTCATCATGTATTTTGAAAGGTTAGGTTAGGTTGGAGTTCTTACATATATTGTCCTAACCACCTAGTCAGCCATAAAACTCAAGTGGGTTAAAAACCCATGTTAAAAATATAAATAAACAGCTCCAAAATCCCAGTAGTATAAGTTTCTATAAACATTTAAAGTAAGTAATTTAGTCTTACATTATGTTATGTCCAGCAGCCTGGGGGCTACAAACATAGATTTTAAACATTTTCATACTGGGAGACACCTGGCGCATATCTGATAATTTAGAATGGAAGAAATTAAATATTATTCATACCCTGTTAGGTTTGTTGTATTGGTATTTTATTTATTTATTATTATTATTTCCTTCCAATTAGCTAAAGACGAACCAATCCAGTTTTGTACAGTTTTAAAATAGTGTAACTTATTTATATGAAATGCTCTTAAACTACAGACAATCCTCTATCTTTTAAAGCTATTACTAAAACTAGACTAAAGCAGAGTCACCATGAACACCAAACTACTTTAACCATTAGAGGTATGTTAGTTCCATACCACTCCATATATTTTAAATTTAAGTCTTTGATTGGATGTATTTACAAAATTAAGAATTAAGGTTACCAACGCCACAGTACCTGTGCTTCTGTCAGCTTTGAGAAATTCGGTTTGAGATAAAACTCAAGACCCTGAAGAGCCCCGTCCAATGTCACACCACGAATTAAAAGAGCAGTTAACATGAAGTATGGGAATATTGCTGAAAAACATATTGCTAAAGAGTTGACCTTGGCTTGCAGAATTTTGCCTTAACCTAAAAACCAATTAAAATATTTAACCAATGTTTTAGTTAAAACTGTTATAAGACTTAGAATCCTAGTGGTGGTATCACAACAGGACTGAATTTGACATGGTGCGGCCTGGGTCCTCAGGGCCAGCCATGTAAACAATGTCAGGGGTGCGACAATAGAGGAATGAAAGAAATCTCCCTCGCCGCATTGGTTTCTTCCCCCGTGGCCAGCTCCATTCTCCCTATCTACAAACACACAGGCAAGTGAACTGATCACCCAATGGAGTCGTTCACTAGGTCGCTGGGAACGGATCACCTCATGGAATCATTCACCGAATTGCTGCGTCGTGTTTTCAAAGAGATGAAACTTAACGGTGCGGCATATTTTTTAAGATCAAGACAGAAATGTCCTAACCCAACCTATCCTAACCTAACCTTACCTTACCTTAGACCATAAAAATATTTACTACAATATTATTATTGCACAAAAAGACAATTTTACCTGCTTAAATTATTTTAATAAAGACAAGTGCTGACAAATTTACACGGAGTAAATATTTCCGTGAACGATTCCATGAGCCGATCCGTTCACTAGCTTACTAGTTCACTATGTGTCTGGGGGTAGGGTTATGGGAATTAGGCAGGAAAAATGGGGAAATCCCATTCAGTCCTAATATGGCACCCTCGATAATGCCCTATGACTGCCCTAGGGGGCTCAGGCTGGCCCAGACGCCCTGGTCAGATTCAGTCCTGTTATCGTTTTACCTCAGAGTAATAAAACAAAATTTTGTTTAAAACAAAATAAAAAGCAAAATTTTGTTTTATTACTCTGAGGTTTTACTAATCCTAGTATATCCACAATGGGGATATTTTCTTTCGCATACACACAGGCTCTCGCTTATGTAAAAAACTATTTGGAACTAGCCTTTCCAAATATACTCCATGGCATATCTGGTACAAATCTGTCCTGAAAATGTTATTTCTCTCTTCCTTAATTTTTATTCAACTTACAAAATGTATTGTATTTTAAAATCTGACATAAAATTACTTTTAAGTAATTCCAAATCAAGTAATGCCGGTGTATACAGATTTTGTAGGACAAATCTAAGAATATGAACAGATTTTACATTTTGTTGTGCTTCTACAGATTAATTTATAAAAGGAATTTTTTTTACCCTTAAATTACATAAATTAAACGTTTTAATTTTAATATATGAACTATATCATATATTCCTATATGAATATAACTATGTAATACAGGGTGGCTGAAAAGTAACTTGCACCCCCACTTAACTTTTCAATCATTTGAGATATTTGAAATCTGTTTGTGGCAACCTTCTTAGCTATAAGGGGCTACAATAATTAATTATGGTCAATTTTGAAAATTTTGCCCTTAGGCAGTGGGGGTAGGGGGTGGCTCAAAATTTTCAAATGACAATGATAGTCGAGTATGGTATCATTTTACAGGTCTCAATAAACTGGTCGAATCCACCAGCTCAATAAATTCCAACTGAATAATTAATGATACATTTGGGTCCACACTCAGTACTATTTTTAAATATTATTTCAAAGTTTATGAAAATATATGTTAAAATAAATTGTCAATTGATTTAGCATCAGTTATTGAAACTATGTTGACAATATTACTGTATTTTGAACACATAAATAAAACTTATTTACTTAAAAACTGGAGTTCTTGATGTCAACTTCTTGCATCACAATAATTTGAACTATGAATTACACAAGTATGTCTCCTCAAACTCAATCCAAATAAATTTACTCAGTCCATATTTTTGCCCATGATTCAAGTTGCAAATTTTCCCTATTCCTCAATTTATTGTAATTCATTAACTGGTGATTGTACCTACTGAATCAATTACATGGGACACAAGCTGTTCTAGTGTTAGAGCATGAGACCTCACCAAAACCCCAGGTTCAAATCCCACCAATCAGCAATAGATTATTTTCTAAGTGAAAGTGATAATGCTGCAACCTCAAAGATAAGCCTGAGTATTGTAAAAATAATTCCGGGCTAGAGCCAAAAAATATAAACTATACAATCAATGTATGGTGACTTACCTGTGAAGTAGACAACCTTCCCTGAAGTTTTTATCCCATTTTGCACACAAAAGAAAACTACAATCCAGACAAATAGCAGAGATAAAGCCAGTTCCCAGTTTACACTGCCAATTTCTTCTATGCCAGAGCTGATTTTCAGAACTTTCCTCCTGCATTGAAGAACAGTAAACAATCAGATTATTCGTTTAATGTTGGCATGCATTACCCTAAAACACCCTTTATCATTTTCTGACCATTTTCTGGCATAATTTCCTTATTTTAGTCAATGTTTTTAAAATGCAAAACCATTGTAACAAAAACTATTGTAAACAAATTAGGCCAAATACATGTTAAAATAATTCTAATGTTAACATTACCCAACTCTACAGACACATACTATGCTTTTGACACAGATTTCCCCTCAATCTTAATTTTTACCAAGGTAAATCTACAGAAAAGTGAGATTTGTTCTTCTACCAAGACATTTTGCTTGATTTATTCCTCACTCTCTTTATTTATCATTTTATTTTAATTTAATTTACCTTCAAGTAAATTATTTGTATAGTTATTTTTTACCGGTTTCAAATGTAATTTTTTCATACAGGCCCAGTTGTTTGCCACTCAATATTTCTATATATTCAAATTTCAAGGAACAAACATATTCAGACCTCCGAAGGGCACAAAAGGTGGTTTCAGGTTTGTTGGGGGTGCAATTATTTCTCGGGACTAGCGCATCCAAACCTCAAGCCTGTTAGTATTATCAACAACTTGAGTTGTGTTTTGTACTTTTATGAGACTTTATAGTTGCAATATTTTTCCGTAGTGCTAAATTATAAATTTACTCACTCCCAATATTCTATGACAGGATCTACAGGAGCCAAAACGGCAGAAGAAGTGTTTTTTCCTCGGAAGCAATTTTCCGTGTTCCACCAATGATCGCAAGAGCTCCATGGTAACTCCCAGCAAAATGAGTTCACGAAGTAGTGGAACGCCCAAGCCAGAATAATTATGTAGTACACATTCAAAAGAAAACAGATTATTGTGGTTCCATAGCCTATCCCTAGAAAGAAAACAATCAATTTTATAATGAAATAACAATGGTTACCGGTATACATTTTTTGTTTCCTTATGTGATCAGCTCTCATTTTGAGAGTAATACTCAGTGCTCGATTTGTAAAAATGAGTTGCTGGAACTGTAACTTATCTATGAGATTTTTTTGTCCTTGGACGCTAGGCACGACCCCGGGATTGTTTTTCACATTACTTCGGGGATTGCCTAGGGGTTGCGGCATTATCACTTAGAAAATCCATTGGTGATTTGGCAGGATTTGAACCCGGGACCTCCTCAGGGACTGAAATCCCACACTATAACCACTAAACCAGCTCGTTCCCCATATTTAATGTGATTAGTACATATTTATGTACATATTTATGCCAATATTATCTTTCTGAAAGAGAGGTTTTTTATGAGATTTCCTAGATAGATTCTGGTCACTCTACTTGAAAAAGTGACCGAATAATGTTACTTATACTGTGTTTTGTACTATGAAAAATAAATTTGCCTATTCATTTCATTACGTTACACTTATCAAACCATACCTTTAAATATTGGGCAGATATTCCAAGCAGTGATTCCTCCTTCGCTCATAAATTGTCCGAGACCAACTTCTAAAAAGAAGATAGGAATACCTCCAGTGACAAGGCATATGAAGTATGGAATAAGAAACGCCCCTATAACACAAATTAAAAATTCAATTATTTTACACAATTTTATTCTTTTCATCATACTATACTAAAAATAACAGTACAGTTGTGTTATAAACCTAGCATCTCTCAGATTCAAGGCACTCAAATTAAATGTCATAAAGTCATAAACAATCATAGTTAGCAAAAATGTATTTGAAGCTGGAAAATTGTGATGAATGTGAACAAATTCACGAAAAAAAGGCAGTCTTTAAAATGGTATGTTTTAAAATAATGTTGTAATTAGAAAAAAATATCTTGAGATACATTAAGTATTTCTACAATCATTCCATTGTATTTTATTAAGAAAATGTAGATTTATTGGTGATAAGATTTGTGATCTAAGTCTTTCTTTCAATAAAATCTAATTTACACATTAATGACAAATTAATACATTAGTTACTAACATTTTAATACGGATTTGTTATTACATTAAAATAATATTGTTCAGCATACTTCACATGTAAGTGCTATTTTTACTTCTTACTCAAAACTAAGAAATAAATGAATGCTCCCCCCTTAAATGAATATGTAGACCCTTTTATATAACCAGGAATACGAATCATATATTGCCTGAACAAAAATTCATTGGAGGACAAAGAGATATATTTGGTTACAGTTAGGTCTATAATGGATTTGATTTATGCCATAAAGTCTCAACAAACTGACAGCCAGTAGCTCTGAACAGATCCTGTAATTAAATTGTATGCATATTTTTTACTGATAAAAATGTGAAAATCTCCTAGACACTTTACATTTTTTAACTACCCCTAGATTACATTGGATTTTCACTTATTTTAAGATGAATATTGAAGATAGATGAACAAAGGTGATTACAGTACAGTTTTGTTAATAACAAAGATCAGCTGTTCATAAGTCAGAATTATCCATTGAAAGACATAGTAATATTGTCATTTTGCCATTTTACTATCTCATATTTGAACGTGTTTATATTTTATCGAAATTAAGTGTTGATAGCTCTATCATACATTTTACTTTAATCCACTACAACATTTTAATTCTAGGTTATGGTAATTGGAAATATGTTTATTCTAATTTCATTATGTATTCTAAGAACCATCAGATTCAGACCCCTTTTGCCATATGAACAAAAATTAATTAACAATCGTAAAAGGTTTTAAAACAACATATGTATAACATAAAAACAGTTGTTAAAACATCTGAGTTAGCTACGAACTGTTATAAATGGATGTTAATTCTTAAACAATTGTTTTTATATATAACCAGTGAGATGAAACACCAGATAAACCATGATACAAGCACAATTTTCCCAACCTGACAGGTTATAAAATAATAATAACATGGCCAATACATAGTTTTTATAGTAAAAAAAAATCATACTTAGCAAAACCCCCTTAAATTAAAATACTTATAAATGTGAAGTAGATTTAACTAATAAGAAAATATCAATTATGAGTTTGAAATTGGTTTTCCAAAATTATAATATTACTTAGCCAGTAGGGAAAATCATACAAACCCCTTCTTCGCCAAAACTCAAACACACCCCTACCCCTCTTGTCAATTTGGCAACTTTCACCCCTCTTTCTTTGTACCCTCGTCACTCCATTCTGACGGAACACTATCACTTATCTCGTTATCTTACCTCCACCGTTTTTGTAACACAAGTATGGGAATCTCCATATGTTTCCGAGTCCGACGGCAAACCCGATGCCCGAGAGAACGAATTCGATTTGCTTTCCCCACTTTTCGCGCTCGGGCGCGCTCTGGATTTGCAACGACTCGACCATCAGAGGCGACTGGCGACTGGCGAGTTATTAGGTCGGACCCTAGTAAATGTTGATTAATAAACAATAGGCCGGCGCAGGATGTAGGTCGTTTGGGACTGTGATACGACTGCTTGCGTAGCAACGGCACGGTGGGTGTTGAGGGAGTCCTTGGTGTTTAGCAAACTACGTATGTCAAAGACAACAAAAAGAAATTAGTTGTAAAGTTGTATGGTTTCGGGTTAAAATGGAGAAACCCCCAGTTGTACTCCATAACCCCCCCCCCCTCCCATAAACGTCGTTCCAATAGTCCGATCATTATGGTTCACGAACTCGTTCAAAACATGGGTTAACACTTTGTAAAAAATTTCACCAATATCGGATCATTTTCACTCGAGTTATCGTGATAAGGCACCCACACTTTTGTTTTGTTTTGAGGTCCCTCATTCTTTCATAAACATATGAATCTGAACGAATTGTGTTTTTTGCCTCTGAGGACATCAAAACGATCAAGTAAATCGGTCCAGGATTCAGGTCTTATCGTGAGACATGTGGTAATGTCTTATTACGTGTATGGGAAATACGCTAAAACGAAGCACTCATCGATAGATAAGTGATAGGCTGGAGAGGAAGGAATCAAGGGTCCTTGATAACGCAAACGTTCGTTTATGTTACATTTTGTTAAACATGTTTACCGTTGATAAAGCAAAATGAATGCTAAACGATAGTTTAATCTCCTAATTGCCAAAATAATAATTACCGTAGTCCTTTTTTAACTTAGTTTTTTAATAGTAAGTTTTTTGTTGTTAAGGATATCATTGCGGACATTGTCCATCACGATTAGGAAAACAGTTTTTACGACAGTTGTCACACGTGTTTATTGTGTTATTCTAACCTATTCTTTTATACTATACTATCCTATTTCATGGCTTTTTGGTTTTGTTATGACTACTATACCTAGAGTTCCTGTGTGGTTTCTAGTTTAAGGTTTTAAGTAATTTCCAAGCTGCCTGGGTTTGAGTACTAATCTTGTGATGTTTTAGGCACTCTCTCCCCTGAAGATGATATCAGTTTCCAGACCACAAAACGTCGTGAAAACATTGTTTGTTTTTAACTAATTTGTGATGGAAAATGTATGGTGATTGTCGGGCTTTTATGACGTGAAATTGTGGCTTCTAATACGTACAAACACGAATACATAATGCAAAACACTGTATGGCCATATAACTAATTACGGTGTGCAGGTTCAGGGTTTACGTCTTAAAATGAATAATCTTATTGAGAATACTTTTTCAAATAAACTGTTAAAAATACTAGAAAACAGTGAATTAATCCAGTTTTCCCCGCTAGTTGACCACCGGTTTTAAACCTAAGCACAGAAAACATACTCCTAAGCTAAGGTGCATACAGTTAGCTGAACACGAAGTATTTTTTTCTAATTCTTCCTCATCCCTGGGATTGTATAGAGTCGTCATAAACGCATACACGAAAACTTGTAAAATTTTAACAAATAATTGAGCGTATAGCGAAAACGTCGCATCATGTTGTCTGCAGATGGCAGTCATCACATAGGTTTAGAAATAAATTTTGCATCAAAACACAGCACTGGAATCATATAAAGTTGTCTGTATTCACGATATACAAAATGACAAGGGTCCTTTGGTTCAAATTATTATGGTCGAAATATCAGGCGTTAGTTTGTTTCCAAACTTTCTAATGTGTTAAAATTACATTTAGGCAAAGAAGTAGCCCTAACTATAGAATCCTGACTCTAGTTTACTCTTGGCGTTGGACTTGTAGAATAAGACAGTCCCAAGTCTTAAAAATATCATAATTTATTTTTGTCTATTAACGGAATACAGCAACACATATACTCTTTCATGCATAAATCGTCATTTGCTTTGCTAAAGCAACATGTTCACGCTTAATTCTTAAAACAAAAGCAAAACACAGATTGGATGCCGATTCATTATTTGGTTTACATTTTTAACAAACGAAAGTTGTTTATCATGCTTTGAATCTTTTTATTCCGTTATACTGTGTTTAATCAACTGTTGTTAAAATTGTGTCACGTCGTATGTTTCGCAAAAATAACATCAACATATACCATTTTCGCCATTTAGACGGATAAATGTAGGCCTCAACATATTTTATTAATTTCAATTTGTTTTAGTTCTGTTGGAAAGTTATACCAGTATCTTTATAACCGTATCGCCTGTTTACGATAGCAAACAACCTGGAAATAATGTTTGAGCTATTTTACAAATTTAAAAAAAAGTAGGTTATTGTAGGGAATAAGTCATCCTAAACATGATGCAGTATGATATCAAATATAGTTAATTGCAAAGGCCTCGGCTTCGCCTCGGTTGCTGTTTAGCTCAGTTGCTCTGTTTAGTGTTCGTTGAAAATTACAGATTTTTGCCATTTCCCAATATTTTTAAAACTTAGGGATTTTAACTTAGATAGTTAAGCTTAGGATAGGCTACAAATTTGAACAATTCATTTCCGATTTTGAGTTTTAAAATACCGAAATGTGTAACTACCTTTAGTAGCCAATCAGCAATTACACCATTTCATGTTCTTCCCTCACGTAATACGATGCTGGGGACCTTTGAAAAATAAAATACTTAATCAGCAATATAATTTGCATTTATTTCTGACTTTGAGAATATAAATAACTTCTTGATCAGCATTGTACGTGTTATTAAATTTACGGAAAGTAAATAAAAGAAACGTCTTATAACACTTAAAACATATATTTACGCTTATACTGTTACTCACAAGACGGTAAATATACAAAAACGATGGTAAGTGGTGATCGATTTCGATTGGACACTCCAATCATCATCAGACCCAATAGGCGAATGTGTATTCGCCTATTGGGTCTGATGATGAATGGAGTGTCCAATCGAAATCGATCACCACTTACCATCTTTTTTGTATATTTACCGTCTTGTGAGTAACAGTATAAGCGTAAATATATGTTTTAAGTGTTATAAGACGTTTCTTTTATTTACTTTCCGTTTGAGAATATACAACTCACTGGTAATCACCTAAAATAAAATGGTTTGAACACGGATATTTTTTTACATTAGAATAGTACGATGCCAACAAACCAGGGGACGTACTTGGTGAAGATGAGTGAAGGATGATTGTTGAATGAAGGAAATTATTAAGTTTCCAACTGGGATCAGCAAATAGTTTAGCCAGGACCATTTTGTAAGTTCCCAGGCCTTGGACGACTTGAAACCATAAAAAGTTACTGGCTTTTCCAAAGGATTGAGCCGGCAAACTTTTGATTGTTTGGAAATCAACCACTCAGCTACCAAGATTTTCAAAACTTCAGTGAATTACGAAAACTGCTAAACACGTTCGATATAATTCAGCCGTGCCCGTTGTGAAACTGAACATTCAAATCGACCATCAAGACAAAGAATTGTTTTCGTACTGTCCCCCGGGTTTAGTTTTAGTTTTACAAGATTGTCGGACAGTGTCAAGATAACGCAGTGCGGAGGCGGCATTATCATTTCCGAGGACATTTAGGCTTCACTTGGGTTCGACATCACAAGAAACATGGACCTCTCCAGCCTCATCTTGTCTTTAGTGGTCATCTCTAGTAAGTATCAGTTTCAAATATTTCAAACATGAAGCACAAAAACTCGCTTCAAAATAAAATAGTTTGCTTGAAAGTGTTTTGTACACTTTACACTTATAAGTATAATTCACGTAATATTTTCCACAGTTAGTTTAATAGCTTCTTTACTCATTATATGCCAAAATAGGATTTTTCCCTGTATGTGGTCTAAATTCTTGTGAACAAAATGATTATGACTAGATCCGTCACAAGTACAGCATTGCGAGAGCTACACGCAAAAAATTAAAAATTAATAATTACATGCAACATAACACAAAACAAAAAATATTCAGTCAAAACCAGTCAGCACGATTTTCCCACGGAACTTTGGACAACAATCGAAGGCGAGGGCAACTATTTTGTTGTAATTTTCAACAATTTGAACAACGTATAACTCCTATTTATCATTTAACGAACGTAGGCTATATAAACAAAACTTCAGAATTATGAAAAAACTAGATTTGAATTAATATCCGTTAAAATACATATCTACAGTAAAAAAAAAAAAAACCATAAAGATGTTGTCCTTGTAATATCAAAATGCATTGGAATAAGGACAAGTTATATGAACATTTCCAAGTATTAAGCGAGTAAAAGCCCGGAATCTCAGGTAGGTAGTAAAAATTAGGGAATTGATTAAAAAGTTTACGGAAAGTAAATAAAAGAAACGTCTTATAACACTTAAAACATATATTTACGCTTATACTGTTACTCACAAGACGGTAAACATACAAAAAAGTTATAAAAATATACACGACGTCGTCATTCGCCTATTGGGTCTGATGATGATTGGAGTGTCCAATCGAAATCGATCACCACTTACCATCTTTTTTGTATATTTACCGTCTTGTGAGTAACAGTATAAGCGTAAATATATGTATTAAGTGTTATAAGACGTTTCTTTTATTTACTTTCCGTAAATTTAATAACACGTACAATGCTGATCAAAGAAGTTATTTAAAAAGTCTATAAATAATATATGACGTGACCGCAGGTAACAAGGTAACACAGACTTACTGTAGGAGTAGTAGATTGTTGAAAATAATCTTTTTATAAATTTGTCTGTGATTCTACCCTATTTCAAAAAACATAAAAATAACTATTGCCACAGACAATATAGGCCTACCACCATGGTCTGTTCTCTGTGCTATTACAAACCATCGACAAATAGCTTTATGTAGCCGACGGCTTTCAATGTTCTTTGTTTTAATTATAGCCTAATTCAGACAACAAAGATTTCAAGAGTTGTAATAATTTGTAACGAAGTTATATTTTATGTCACAAGCCGTAGATAAAAAGTATAAGTGCATTTGAGTAAAAATTATTTACATACATACGGAACCCATTTTATCACTATCGCTACTTCTTTGGAATTTATTTGGGAATTTGCATTACTTTAAGGTGGGTTTACTCTGTCACAACACATTTGACAGTTAGGTTGGACCATAGATAAAACATACTCCCTTAGTAGATTTCTCATCGTTATGGAACAGCTGAAGACAATTTTATTGTTAGTTCTGTACGGTTTATGTAGAGGTCGTGTTTTGTTTACAATTTGTTTCCCGTTATTACAGCCATTTAAAACCTCGTTTAACCAAATAATACGATCTAATCATAAACAATAACTTGTCCCCTAGTTATATAACCAAACAGTAAATCACAAATCAAGAAATTAACCCTAAAATAATAGAAACAAAGTTTCGTCGACACTAGCGCCCATGTGTCACGTACATGAACTAGACACGAAAAACGTGCTTCAAAATTTACAATGGGATGAGAAGTCTACTTGTGTTGGTTAGTCTATGGTTGGACGTAATTTTGAGTAAAACTAAATTAAATTGAATATCAAGACGGCAATGGTACTAGGCCTTGATGGCGCTAGAACTGATTAAATTATATTCAAAAGTTACGCTGACACAACAGAGGGTGCATATTTTAAGGAGACGATGAGTGATGGGACCATGGCTGAATGAGTGAGATGTGCTTTTGTTACTAACTTGACTACGACCAGCAACTTGTACCTAGTTCACGACTATTTGTTAAAACAACCCCAATGCTCAAGGATAGCTGGAACCAGTTTTGAACCGTACAAAATCTTCCGACTTGTACAAGATCGAACCGGTGACCTCATGATTAATAGAACGTCCACTCAGCTATTGCCCGAACTTATAGCGCTTTCCTGTATTAGGTTAATACAAAATTCGCCAAAAGTGGAAATGGAATTAATAATTTCAACATTTCATAAGTCGTTATCTGAGTAAAAAAGAGATTATTCTAAGTCATCATAAAACGATCAACGTTTGACCCATGTCAATCGTCTTAAATCGAAGCTAAGTTGCCTTTTTGTCAGCTGCCTTTTGCTCTTGATGTTTAGTAGTCACTGATGCACATTTCACCCCGTTTGTGACATATTCAGGGTATATGCACCTATAAACTAAATAGCTATATTTACAGTGATTGTTAAGCAATATTACAGTATTTACATCACGGTTCACGAATGTCACGACTACAAGCGGTCAAGTCTAAGTCAAAACATTCTTTATTCGTTATAGTATCACATTAACATGAGCTTGAATAGAATCATAAACTAAGTTCAAAATTGCTCACAGCTAATTAAATACATAAAAGAGTACTAAGATTACTTTATTATTACTTTTAACAAAACCATGATTGAATGATTACAGTATTTGGGATTCAAATTAAATTAACTGTTTTTTACTAATACTGAAGAAGTCTGTTTAGTGAGTAGCAGGGAGTTCTTATAAAATAGTATTTTAAGAGCTGCTTGAATTTATTAAATTGCGTTTCTCTTCGGATGTGAGCTGGTAAAGATCAGTTGGCAAAGATCGGCATCAGCAGATGTCAAAACAACATCAAACTACAGGTAACGGAAATGGACCAAAAAGATTACTTAATTATAACTAATTCTAGAATCTTGGTGACACTACAATTATTGGAATTAGTTTTAACACTTCAAATCGCCTAATTAATTCGTCATGTGCTACCACTCCTTTCACAAGAGGCTCGTCTCAAATTAACTTGCGTTTGCTGAGTTATTTTAGCACAGTTCATGCTTGAAATGTTTAGCACACCACGTCACAAATATGTAGCTAACTCGTTGTGAAAGTAGTTAACTGGTTTACTCTGCCAGCACCAAGAACTGGTGCAGTAGGCACGGAGGACGGCCGTCGGATCCGGTTCAGCAATAAAGTTGAGCGTCCTCCCCCGTCCTCGGCTATGCACAGTTATGTCCTCCGTATATACCTCCCTCTAAAATGAAAGCCCAATGCACGCTTGGTTCACCATACGAATAGTTCAAGTGCATTGCCTTCATAATTGATTTTTCAACCCTCAATATCGAGGGTGTTGGGTGCGGTGTTATTAAATAACTCGAGGAGGCTGAAGTGTAGACCCTCTACCATTGACTATACGTATAGTCAATGCCTCTACTCATGTAATTTAAAGCTCCAATACACTGAGCTTATAGGTTGTCTAGCTTGGTAGGAAGGAGTCATGGAGAAGGGACGATTTCGAACCAAACTGCAATTTATTTCTAGGCTATTAATTGATTACGTCACAGTAACAACATGTTTTTGCTACATAGTACCCTTTCCCTTTCAATAAGTTAAAAATGCTTTGCCACAGCCGTAAAACAAAACAAAATTGTATTCTACCGACAACATAACTAATTACTTGATAAAACAAGATTTTGGATTTGTCTTAGCAAGGTTTCGTCTGAAATTTGTACTAAGTCTAGACTTTATTTCAGATCTATGTTCGCTTTTGTCAATGTCCCATCGTTCATTTAGCGTTTTTTTTTTCTGAAATGCAACAATGCAAATTTTTTCATTATTCATTCAAAAAGTTTCCCAATGAAAAGATTTAAAACATTTTGAGAAGCTCTGCTGGGAAAAAAATGTAATATATACAGAGTGTTCAAAAAAGGTGGGGACATAATTTAAGTAGTGATTCCTTGGGTCAAAATAAAGAGAAAATGACATATAAATTGTTTTCTAAAATCGCTTTGTTAACCAAATATCCGTAATTTTGTATTTTTTACATAAACATTTTTATCTTTGAATTTGTTCATCCAATCTGTATGGAACTTGGTATGTATGTTGAGGTAGAATAAACCTGTGTTAGAAAAAAATCAACTGATTAAACTAAAAATTTCAAAATCGTGGCATTTTAATTTTTCTAACTTAAATTACTCAAAAACTACTGATTTTATGAAAAATGTCAAGAACACATATATTTATAATTTTTAATTCGTCCCTATCAAACGGTACTAAGTTCCAAAAGATCGAATAAGAACTAGCTTAAATATTATGATTTTTAGTTGTAAAATGGGGCAAACCGGACTATCTTAGCCTTATTATGCCCAATATTACATCTATTAAGGCATATATAATATGAATAACAATTTTTTTTTCTGATTCTGAACTTGTGCTTTCCATAACATTTTGTCTCAGGAAGGGAAAACGAGGCTTGCACTCTCCAAAATTAACTTTGTGATACTTTTGTATTTGGTCTAATAAGAGCAGTTTTAATAACAGTAGTGAAATACCAGCTGTAACAAAAACAAATAGCCCATATATGAAAGTTTTAAAACTAAGATATACAGTATAGTTAGCTTTATACTGTAACTACAGCGAATATTGCACTACAGGAGTAAGCAGTGAGTCGGATGAAGATTTGGACTACCAAGATTCTTGTCTACCTCAGTTGGCAGACAGATGTTTCAAGGGTCTGATGACTAGCCTAACCTGTGAAATAGAAAGCTTAAACCACTGCTCTCAGTTTGGAGACTTCTGCAGGTAAAACGAAAAATATACCAAACACTAACCTCCTATCCTATGTTTGCAGCAGCAACCTCTAACTAACTATATTTTACTGTTTTCAATATCTATAAAAGTTTCAGCAAGTAAAAGTAAAATTAATGTTTAATAAACAAACAACAGAATGGTGAAAAGGGTGATTTTGATACACTTTCTCAACTAAAGAACCCTCCCGGAACAAAGAACCAACTAAAGGCTCTCTCTAAAGCCTAACTAAAGAAGCTAATGTTATCAATGTGTCAGCTATACTCGTGGAAAAGTTCATGCAAAAACTGATTAATATTGTTAATTTAATATTCAAAATATAAATTAAACAATGTCTGTCATATGCAGTGATTTCACTAATAATTTACAAGTATATTTATTTGATACCAAATTTAAAAAAAAATTTCCAATTTTACTTACGAGGTGTTCAATTTTTTTGAAAACATATCACATATTATAACAAATGTTTAGTATTTTTCTTTTTTAATACTTGCTGTTTTTTATTGGCTCTCAAGTCTAAAAATAGTGAGGAACAAACACTGAACCTGCGAACAGTAGCCGGCTCGGGGCACAGGCCCAACAGGAGGTCACGCTAACTTATCCACGACTATGGATGAAATATGCCTAGGCAAAGTGGACAATGGTATAAATAATTTCATTTTTCGCCTTCTGTTCTTGATATAATTATGTTACTCACTGCGGCACTTTTTCAACATGTGTCATCTTCAGATGTTCACCAAATACAAAAAACAAAATGACGATTAACGTTGTTTTTTCCCACGTAACCATCACGGTTACACTGAGTGGTAGCGGTGGTAGGGTTGTGTTGAATGTTTCGGGAGTAGAAGGTTGAATTTCACCACAGGTTCGACTGGGGGTGTCAGAACGGGGAGATGGAAATTTCCGAATTATACCTCAGGACTGCACGATTGGTTGGAGTGAATAAATAATGTCAAGAACCGAACAAAGCATAACAGGTTACTCGATTATAACAACTTCTTGAAACCGGGTAGCATTGCAAGTTTAATTTCTTGTTTTGGCAAACATGTCTTACATACATACACATCATATGAATATCACCTGTGAGTCTGGATTAGATTCTACAACTGAATTGTGCTGAGTAAAAGACTTTTCTCTTTGTTTTCAAATATCTCTTGAAAATGCTAAACTACAGAAGATTGAAATCTTTCAATTTTGCTTAAAGAATTTCTTTGTTTGTATTTACAGTATTGCTACTGAATCATTGCAGTGTGCTTCTGATATTATAGACAGCGACTGCCAAAAAGGCCGATCAAACTTTGACTCTTGGCTTAAAGGTCTGCAGGCTGCGAAAGAAAGAGTTTGTGAAAACAACGCTGCTCTACTCAGGGGTAAGCTACTTCTATATAATTATAAATTAAATCTTCGCCTTTAATAAATAATGTGCCTACCTACTTTATCATATTATACTGATAAGACAAAATTGTTCAACATGTATCTATCACAGTGCTACTTTTTAAGAGATATCAGGGGCGTTATTTGGGGGGGGGGCTGGGAGGGCATTTGCCCCCCCCTGGTTCCTGGGTCAGAGTGGTATTAACTAATTATGTCGTTTTTATTTTCACTAGTCCCGTCTCCTGTCAAGTTAAAACGTCATCACAGTGGCGACGTCACACTATGGATGATTTCTATTACCTACTTAACAATGTTATATAGCAGTAAAAGCATCCATTACTATTTAGAGTAATGTGCAGGGTATCATAATGTGGGCAACTTAACCTTCCATCTGGCGCATTGATTTTCAAACACCAAAGGGCGCTCACGGAGGTTACCGGGAGTACAAAAACTATACAATGATGAGTAAAAACATTTTAATTGCAATAAAATTGTAAGAAAAACATTTTTTATGAGTTATTACACTATTACTTATAAGTTGTATATACAATTTTAAAAAATATAAAAACAAATAAAAATACGTAGGTAGCCTAAGTGTTGTGGATAAAAAAGACCAACTTTTTGTACTTATACAGTACTATTGTATATTTAGAAAACAAATTTAAAAATTGTATAATATAAAAACACGTATATGGTCTAATTAAAAATAATCATTTTGTACAAGGACAACTCATTCTATCAAAGCTCTTGTAGACAAAAATTGCATCAGTGTATGACATAAAAACAGCTATGGTATTATGAAAAAAAATTATTTCATAAGGACAACTTACTTTGTCAAAGCTCTTTAGAAAAAATTGCAATGGTGTTTGAAATAAAACACCTATTGTCTAATGCAAAACATTATTTGTTAGAAGGACTACACGTTTTGTCAAAGCTCTTTTTCTTGAAAAAAAAGTTTTCCGAACTAACGCACCATTAGTACTTTTTACTAAATGTTGTTCCTTGTACTTCCTTTCAACACTAGCCAACAATCTCACAATTAGTTCTTCTTCATGGTTATTGCCAACCACAAAAACAAAATAACATATTCATAGTTATAATACAGTATAATGTTTATTTTTGTATAAACAATATAAATAAAGTCGTTGTTTGGACGGATATATCCGTCTTTAGCCCAGAAAAGAAATTTCTTGGAACGGATACATCCGTTTCCCACCTGGAACGTAAACGGATATTAACAGATATATCCGTCCATAGCCCAGGAAGGGTTAAGATTTTTGGTGTATTGTGGTGATAGCTAGTATATTTGTAAATTGTTGGCTAATGTTTTTATTATATGTTTATTTCTGGTATTGTAATTATGTTTAGTTAGGGTCTCCCTAAAAGTGGGTAGTTGTTTACAAAGCCACCGTGCTATTTCCGAAATAGAGTGATCATAAAAGTTAGAGTTTGACAATTTTGAAACAGTTTTTACTAGGGACCCAAAAGGCACTTTGCCAATAGTTTGTATTATTTTTTTTGTAGTTTAAACATATTTTTTGAATGAGGAGAGCTACCCCAGATCAAGGTTATTATTAGAGCAGAGGGTAATCTGTTATCAAGTTTGAAGAGCACAAAACAAAGTTGTTGCTTCTTACAAGTTGATTGATTCAAGGCTGCTTGCAACAGCTTATTAGTGTTTCAATTAACTAGATCAATAATGAAGCTATTGATACATGAATGAAGCGAAGGAATGTTTACTCAATAATGAACTTTGTCACAAAGACAACTCTAAGGCATGGAAATAAAAGAACAACTCTGTCAATTTTTACAAATTTCCATATTAAAATTACCCATTGATTGGACGTATTTTTTTTTTTATTTGTAATTTTAGGATGATATTGTAGTGACAAATATACACTGGTTTAACCTCTTTAAGCCCAAGGGAATAACAGATTCAACTTTTTTTATATTGCTTTTTCCTATCATACAATTTGATTTTCTTATAAAAGAAGTTGGGTGTGTTCTGACCCAACACCGCCTTATAAAGGCTTGGCCGTTGATCAAACCTAACAAACGGTCTTCACTAACAATACTGAACTGGTAAACCTAACACCCTTTGTAGTTTGAAGATAATCTCAAAGATTGCACTGCTTGCAATACATGTCAGATTGTCAGACAAAGCTTTTAACAGTTTTTTGTTATGTTCTCAAATATAGAGTTCGCGCGGCTTATCTTAGTTAAGCCGCGCAAGTGCCTGGCCACACGGGGCGGATGAACCGCTTCCTGTTGGGTTTTCCCAGTATCAGTACTCTATTAAAACATAGTTCAGTTCCACTCTTTTTAGTTGTCATTGACGAAACACTAATGTTAGTTTGTGCACTAGAAGCGTGTGGTGATCTGGAACCAAATGTTAACCGAAATCATTGGGTCCATCCTTTCATAACAAAAAACCATTTGTTTTTCAAACCTTTTATGAGCACATGCGAAACCATAATTCGGTGTTCTTTAAACATTGATCAAACACCACACAACCGGTTACAAACACACAAAATACAAACTAAAAAAAACCACTGGAAATGCCCGAAGAATATCTCCAATAAGCGCGGTGCCGCGCGGTCGAACCGTATCGTGTGGCCACTCTCATAAGACTGCATGTGTCATCCCCTCCAACGCGGCTTAACTTCGCGCGGTCGAGGGACGACATGGCGCGGCTCAACCGCACATGCGGCTAAACTTCGCCTCGTGTGGCCACTCTCATTTGATTCAATGTGTTGTCGAACCCCTAGTGCGGCTTAACTTCGCGCGAAGATAAGCCGCGCGGCTTACATTCGCCTCGTGTGGCCGGGGCCTTAGAGTTGTAAGTAAAGGGTATTATATATAATATTACTCCTGAAATCTGATAAATCTGGCTTTCAGGTTTAATATCCCTAATATTTGTTTGATGCACAGCCTTGACAGCTACCCCATGCTTCAACATTGAGGAGTTTCTTGAGTGTGTTGAAGACAAAACGAGAGTAACTCACGTTCTTGATCTGCTTCAAGTCAGCCTCAATAAGGACGAGTGCAAGTAAGTGCTTTTCATCACTCCGTACAGAAAGTAGAATTTTTTTATGACAGCTGATATAAAAGAAAATATTGCTTCCCAAGTTCTAACTTAGACATAATTTGCCTCCAGAATTGATTAATTGACATAAAATCAGGTTACTATAAACTGTGTTGTCAATCAATCCTATATTTGTCGTGATGTTTCGGGGTTAAAACCCCATTTTCAAAATTTTTCTCTTCAGTTGTCAAATTGTCAAACATATCTTCCTGAACTTGCCTTTGTCAATAAGACATCACACATAGACATTTTAATTTACAAAAGTTACAAGCCCGTCGAGGCTGGCCCTGGACAAAACCAGACTGCGGGCCTCGCGGGCTTGTACATAAATTTTGTAAATCTAAATGTTTCTGTGTGTGCTTATGTGTGATGTATTATTGACAACGACAAGTGCAGGAAGATATGTTTGACGACTGAAGAGAAAGATTTGAAAACAGGGTTTAAACCCCGAAACTAGACACCACGACAAATATATGATTGATTGACAACAGGTTAGTAACCTCATTCTATGTATAATTTGGAAGTAATTTTGTTCTAAATTTGCTTTCCCTTTCTCCCAATCAGTTCTCAATTTGCTCACTACACAAACTTTTGTTTTATTTCATATAGAGGGTTAGTAAACAGTCTGGAGACACCCTGTTAATTTTTTAACAGACCATACTAGAAAAACAAAACCTGGCAAACCTGTATGGCATGTTATGAAGTACTTTTTGGGCATAACCGCCACTTGGTGTACATCCCCAAAATGGGGGATTTTGGGGGAAACTCAAAAATTTCAAATTGTAAGACCCATCGAGTGACCCCTCATTTTGAAGGTCCTCGTAAAAGAAAACCAAAAATGCAAACTAGAGGTATCTATCTTAATCCAGTAAAAAATGGCAGCCTAATTGCTTCTTGGTTCCCAAACCCATAATGGGGGATTTTGGGGGGAACTCAACAATTTTAAATGTTAAGCTCCATCGAGTCACCCCTCATTTTGAAGGTCGTAATAAAAGAAAACTAAAAATGTTATCTAGAGGTCTCTATCTTGACACAGTAAAATATGGCAGCCAATTGAATATAAAATTGCAAGTTAATTCTGATTTCTAAAGATTTCAATCAGCTGCCATTTTTTACTGGATTGAGATAGAGACCTCGAGTTTGCGTTGTCAGTTTTATTTTATTACGACCTTCAAAATGAGGGGTCACTCGATGGGTCTTACCGTTTGAAAATTTTGAGTTTCCCCCAAAATCCCCCATTTCGGGTTTGGGAACCAAGTAGCAATTAGGCTCAAAACGTACTTCATAACATGACATAAAGGTGTGTAGAGTTTAGTTTTCCTAGTGTGAACCGTTACAAAATTAACAGTGGGTCTCCAGACTTTTTACTAACCCTGTATATACAGTACAGTAGACATACTCCCTCTTATCCGGACACCTTTTAACCGTAGGCTTACATCTGTTTAACTGGACTACACTCGGCAGAAATTACATCTTTTTAACCTGACAATTTTTATCACATTGGTTTAACCGGACTAGATCGGCAGTACAGAAACGACTGTTCTCATGGGAAAGATTTGAGACCAGTGATCATGTGTGATGTGTCTAAATACAATGCTCTACTAAATTTAAGTCGAATATCACAGTCCCGAGGAGTACGGATAAGAGGGAGTCTACTGTAGTGAAATCAGCTGATTTCACTTTTTAACTATCTAAATGTAGGATTCACCTTAAACTAATTTTACTGTGTTTCCAACATGTTTAGAGTGTTTACTCCACGATAAACATAACCTTGAATTTATAATTTTTACACTGTCGTGAATGTAATTAACACCCAAAAAAATATCGTAACTTCTTGGCATTGATAGTGATAATAAATTTAAACTTTATGTGTAAGTAAAAAAAAAAATTACAAACACTATAAGGGGATTAACAACCTGATTTCCAAAATATAAAGAACTATCAAAATGATTATGTTATATTTCAGCCTGTTACTGACCGCCCTTCCAACATGCAACGTGAGGGCTCACGCAGCTCACTCACAGTGCCACCCACCCCAAGATGCCATCAATGCCATCGTCTTGGCCTTCTTTTCCAACACTGAATGTGGACAGTGTCATCCCCGCAGTGGTCTCCTCGTATCTGGGTCTCATGGTTTACTCTCCGAAGGGTCTTTCAGTCTGCTTCTCTTCTCTTCGGCTTTGTACCTAAAATTCTACTACTGACACAGACGTGAAAGTTGTTCAAACAATTGTGCCTCTATAACTTAGTTTACATCTTGATTGATATCAAATAATGACTCTTATGTTAAATGAATACAATTGTATCAAAGATTACAGCCTAAGTAGAATGTTAGAAATTAAGTTATGTAAATAAGTGTTGATAAAGATAGGAGGAATGTAATTTATTCTAACTAGATTTATTTTTCACCTAGATTTATTCTTGTTAGATTTGGCTGTAATTTAACGTTATGAAGATTTGGCTACTCAAAATTGATCTAATTTACCCCAATGGACCTAATGAGGTAACAGTATTATCCTATTGACTTATTTATCTATTTTTCTGTATTTGTAATTAAAGATTTTACAATCATATACCATATTCCCTTTTATAAGAATCAACCTTTTCTCTCACGAACGAGCAAAAAGTATCAATGTAATGAGAAGTAAATGTTCTTCTATAACTGGGAAAATGATAATCACATTCCAAAGTACTAAAATATAAAAGTTAAATTGTGCGTGCTGCACAAACTTGACTTAGCAAGTTTCTAACTTTCTAATTAAATTTAGATCTAAACTTTTCACAATCCATAAAATTACTTCTTTTTATTTGCTATCCCAAAATATTAAGCTACAGAAAGTACTTAGAAGACCACGTAAAAACAACAAAAACACCTTTTGTACAAAACAAAAACGGCATATTAAAGCCGTACAAAACAGTAAATTAACAGTAAAAACAGTAAAATCTAAAGACTCTTCTTCTGCTGACTTTGTGTTTGACTAAATCAGCTGATTTTAAAATGCTAACATGAAGTGTATTTTGGTGTTGTTTGTGTACAAGTACAAGTACTGTTTCATGTTTTTAAAACAAATTGTACAGTCTTCAGAAGAGGCCGACTACAATATTATGTTCTCGTACAGCCTGAATATGGCACCAACTCGGTGCTGAAACTAGTAGCTGTAAGAAATTTTTAGGGTTATCATAATTTCATAAAGCAGGTATTTAACAATTATATATTTATTGGTAGTCAGGAGGCTACAACATCAATATTTACCTGGTTTTTGCAAGTTGCATAAAATACCACACAGTCTTCATTATTAGATTGTTTATTAAGTACTTCTATGTGCATTTTGAACATTTGAATATACTATTGACATGAGTTGAAATTCCACTGATCGCAGATTGCCGCAGCTGTTTAGGTTGAATAATCAAAACCCTACTGCACAGTATTAGCTTACCACTGGGTTTTCTTGATATGTTGTACACACATTTAATATTTTCATGTTTGATGATATCTATATCATATTATACGATATTACATTTATCAAAAAAGGACTAAAGGAAGTCATTTAGTTTACAGGAAGCTGGGTTTTTTTTAGTCACTAAAAAGCTAATCACATACAGGACTGGATTTCTAAACAGGTAATAGATTTTTTAAATTTATTCCAAATAATATTTAAAAAGAAATAGATCCAAGCAACTAAAAAAAGTATTGAAAGTTTTTAATAAATTTGGCAATTTATTCTTTTGAAGATTTTTCTACCTCCCTCAGTCACTTGAAATTATCTTACTAGATTTCTAATATGTATTTGTTGTTTTTATAACCATTCCTCATATTTTGCTGTTTTTATCCTGTTGAATTATTTTGACACTATTTATTGTACAATGTACATAAAAATGAATAAAGATGTTTGAATTGAATAGACTTTTGAAAGAATAGTTTCATTTATATTTACTATTTGTCATTCTTATGAAAATGGTTAAATTAAATGGTAGAGAGCATTTCTTATATATTTTACCCCAGTGTTCTGGTTTTTCAAAAACAGATAACTTAATGTTTAGTGGTTTAACCTAACTTAGAAGTTAAGGTTCTTTTAAATTTTTAAGTTTTTTAGTCATATTTTGTATGCCTTACCAGCTTGAGGATGTATTTTATTTTTTTTCCAAATTCTAAATCTCCTTTGTATTTTGGTAGCTGGTATATAGTATATAGTATAAGTAGTGTTATATAGTCAATGGTCTTTAGGTAGGAAATAGAACTTTCACAATAAAAACAACTTTTATTAATGGACAATCAGTCTTATAAATTGAGTAAAATGAGTACAATGACAGATTAAGAGAATACCAGTATCCACCGAGGGTTGTACAGTCAAGGGTGAAGTTCACCAACTCCAAATTTCACCAACTTCAAAAGTAAAGTCCTGAGAAGAAGGTGCAGTAAGGGTTGCCATGGTCAGATTGCATGCATTGCACGTTCTTGCGTTGTTGGCCACACGCCATGAAACGACATTGTGGGTGATGCATTGTGAAGCATGAAGTATTGATAAACAAATCTAACCACGGGGAACGGTGGCAACCCCTGTAGAAACTTCTGGCTGGGACTGTACTTTTGGAGTTTGTTAAACGATGGTTATTTAAAAATGATAATATTGGACTTAAATCACTCTGTTTATTTACTACTAAAACTAATAGTAAATTACTATTGGTTTTACTGCTAGATTTTACTATTGGAGATGGTGAAATTTGGAGTTTGTGAAACGTTCCCAGTCATATTGGCATAAAAACAACTAAAGAGCTTTAACATTGAAAATATACAAAACCACATTAACTATTTGTGAAACATTTGTCGTTTGTTCCACATGATGAAATAATTAATTTAAGTTTGGCTTAGGCCTACAATAACTTAAACGAAAATGAAACATGACAAAGATAAAATACTAATTTGGCAACAGTAGGTCTACTTAAATTAATTTATAATTGGTACAGTTGATTGTTAACTGTTAAGAAAAATGTACCTGAATTCATAAGATTATTTGATACAACATTGTAGGAATGTTAACAAAAAATACAAGTTAAATAAATAACAACATAACTATTAAATACAAATTTTGTTTGAATTGGTGGTGAACATGTGTTAAGGCACTTGCAAATTTACAATATAATAACAACTTGGTCAAGCCTTTTTTTTACTATTTTTATTTAACTATTAACAATGTTAACACATGACGGGTTACAATATTTAATTTTACAGAATGTTGTTTACAATTGAGCATATTTCTGTGATGGACAAGTTGAAGAAATTTAAATTTATATTGTGTCAAGAATGTAACATTTCTAGTTGGACACAGATTAACAAGAATTTTTTTATGGTAAAATACTTTACAATTACAATAATGGGGTTGAATTATAAAACTACACGATTTAAACTTTTGTACTTGATATTTGATGTTAATTGAAAATGGATGTTCCAATCACATAACTTAAACTAGGTAGAAAATTTAAGCTCACCTGATCAAAAAAATATTCTATAATAAGTATAGATGTTTTACCATCACAGATTAAGTTTTAGTAAGTTTTTATAAAGTCTATTATAAAGTTATAAACCTTAGTGCATTCAAAATTTTTATTTCGCTAAGTTTACACACTAATAAGTTAACAGAAATTTCCCTGTCCTAAATTGTTGTATTGTTTTGTTTTGTGTCCCAACTAATTACTGTTCTTTTTACAAACTTTTGTTCAATAAAATTTTGTTCTTAATGGGCCTATTTAGACCCTTAGTGAAACTACTTAAATTAATAAGTAACATAAATATCTAAATAAATAACAAAATAAATTCGCGAAGCGATGAGGAACTATTTAGCTTTGATAATCAAGTCTGTTGAGCCCCGCCAGCTTCACCAATGGTAAGGCTAATGAGAACTCGGCAACAGCATGGCAGGGCGAAGTAACACTAAGTGGAGGTTTCTCTTCCACCAACTATCCACTTCAAACTTCGTACTCAAACAATTAACGTATTCATAAATAAATTATCTATAAGATAGGTAACACAAAGTTGTCAGTTATTAAAAACTGGAGCATAGTTTCTCCCATGAAACACACAACACAGAAATAAATACTGACAAATCACTTTATAATCACAGTGGGTCTGAACTTAGCACCGAGACGTTGTGAGGTGATTGGCTTCATCTTACACAGAGAAGTCCCACTCTGGCGAATCATTTTCTTCACTGGCCCTCTGGTAAGCTAAAAACAAAATTGTCTTAGTAATGAAATCCACTAAATAAGGAACGGAAGTAATACTAGGGAGACCTAGAACTTGTTTATCTCTACAGTCGTAATACAAAGTGTAATTTTGTTCACTTCAATGGGATTGCAAAACAACAAAATTTGTCCACCTTTGACTTTGCTCACTCTGTATGAAAACTTACGCACAATTTTATAAATAAATCACAAAATCAACTTGTTTCATCAATAAAATTAGTTTGAAAATACAACTTTGGGTCCACTAAGGTTTTATTTCTAGCTTTACTATTCCCAATTTATGGTAATAGTATATTACGTTACTAGTCCTGAAAATAAGTGGATACGGGGGGATTACCATACGAGTCTGGTAATCTCATTTTGGAAGAGTGACGTATGATAGTTTACGCCATACTACTAAATCCGTTCATATCCTTGTATATTACCACCAAATAAAGGACTAAAAATCACTAGTCATAACCTCTAAGAGAGGTTATGTTTTTGTTATAACTACTCATTGCCACCTAAATACAGTATAATCAGCTGATTGGTGTCCGGTAAAACCCATTACAGTACAGTAGTACGCAATGAAACTCCATTTGATTAGGCTGGTGGCAAACAGCTGTTTTCTGGACTAAATCCTTGCATGGGAAGTTCGTCAAAATAGTGTAGTGTGGCGTAAAAGGACTTTATTTAAGAACAAAGCTATACTGCATTAAATATAAACTGTTGTTTACCATCAGTCAATCTTTAATTTATATTCGTTTAAGTGTCGTCTACATAAAATAAAAAGTGTTACAATAGTAGTAACAAAGTAAATTCAAGAACGTAACAACAATAGGCAGTAACAGATTATTAAATATCAAAGAAGATTTTACCGACAAAGTTACATATCCTCTATACAGTAAACTGGAGGCAGAGGGCACTGATAACAGCTGACAGATGACGTAGTCGTGTGAAGAAGGAAGAATGACCCTAGGCCTACAACCTTTGTGCGTTACCGTAATGTTGTTCTTGCTGAAATATTTCGTGTGATTCGGCCGATTTGTCAATAGTAGTAAACTTTTAAATAATGTGTGTCCGTATTCTTGTTTGTATTCGTATTCATTGTTTTATTTTAATGTATGACAAACACTTTTAATGTGAGCTGTTTTAACCTGTGCTACAGAGCTGAAGATGTATCGTAGTTGATACAAAACGCGTTCTGCTACAGAATTCAACTGTTTGACACCTTACACGATGCCAGTAGGCAAGCCAATTGTCTTGGCCAATTGTCATCACGTGGTTGCGGAATTGTCGTAGGCCAGGCAAGTTGAACGAGAACCTGTTCACACGTGGCCAACACTTGCCCAGGCATTTTACAGTGAACCAGGGTACTACTGCCAAAAGACAAGACAGCGCTATTGGCCTCTACACCGTTTACACGGCGCCAATTGTCACGACAACTGGGTTTTCGAGGGGTGGGGGCCTCACTGGGCCCAGCTTATTGTCCTCAGTTTACTCCCGGAGACAACTGAATTTCGGGGCAATTGGCGGGCCAATTGGCCTGAAGTGTTTTTACGAAGCCAGTAATTTCAAGCCAGTCAGTTGTCTCCTGACAATTGTCTCGCCAACTGGCATCGTGTAAACCCGGCTTCAGGCTACTGGTGAACTATACTGAATAATTGATAGGCGTCTAGGCTTTAGTAAAGAGTAAATTTTTACCGTAGCAACAGATACAGTGTGTATATTGTACTAAAACAGTGCAGAACGTCCACATCATCTGTCTCTGGTACCGTCTGTCTGTGCCGTCCCAATCCAGAGCATACTTAGCTTGAATGGGACATTTCAAGTACATAATTTGTTTCTTTTGATTCCCAAGGAATTTCACGACAATTATATTAAAATTTATCAGATTCCAGGGAATATTATTACCAATGTAATCATAACTTAATAAATAAATAATTGTAGTATCGCAGGTTACCAAATCTGAACAATGATTTCTAAAGATAATTAATGATAATGTGTTCAAACAACTTTAAAATACCTGTTTCGTACGAATGGTATAAAGCCGGTGGTCCTAGCTTACTCAAGTGTTTGACCAAGGTGTAGTCAACTTGTTTGGCGTAGGATGTAATGAATTTCATTCTCATAATATCTTGGAGTCCAGCCCTGAGGCCTGGATATGACATCACACATTGGCTCACAAAGTAGACGATATCCCTCGAGTATTGTTTCCTTCGGTAGGGTATGTCTCTTTCCACGACTGAAACATTTTGTTCAAATAAATATTTCATGAACGCAACACAATGTTTGTATATAAATACTATAAATTATACCCCCACCGCAGCAAACCTGTTGACTAAGTGAATTTCCATTTGCTTGATCTGATTGGATTTTCACTTTAATATTAATTGTATTAATATTATTAAATATTAATTGATGCATATAAGATTGATACCCCTTTTTAATAACATTAGGTATAACGAGTACTTAGCTTTGATACTACAGGGAGAGTAATAAAGTGTGTTTAAAATTCAAATAATCATTTGTTATTAAAAAATAAATAAATTGGCAAAATTTTATCAAAATATATCCATAGCCAGCAAACTACAACAGGTTACATATTCTCCATAATAATACATGGAAAGTTTAAATTAACATTTTTTTTTAATTTTCTCTGAAACCAAAAACACTTTAAGGAACACTTCAAAAATGGGAAAACAATTTTTACCACATAATTACCCTCAGTAAAACCCTAATCCTGTGGTGCTATAATGCTGGTTCGCGGACTCGTTTGAATAAACAAACTGCAAACAGTCAGTTAAGTTCACAAAAACCGACAAAAAAAGGTGTCTCAAAGTTTCTAAAAGTAATGTCACATTTCAGTCAAGGCACAATACATAATATCCAAACTAAACATTTACAAATTTACAACTTATAGGCCTAACCTAATCATGATGTAAACTGATAAAGTAAAATCACAACAAAACTCGACTTGATAGTTGTTGGTCAACAGAGATTCAGGTTAGTTACTCAGACAAAAATTCACAAAAAGTAACAGCTGGTAACTTCAGCACCAGTGGTGCAATCTAAAACAATTGAATACCACATGCACAGAATTTCATGGACTTTCGAATGAGAGAATTTATCTTATGGATAGTTATATATTTTAGTGAATAAAACCTGTTTTACGACTGCGACTATTGAAGTCGCTCTGCAACTTCACAGACACGTAAAAGTTGTTTGATTTGTTTTTGTTGTTGTGAGATCATATGTAATTATATCAAAATGATTTTTGCGCCATTATAAAGGAAAATTCTTTCTTATTGCATTGGTACCACTTGTTTCTTTTGAAGCGTGTTACTATAGTTTTATAGTAACGGTACTGGACTCATAAGGATCGTTAAGGCTCAATATAATCAATCTAGTGTTTCTAGCGACATTCTGAGTTGAATCATAAAGATCTAAAATTAATTACTGAGCCAAACCACATCCATATCACAGCCATTTTGATGATCTAATAATTTCTAATGCTTCTAATTAAATATAATAAGGAAAAGAACACTGAAAACTTCCACTCGTACCTTAAGGGTACGAGTGTGCTCAAGGTATAATTTACATATTAAGCTGAAATAAAATTATAGTTCCCTAAACCCCTTAATCCCCCCTTTACTGAAAGTTAGAACATATTCTTAAACATCTTATTCTTAGGTTAACTTATCAATTCGGCGATTCCACTCTTGACCATCGAAGTCCGTCCGCTCGCTCTGCTATCCGCCGCACAACTCCGACGCCCTCCCCGCGCTTCATATCCCCCCCCCCCCAAGTTCTCCAGCGATCAGCTGATTTACCGTGACGCGTCTTCGCTGTGACGCGAGCGTCACACTTTGTAGACAAAAAATATCACTTGTTATAATTTTTTTTTTAATAACCATGTACCATGTCTGGCAGTTTTGTGACGCCACTACAGAAACCACCTACCGCGACTATTATAGTCGCGCTGACAGTTGGAGGGTTAAGAATAAACTAAAAGTAGTAAGTAGAAAACAAGTAACAAAAAGTATTCAAACAGCTGTTGTGTTTTATTTCTTATAAATCTACAGTTTTACAATAGAATATTTTTTTATTCTCTCTGTAATATTAGACATTGACAAGGGATATTATTTACATTTGTACGGTTGCCAATATGGTGCAACAGATGTAATGTGATTCTTTACGTTCAAGATGGTCAGACGTTTGTGTTCCTACTTTCAGTGATGATAAGTCATTATAACTTAGTAACAGATTTATTCTTTGTTTTATAAATGGGGGGCCATACAAACTACTTCGATCGCATATTCTCGAGTAAGATTGACAGACTTTTGTGCGAAAATGACAGTGAAAGTGACAGCGAATTTTGCGGCGTAGGCCTATCGGACAACGACAGTAGTGATGAGACAGTGTTTTACGTAAATAGCTGTAAAACATCGACTATTGTAGATATAATTACCACTCAAAATACACAATTACCATACAACCGTACAAATACATAAATACATAAACAGCTACATAAATTTAAAATGTTTATGTAGGGAATTGAAAAAAGTAAGGGAATAAAAGCAAGAAATGGTTAAAAAATGAGTTATACTACATTTTTTGACATTATTGCTTTTATCTATTTAAGTTGAAGAGCCATATGTTTATGATTTTTTTACTGAAACAATCCAAATCAGCCATTTTTTATTGGATTCTAAAGGCTATGCTATTGAACTAAATACCAAGTCTCTCTTTGTGAGAAAAAAATTATATAGTTCAAATTAGAAAATTTTTATTAAAAAATTGAATAAAGAATAACTAAAGTATCTCGATTTTGGTCGTAAAATGAAGTTGAATGGGCTAGTCAGGTCTTGAAAGGCTATTTCAGTTATTTCTTATTCAATCTTTTTAAACTTGGTGTGCGTGAATAGGGAATTGTATATGCTAAATAAAAGTGTACTTAACATTCTTTCATAGAATCAGCCATCAGTAATTTTAGTTTTAAAATTTTAAATGATCGCCATTTTAAAATTTAGAATTGTACAAAGATAATATCTTTTCTTACATGGGTCGCTTCTACCTTAACAATGCGGTTGGAACAATCCAATAATAAAAATGTACATGTACAAATTAAATTAGTGGATACCTGGTTAACAAAGGGATTTTGAAAAAAAATGTTGTTCCTGATTTTCTCTTTATTTTTACCCAAGGAATAACTACGTGAATTATGTCCCTACCCTTTTTGAACACCCTTTATAATAACAATACAACTGAACGATTAATTGAGTTTTCAGGAGGAAACTCCTAATTTACAATGATTGGGAAACACTGGTTCTTGTTCAGTATGAGTGTTATTTGGTGAATCATTTTAGAACAAAGCATTGCAGAAATAGAATTACATTACCTTGTTTTTGAGTTTCTGGAGTCATTTTTGTCTCACTAGAGGGCAGGAAATTCCTATCCCACAACCTTGGCGGTGGTTCATTTAACACTCTCACCAAAATCCCCGGGGGGGATACATCTGAATGGGGCACTACGCCGTTTCCCAGCTCTAGTACGGTCATGCCAATACTGTAGACATCTGATTTCAAACCGAACCCTTCTCTGTTCTAGAAATCAAATTGCAAATACAGTTACAACATAAGGATTTTAATAACCGTACTAACTTCTAACATTCAGTTAGCCTTATTGAATTGTCATATTCAAAAATAAGGGGGAAGGGAAATACTATCCATTTGTATAATAAGAAATATTTGAAAGAGTATTTATGTTTTTACAAGAAATAGGCAATTGGAAAATTAAGCGATTTACTCAAAACATTTCTAATCATCAAACACAACTGTCACCTGAATTTGCACATATTCCCTTGCACAAAAAAAATACTTACAAAAGAGTCATCTTGACTTGTTTTCCTGACAGCAGTTAGTGGCTACCCGGATGTCAGGCTCAAGACCTATCAATACCTGTCTCGACACAGACACACCACCCCAATACAACTGCCAAGCTACTCACACTAAAATACGATCACAAAGAATTGACAACTTACTACTAGAAGTGTCATGTGTAGGCCTAAGGAACAGACGGATGTCAGTGCAAACGGATAGCTTGACCTTGAAGTTTTTTGACATTTCTTTGTTTTGATTCCATTTTATTTTTTTCAAATGAATTGTGGTTTTACAAAAATAATAATGTGGGAGTCTACTGCATATAAATAATGAGCAGAAATAGTTAAATATACTATTAATTTCAATATATTAGACTAAAAACAAATTTAAAAAATTGTCAAGTAATTGAGGTAAATGAATAGTCTTGGACAATGAGGTTATGTAAGCGGAAGCATATTGTGTCGGCGGCACGGTCGGACCAAGCGAGGAGTCGGACCATCGGAGGTCGGATTAGCGAGGTTCCACTGTATAATTGAAAATTTTGAAGCTTTCTGGAAACTTTAAACTGAGATTGATTTATTCTTTTACACATTTAAATCAATTTAAAACAACAATTTTTAAACAAACATAAATTTCAATGGACTGATTGTCGGATTCAAACCTTAAAAGACTTGGTTAAAAACATCTCTACTAACCTGTTGTAACATCTCAGGAGCAAGCCAGTTGAGATGTTTGCTCATGTCAACTAGAGCATTTGGGTCTGTTATTTCCTTCTGCCCAGGAGGAAGTTTAATCATGTGTCTGAAGCCACAGAGCTTCACGTGGCCTTCTATGTTGACTAAAATGTGGCTCGCCTTTATTCCTCTGTAAATTAAAAACAATATCATGCAAATTAACTATTAGTAGTGTAAGGATAGTATAGCGATAACCATGATGCCGTAAACAACATAAAACACTGGTCAGTGGTCATATCGTATGTGATTCTGATCCCTGACTTGAATTCAACAATAGTTTAATATCCAAAAGTAAAAATAAAACAAAGGCTGTGTGGTCGCTTGTTAAAAAAACTATCCAACCATTCGAGAATGTCCTCAGGAATTTCAGAACTTACAGCTGAGAGATTCAATACGTTTTTTATATCAAGTGTCAAGAAAATTGCAAAAAACATACGGATCATCATGAACCTGATTTCACTTTTTTTCTTGGAAAAGTAGATATGAGACAGCATATTTTTGAGTTTAGATTTACGTGTCGGTTGAAGAAGTTTTTAAAACTATTAATAACTTACGTACAAGTAAATGTTTGGATATCTATGGATTGAATTCAATTATTCTTAAACACACTTCTTTTAGTATTTGTGAAGTATTGACCAAAATATTTAATAGGATGATAGAAAAGGGTGTATACCCAACAGTACTTAAAAAAATTGAAGTGGTTCCAGTTCCCAAGAAAAATAATGATAGTTATGAAAGCTTCAGACCAATATCAATTGTACCAACCATATCAAAGTTGTTTGAATTACTAATCTATAACCAGGTGTATGAATACTTTGAAAGTAATAACATGTTTACTGATAGGCAGTTTGGGTTTTGCTCTGGGAAGAGCACAAATAATGCTGTTGTTAGTTTAGTTATAGATGTGGTTAAAAATATAGAGAACAAAGATTAGTTTGCTTTCGCTCTTTTGACAAAAGCATTTGATACTGTTAATCACAACATATTAATACACAAATTAAAATTTTATGGTTTTCAAGACAATTCAATTAAACTTATCAATTTGTATTTAAAAAATAGAAAACAATTTGTTAATTTCAAAAAATGAGTTATCTCTTGGAAAAAATATAGACATTGGTGTTCCTCAGGGATCGTCTTTAGGGCCACTGCTATTTAATATCTATATCAATGATCTGCCATACAATTTGATAGGTGAAAACATTAATTGTTTTCTTTATGCTGATGATCTAGGCTTGAATATTTGTTCTGAATCTAGAGATCAAATGAATCACATCCTGCAAAATGCTACGGATCTGATTCATCAATGGTGTAATGCAAATAGATTATGCCTAAATCTAAATAAATTGCAAGATTTAGAAATTTGTTTCTCAAATAGGCAGCCCCTATTAAATGAGGTAAAACCTTTAAAATTTCTTGGAAGTAATCTAAGTACAAAACTAGATTGGAAGGATCACATTGACATAACCTCAACCAAAATGTCTATACTGCTTAAGAAGATTAAAAGGTTGTGTAACACAAGATGTTTTGATAACAGTGTATTATGCACAGATACATAGTTTATTGAGCTACAGAATATTGGTGTGGGGGTTCCAATCATATACCAAAAAGTTATTTAAATTGCAAAAAAGAGTGATAAGGCTTGTAAGTGGTGTACGCTCTAGAACTCACTGTAAACCTATATTTAAACATTTCAAAATTTTAACTTTGCCTGCAATATATATTCTTCAAGTTCTGTTGTATTTAAAAAATAATTTAGAAATGTTCTCAGAAAATGCAAATAAACATAATTATGAAACCAGATTTAAAAACAACTTACAAACAGTGCTTTGTAAATACTCAAAGAGTCAAACAAACATTCAATACATGGCAGCTAAATTGTTTCATAATTTATCAGTGGAGTCTCGGGAGTTGTCCTTGAAAACTTTCAAATCAAAATTGAAAACATATTTAATACAAAAATGCCCATATACAGTGGAGGATTTTTTTACATGTCAAAATATTTCTATTTAATTGTGTCTGTATTTATATATGTATATATATATATTTTTAATACTAGAACTTATTATATTGACTGATTACATGTAAGTATTCATTTACTGTATTAATAACAGCATTATGTATTTTATGACGATTGTTAAAGCATTGTGAAATGTCTACAACAATAAATTGATTTGATTTGATTTTGACTAGGTTAAAATACTAACAGCTAAAAAAGATCAAGTGCTTGAGCACCAAGAACAACCATTTTCAAATTGATTGCTAATAGTGACTAATAATTACTCACATGAAGCAAAGAGAGGTACAGTACGCATTACATAAAAACATAACAGTGTGAACACATGAGAAACTTGCAGGTTACCCACCTGTGGATGTAGTTTTTTGAATGCAGGTAGCTCAAGCCTTGTAGTAGGTGTTTCAATATCATGCCTATGGCGCCCTCTGATAGTCCATTGGGGTAGTTAGTTGCAATAATATGGTCACAACTCATGTAGTTCATCAAAGGAGTCACCATGAGACAACACATGTCACTGACAAAACAATGCAGCAACGACACCAGTTTGGGATGCCTCACATCACGCATGTTGAGAGTTTCTTTCTAGAAATGTACAAACATCAACACATTATATGCAGGCTTGTTTTTAATAAAGGTTGGTGGCCACCACATGGGCCACAGAGGCCCGTGCAAGGAACGTATCCAGCAAAGCAAAGGGTGAGACGGTACAGTAGAATGGTGAACGTTACTGATATAAAGAGTGGCAGGGACTGGATCCGAACCAATGACATTGCTGCCCTGGGCTTGAATTCCGTGGCGCTGCCGACTCACCCCATTTAAAGATCAAATGAATGTTAAATGACAAACCTATAAACATAATTTTTCAGGTGATACTGAATGTTTGCAATACAAATTGAAACCCAAGATCTCGTATGATAGGTCACCTTGTTTGTCTTCAGGCTTATGTAACTAATCTTATGATTATAGATAACTAGTTTTCGGTCATAAGACTTAATGTCAAAAACATTAAATTGATAGTCAGACGTTTTCATCAATAAACACACTTCAACACATAACATTAACATTTAGGCTAAAAAGAGAAAGAAACAGTTCAATAAACGCTAGACCCCCATACTTAAAATCAAGACAAATTGAAGCAGGCTGCACGGCAAACACAACACAAATAGCTGTTTAATGCAAGTAAGGTCAAAGTTATGTCATGTTAAAAATAATTACTGTATGTCACTGTTAAGCATTGCTGAGGTAGCACTAGCAAGTCGTTTATAAAGTAAAAAATAAATTTCTAAAAACTCCTAGGAAAACTTGACTATCAGGAAGAATGTGTGTTGGTAGCCAAATTTGTAATTTTAAATCACCTAAAGAATACCTTAGCTTAACACAAACTATTAATTCAAGTATCGTTTTCGTTAAAATGTAAAAGGTATAAAAATAGATAGAGGCTTAAAGCTATTCCAGAAAAATACTCTTTAATTCATTGACGTCTAAGTTGTGCCAAAGCTGATTCCATTATCTCTGGTAGTTTAGTGTCTAAAAAATTTAGAAATAAACTACAAAAGTAACCTGCTCCAGGGATATATAGTTAGGGATTATATATATATAGTTATATACTACCCAAGGCTAAGTTAAATACTCACCTTCAATAAATTATATTGTTTTTCATTTAGCAGATCGAGATCAATTTTTTTCACAGCGAGGTACGTTACATCTGCCTTCTCCTCGGAGGTTGATAGTATCCCAATGAAAACTTTTCCAAAGGTCCCTTGACCAATGATATTATCTCCAATTTCGACGGTTTCATTGTGAGAGGGGGTCGGAAATTTGTTTGGGAACTGTTCCGACAAAGTTCTGAAATAAAATTACCCAAATAATTTTATGTTTATTTTTTTATAAAACAGTAGCAAAACTCTCTACTTTGACAGTGATAAATTGCTTATTGCAAAAGGTCAATCATTTACCATTATTAAATTCATTCAAGCATCAATGTAGACTTCAAGGTCAAATCAAACCTACAAATTATTGACTTTTGCACACAAAAAAGTAGCAGGTGATATAAGTAGGACCATAAATTTACTAAGAAATATAAATTCACACTACCAACCTGATAACTTGTATCAGAGAACTTGTTGATGCCATCGCAACAGAACTGCCACTCGCATCGTCTTTCTCTGCCATGGTTTTGCTGAAAACCTTTATTTGATAAGTTTAACAAACATGTGTTTTTAAACTTAATTCTAGCCTAGATAAAACCAATAAATACAAACCCTTTAGAAGCCCTTAGGAAGCTACTTATGGAGAATAGTCAGACTGGAATTCCGCTGCCGAAATAAGCTTCGCGCGACCGCCACTCTACTCTATTTCTATCTCTCTCTAAGCCAATTCTTTGTCTCACTCAGTCAGCTGAATTGGCCGCGCGCTCGCGATAGTTAGTCTACCTAGCAGCCGCGGCAGGAACTATCGAAAATTCAAATATTTCCAGACTGAATTTTTTACAAAGGCATTGCGTTTCTTAAAGGGTTTGTATTCATTGATAAAACATTTTTCATACTTTCCTACAGTAAAATAATTGTAGTAGATATAATTTCCTGCCGCCACAAACCTGTAGACTACAGTTAGCGAATTTCATTTCCCCCAATTTGATTTTCACTCAAATATTTTCTTTAACCTTGTCAGATTTATTCCCTATTAAAAAAAGGTTTGGTAATAATAATCTATTGACATTGTATACAAAATAAACACATTGCCTACATTAGATAATACTATAGTTTAATAGTAAAATTAATAAAAAAGAATGAAAGAAACATGGTTATGATACAAGTTAAGATATGAAACCCTCCCAAGCCCACATGTTCCTTACTATGTGTGGTCCATTAACTCGTTTACTGAGTAGAACACTTCAATTCAATTCAATTTGTTTATTCACGGCAGAAGCCATTGTACCATACCATTACATATGGGAGATAACAAGCAATAATAAATACCAAATAATACAACAACAATACAACAATAGACAAACAAACAACAAAACACAATACAACAAAACAAACAATAGGTGAACACAAGATGCATAAGAATAGTAATACTAAATAGAACGTACACAAATAAGTAACAGGTGGACTCTGAACAAAAAAAGCTAGCGTTACAAGAAGATATGCACGAGGATATACAGGTAACATGCAACGTGCAAAAGGCATAATAATAATACTGAAAGAGAAACAAGATGCATACAAATCATAATAGCAAGACATAGCAATAATATCAATAAATAGTGCCACACAATGTGAGTAAAAATCGGACTCTTAACAAACCAAAAAAAAAAGAAAGAAGCTAGCATTGCAAGAAAAAGTACAGGTGGTTAACAAGCAAAGACATGCAACTGAAATGAGATACAAGATGCATACGATACATAATAAACACGACATAATAACAATACTAATAAATAGTACATACTTGTCAATAGTAACAAGTAGACTCTGACCAAGACAAACACAAGAACAGGATCAACATGAACGAGAGATAATGTATAATTTGAAATTGCAAATCAATGTACTCCCTCAGGGGGGTAGCCGCTAGCATTGACTATATAACCACAAGTTGTGGTTATATAGTCAATGCCGCTAGGAATCAGAAGAAAATCGCAAACGTAAGCATAGGTTGATATGCTCATCAAATTACCAGCAAAAAAATTACAAAAATTACCAGCCATTCAAAGATTAAAAATGGCCGATTCAAGATATCTTTGAACGACTACCATTTTTTGACTCGGTTGTCTGAGTTCAAATTTGCAGCATTGTTTTCTGCTAATAACGCCCTTTAATTCAATGTACATATCAACCTATATGCTCCTATATGAGATTTCCTTCTGACTCCTTGCGGGACGTCCCCATGATACAATAGAAAACTGACAGTTCCTTCAAAAAGTAGATTTTTGGTGCCGTTTTGATTTACCAAATCTGTTATCGTTTGGAAAATTAAGACCGTGCGGGACTTTATATACACCCCGTATAACAGATGTATTACACTGGTATATGCCTTTAGCAATAGCACGGGGGGAGAGTGTTTTAGAGGTGTCTCAGCGAATAAATTACTGATGACATCTTCTTACGAACATTATCAATGTGTTCCAACTAAGTTAGCTCTTTATCTATGAGCATTTCCAGAAATTTGGAAACCCTGACCTCAACGACTGTATCATGGAAAATTTTATCATGGCTACAAGTCGGTATACATTCAGTACGGTGCTGTCTCTGAATATCATGTCACCTGCACCTCTGCTTTAGTCGAATGTCAGTTTGATACATGGATTACACCATGTTTTATCTGCTCAGCAGCAATTTGAGGTAGGGATATAAGGCCAGTTTCACCAGTTTTTGCAGACAAGTCATTTAGCCCATTCGCCATCTCTACAGGCTCCCGAAAAATATTTCTACCCACCTACAGTTGAATTGGTTGTGGCTTTTGAAATGAGTTTTTTTTTTTAATTTATTATCGACCTAGCCTATTTTGAAAGTATGTGTCCAGTATTTTGGTTACTTCATAGATTTTTGCTGTCCTTAATCGGTGTTTGTTATACTATGAATTGTAAAAGTTCCAAAATTCTATACTGTAAGTAAGTTTTTTCTACTGATCCTAGTAGACTTTTAGTCTTTCCCTTGAAACCACGGGTGATCCTGGTCCGTGATTCCAGCTTATAGTATCTTAAATTCTTTTAAGGGCAGCATGCATCTAGACGGAAATCGAGACAAGAGTTGAATGAATTTCCTCAAGGCAATCTATTTTATATGTATAGCCCAATCTTCTTATTCTATTTCTCTGCGGAGCAGGATTACTTTTTTGGACAGATGTCTCTGCTACATCTGATAGATCATGAGAGGTGGAGTGGAACATTATCTACAATAAGAGCGAACTGAGTGCGAAGAGCTTATATGGCAATGGAGATGGCAGACTGAATTCCTCATCGAAAAGTAAATGCTCCTTACACCAAAAAACAAGAAATAAATTTACTCCTTGGGAGAGGAAAGTGTATTCAATGAGCTAATAACCAGACATTAGATGATGAAACTAAGTTCAAAGCAAATTTCCGGTTTACGTGTGAATGTTAGTGAGTTTTGTTGAAGAAGTGAAGAAGCAAATCCTGAGTATTGAATAAATGCCGAATGTCGCAGTGTGAAATTGCAGTGGTATTCGGCAGGTAGGAAATAGGGCCTTCATGTTGTCAATGGCTGACCGTGATGTTGGTTTCACCCAGGTGGGTGAGCTCATGGACCACTTCAACTGAAACCCAATTAATATGTCCCTAAAAACAATGGATTTGAAGTAATTTTTCATCAACCTTGGCCTATTCATTTTTTACCCCATAAATCACAACAGGACTACTTAGGCTGTGTTCATGCACGAGGAGCGGCATCGCTATAATATAAACAAATACCCGCTCCAGTGTGTAAATTTTGACAAATTGTACAAGCGAACGGAGTGGGGGACACAGTTTTACCAAAGTGTAACTCTCTAGTTCACATGAAACAAATAACATTTAACCGACTCCAACGTGCGCGTAGGTAGGTTGGCCAAGTTGGCAACCCTCGCTGCAGACGCTCCTGCTCCCTGCTTTTAAAATTATAAATGTTCGGTAAGAACGCACTTTAGGCTAACCTAACCTAACCTACCAAACTTAGTACCTAGTATCCAAACTTATTCTACATATAGAGCAAGAAGGCTAAAGAGAGCCTGTATTGAACCCTAAAGCAGCCTAAGTGTGTTGTTCACCCACCTAAACATCACGATTATGTGAGCAATCACATATAACTTTTCATGTTGTTACTGTTATCACCTGGAAGGAATCACAGAAAAAATACAATCAACGTCCCTCCTAGTTCATAAAGGCATGCCTAAAGGATCGGTCTTAGGACCCCTACCCTTCATCTTGTTTGTAAATTACCTGCCTGACTATATGGGAGAATTCTAATAAGCTCTTATGTATGGTGGTGACACAACTCCTACTAAATGGACAAACGACCTGGCGGTATTATCTTAGATTGGCCTCAATAAGGCATACCAACATTGCAACAGAAACAACCTAGTTTTAAACACAAGCAAAACCAGCTAGATAGTACTTGGAAGAAGGGCGTCCAAAGTTTGCATCATCCCAGAAGTGAAAACGGAGACACAAGTCAAGTTTTTAGGCATCACTATGGATGAAAACATCACCTGGACCGCACACATAGACATCCTGTGTAAAAAACTAAATACTACCGTCATAAAACAAATAAAATCTCCTAGTAACCTAGAAACAGCAAAAAGCCTATTCCTCATTGTGAATTCCAAGTACAATATGGCCTTTCTGTATAGAGGCAGTACAACGAAAGTCAGCCTCAAAAGAATTCTGACATTACAAAAGAAACGTATCAGGATCCTGGCTGGCCACCTGGATGGTTGCAGAAATGCTTTCAGAGCAAGGAAAATAATGTAAACAGTCTCTCTGTATACCCTAGAGACACATGGATAGAAAGGATCTGCAAAGGAACAAGGGTATTCACCATCACAAACCTTAGAAATGGTAAACTGTACATCCTGCCAGCTCACCACCCAAATCTGTCTGAAACTAAACCATCCAAACATCAACAGAAAACTCCACAATTCACTGCTTCAAGGGATGCACGTACCAAGAAAGGGAACTTGCTGCGATCGGCACTGAAAGCATGGCTCCTGAACCACCTGTTTTACTCCCTCAAAGAATTTTACTATGAAAATCTTACCCACAGCTGACTCCAAATTTTAATCCAACAAAATTATTATTTTTATGCAACTGCAATTTGAAACTATTTGTAATATCAACGGTTGTAAATAAGATTACTCTGATGCTGATACTCACTTTAATACAGGAACAGCACTGTCTGCTTTTATTACTGCATCAACCAGCAGTCTTGCGAGGAAAGTCTTCCCCGACATGGAAAGGTGCATTCCATGCCGGGTGAAATAACTTCTTCTTATTTTATTGAAGTCGAACAGTGTTACTCTTGAACACTGTTCACATAGTTCTTCTAGAAATATGTTGACCTTCTTCGTTTGCTTGTTCACAGAGTGATTTTTGGAAAGGTCATGACGGTGGGGGAGCGTGGCCACAATAACTGTGGTTGCGGTCTTGAGACGACTAGCTAGTTGCTGCTCCATATACCTAAATATGTTGTCCTGTTCTCTTGCCGCTACATCATTAGTGCCAGCTATGAGGATGCAGCAGCTTCCAGGAGGTGGTGCTGATCCAGATGTTACATCTAGTAACTTCGCCCCGGGCTTACACATTCCTACCACTTTAGTGGTGTGTACCATAAATGTTTTCATTAGTCCGGCAATGTGGCGAGCGTGGCTGTCACCCTCTATGCATATATGTGAAAAAGAAGTACGCCTAACGTTATTTGACATATTGGAATGTTTTAGAGTTGAAGGTAAGGTGTTTTTATCTTCCAGCCACCGTCCAATGCTCTGCTGGCGTTTATCATAATTCAAATGTAGCCTATTTAGGGTAAATTTTGAAGAAGAACTTCAATTATAGTTTTAAGTCTGCAACAGGGAAGGTAAGAAAGTGTTTTAGTGAAATTTTAATGGCTTATTACCAATATAAAATGAATAGTTTTGTCCAAATTTGACAAATTATATGCATAAACAAGTAAACTAAATAAATAAATCAATAAACTAAATGAGCTTATTAATAAAAATAATAATAAGTTTTTGGAATTTTATTTGTTACTATTCGGCCTACTCAAAACAACACTGTATAATAAATTATCTAGCCTATTTGTTTTTAAGCTTTTTAAGCTACAAAATGGATTATAAAGAAATTTAAAATGTTAAGTTTTGACGATAAAAATGGCAAAAACCTATTTTTTATTGTTAGGCTAAAGTAAATTTGCTAGGTCTGCAGGTTTGCTGCCACAGAGGTATTCATGAGTTATCTTTCACAAAATTCTTACATTATTAGTTTACTATAGTGTATAATAAATAAGGTTTGTGCTTTGCAATGGTGCCAACACCATGAGTTTTATGATGAGTTATAATGAGTTTTATGACTGAGAATACAGAACCGAGAGATACAGTAGAACCCCTCTTATCCAGCCACTATAGGACTGAGCTGGATAATGATTAGGCCGGAATATCCCACCTATTATAAAATGAATAATTGATACCGAATAATAATAATATGTAAGTACTGAATGTAGGTAGTTCAAATAATGTTGTAAAACTCTTTTACCTACGACCGTTTATTAAAGTAGCCGTTTCATTACAGTTATTAGAATTGAAAAGTATCTCATAACATCATTGTTTACTTTCATAACAGCATAGTTTTACTCATAACAACACGGGTAACAGACCAATGAGGTTCAAGGATTGGGAGAGGAGAAGTAAAATTGTAATGATTCGAAATTCAACTAATCAGCTGTTCAGGCCAATTTAATTGTTGATTGGTGCAATTAGTGTTTGATACAATAAGAGGTTATAAACGAAAACATAACCCCTTTTAGAAGTTATGAGCAGTGATTTTCAGTAATTAAAACAATGTCGTAGGTAAAGTAGTATACGCAACTCGCGTAAATAATGTTAACGACACTCGTAGAAGTTTTTAAGGCACTCGCCAAGGGTTGTACCTTAAATTTTCTACTCGTGTCGTTAACACTATCTTTACGCAATCGTTGCGTAAACTACTATAGAGATTGTTTTTTTAATGAAAATTAAAAAATAGAAAGAACATTTTTGTTCAATCACCACGTTACGTTTTTGTTTCCATACAATCATTTTCACGACACATTGTACAATGCTGCAGGCCTACATAATAGACACTGCAACATAATAAACATTACTTGAAAAACAAAACAATTACTGTAGGTACTTAAAACGAAGCACACTGAAAATAATCAAACATCTGTTTAGAGGTTGGTAAGCTTAAATACTAGCTCAACTGAATGGTGACAGTAAAATGTAAACAAACAGATAAACCGTGACAAAGCTCCAGTCGCGGAGAATAGTGCTACAAGGGTAGGCCTATATATTTTGGTTTTGCCTTTCGAGAAGTGGATAGATAAACCAAGGACAGTTAAAACAGAGGCCGGATATGAGGAGTATTACTGTACCTACTAGGTCAGTGATTTTGATTAGCCTACGTACACCAAAGATGTTTTCTGAGTACAACACTCTTTAGTAGGATTATATAAAATCAAAATAATAATCACATTTAATAATCCATTTTGTAACTAACTTTAGACACAGTCCCCGCAAGAACCAATTGTTCTTGTTTAAGTTACAAACTTTAAATAGTCCACTAACTTAACAATTAAAATTACTAGGCCTAGACAAAGCTTTAAATATCCTGCTTCTGACTCAGTAAATTTCCATTTGACCCATTGGCACTAAAACATTTCTATAAACGTGTAATTTATTCGCTTTTAAAAACATTAGATTTAAGAGTAGGCCTACTTAGGTTAACTACAGGCTACAGGGTAGGTTAACAGGAGTGTGTTTTTCAGTAAAAAATGTTAATATGTTACGTTAGTATGAAACAGATAAATTTGCTAAACCATAATTTACCAGTACCCAGCTTACTAACATGCAACCTACGTACAAACACACTAATGAAATGAAATGAAATGAAATGAAATGAAATGAAATGAAATGCTTTATTGTCGTTAAAACTGAGTACAAAGTTCATGACAATCGTCAAAAGAAAAAGAAAACAATCAAGATGGCAACTAAAACTAAAACTCTAAACCAAAGTACTCTTCATGTTTATACAGGCAAGCCTGGGTTAGAGTAGTTTTTAAAACATGTTTAAATTTTGAAACACACAGGTTTTTGATGGATGCAGGCAAGAAATTGTACATTTTAACACCTTGGTACTCAAAACTATTTTGAGTGGCTGTATACTTATGCCTTAGTGTAGACAGATTATCTTTAGATCTAGTACAATAGTTGTGAACATCAGATATCTTTTCAAAGTGAGAAATGTTTTCTTTTACATACAACAAACTTGCCAAAACATACAAGGATGGAAATGAGAGAATGTTAAGACTCACGAAAAGGGGCTTACAATGTGTTCTTCTATTCACACTACAAATTAACCTCACCGCCTTCTTTTGTAAAGTAAAAAGCAGCCTGTTAGCACTACACAAAGGCATACCAAGTATAGGCTAAGATAGTATGAAAAAGATAAATAGGAAAAAATAAGCTACCGGTGTACAAAAACAAACTAACTTACATGTACAAGGACAAAAGTTTACTTAATTCTCTGTATGTAAGAATAATATGGAATCCCGTCTCAGTTTTTCTCACCTGAAACCAGAAAACACAGTCAGTTTTTTTTTCATTCACTACTACGGTACATAACCATTTGTGTATACCCTTATCAAATCACTTATTTGGCCATTCAATACAAGCAATGTAATAGGCTTAGTCATAAGCATTAATAAAACCTGCACAACTTTAACTAAATTAAAATAATGAAAAAAAAACAAACATGCTAGCATAAAAAGCAAAAAAGCATAAGCTAAAGCAACTGTTCAAAATAAGCTAGGGTAAACTTACTTTATATGCTCCTTTTTTAAGATCTACATAATGTTTTGATAAAAAATGTGTGCAAAAAAGTTTATGCTTAAGTTACCTTTGCCCCAAAAATCCCGCTCCTAGCCTATAGTTTGATAATGCTGTTTTGCAAACTCGTGTTTGGAATTTCATATAAATTGGATGATATCCAGGCCTAGTTGAATTAGGCCTATTGTGTTAGCTTACTTACATATTTTTGAAGATTAAATTTTGCTGCACTTTTCTTTACGTCCTACAAACAACCGAATGATAATATCAATTATTCAATTGTTTCATTCGTTATATCATTTGGTTAGTTAGGTTAGGTTAACCTTACCTAACTAACAAAACAATATATCGAGCAATCGATATATCGATCGATATTTTCATTTGAATGTGTGTAGGACATAAAGTACAGTGAAGCCATAAATTTAACTTATGGCATAGATAAATATGAATGGATGGTGTTTTTGGCCCCTAGGAACACCAAAACCAAAAGGTTGGTCCTCGGTTTAGTTCTTGGGTAGTTAGGACCTATTCCCTCAAGGGAAAATTTGCTTAGTAGAATGGTAGCCCAAATAAAGAAAACTAAATATTTCATGCATTTATTTTTAGCCTAGGCATAACTTAGTGTCGACATCGACACAGGCTTCCACTATCACCCTTACTTTCTCTCTATGAGTGCAGATTATGTTTTATTGTGGCCAACATATTCAGTAAACTCTTTTAAGTAGGAATTGTAGGTTTTCTGTTATTTTAGGTTAATAGGCTTAGCTGAAGTTTGCCTAGGTCTAGTGATAGAGCACTGGACTTTGGTCCTTGAGGTCCCGGGTTCAAGAGTAGGCCTAGGCCTACCATTATTTTAACTACCAATGGACTTGATCTACAGTAATTGATAACACCGCCAACTCTAGGCCTGATAATTATTCCGTATAGGTGCCTCCAAACGAATTTTGAATTTTGATATTTTATAGTTTTTTTACCTCCTGAATCCAAATATACCATTATTTTTCACAGCTGATGAATATTTCTCAAGATATTGCCGTATAATATACAACATTACAATAAACAAGGTAGGATGAATGACATTTACAAGTGGAATGAACTATGGGATAAGTAAACCAACAGCTGATTGTTTTCAATCATAGTCAAGCAAATGGAAGTGACAACCTTAATTAGGCTAGCCAACTCTGATTCTGCAATATGAAAATCACCTGATTAAGTAACACTTTTCACTTTCTAAGACAAATAAGTTAATAATGTATTATTGTTGCCAGTATTTTATCCTTATTAATGATTTATTGATTTGGTATTTCGCCGTTTAGAAATTTCATAATAAAATGGTGCTATTCTAACATAACCTAACCTAACCAAACCTCTACAATGTGTAAGCAAACTCCTTTTGATGTCAGAAAAGGCGCATGTCAGGGTGATAGGTCGTGCTTTATGTGAATTGGTGACTGCATTAAGTCCTTTGAAGGTAGGTTAGATTAGGTAAGTTAAAGTTTAGGTTATAATGTATCATGTTGTTAGTTTATGTCGCCTGCAGACTGTTTTTGTTAACACAGACACAGAAAACATATTACTATAACCCAGAATGCCAACCGCGTGGTAAAAAGCATTAAGTGTTTTGAGAGAGCTTTGCCTGTCAATCGTAGGCAACGCTGGTGGCGCTGCCTACGATTGACAGGCAAATCTCTCTCAAAACACTTAATGCTTTTTACCATGCGGTTGGCATTCTGGGTTATAGTAGTATGTTTTCTGTGACGCAGAGGATACGCGTCCGGTAACAGGACGTGGATTAGGCGTCCGGCAGTTACTGTCATAACCTAACCTAACCAACCAAACTTGCTGATAATGAAAAAAATCAAATGAAGGTTAAATTCTCTTCATAATATAAAATTATAAATGCCAAAAATTCTAACAAAAGATGTAGGCCTACAGTTAAGAAGAAATTACATTCAAAGCAAAATCTGTGACAAAAAGTTAAAGAAACCGTTGGGTTTCGAACCAGGGACCTCTTGGATATCAGCCGAGCACTCTATTTACTACACCACGAACAACGCTGGGCGAACATCGTATCGTTGTGGTAATGGCGTTCCGGGACCCCACAACCCGGTGACGTCACTACCGGACGCCTAATCCACGTCTGGTTACCGGACGCGTATCCTCTGTGTTTTGTAAAATTAAAATCCAGAAAAAACACTTCAAATTACTATTCCAAAATGCAAGCATCTATATCTCCATAATGTGACGAAATTCCTATTATATGCTAGAGAACATTAAGTTATTTGACTACAGAATCACTTGAAATGTTATACATCCTATCTTGTTTATTGTAATGTTTCTACGGCGATATCTTGAGAAATATTTATCAGCGGTGAAAAATAATTGGGTACCTATATTTGGATTCAGGAGGTAAAAAACTAAGTATAAAGTAAGTAAGATATCAAAATTAAAAATTTTTTTGGAGGCACCTATACGGAATAAATACCCTAGGCCTAAGTTTAATCAGAAGTAATGAAAACATCTAGCCTACTGGCTAGAGCCTATTAGTAATCAAGATGTGAAGAGTCAAAATAATGAGTTGAGTACACTCAAGATAAGAATGAACTCAAATCACTTAGTTTTCAACTTGAGAAACCTGCCACTGGACTCGCAAAACTAAAACTTAATTGGCTAATCGCGAGTCAGACACGAAAATTCCACGTTATTGGCCAAAAGCAAGTTAGACACACAGAAACCTATCCTATAATGCCATTGGCCAAAAGTGAGTCATAAGTTACCGTACTCACAAAACATGTTAACAAGCTACAGACTAAGTTATTAGGGAGATAGGTCTAGTATGCCTCGTTAAACTACAAATTCATGTAGAAGACCCAAACTAGCCTAGGCACAATATGATAGGCCTAGTTAGCCTTGTAACTCGATTGTGTCAAGCTTTGAAACCAGTGCCCTTTTTGAACTGTTGTGTCTAATATCTCATGATGGTTGGCCTATGCGTTAACTAACATATTAATACCATCATAGTTTGGCCATCTTGGTGTTGGGCCTATGCCTATTAGGAGGACCTAATCATGCCTAAGGCTATGAGGACCTAGACCATGTTAAACTAAGGCTAAGCCTAACAAACTACAATTAACTTACGGAAAGGCTACAATTCCTAAGAGTTGTTTAAATATGTTGGCTACAATAAACTGCACGGATAGTGAGAATATGGAAGGTTTTACAGGAAGCCTAGGCCTAAGCCGAGATGCTGACACTAAGCCTAGTGGTACAAATAGCCTAGGCCCAAATACATGACTCGTTAGTTTTTCTTACATTTTTAGATGAGACTAAGTTTAATACTCATTAAGTTACTCACTATTTTATTAAAATCTTTAAAACGCGATAGAATTTTGGACTGGTCAGAACTCAGAAGTGTTCGTTCAACAGGTTCAGAATAATAACAACAACAACAGTTAGCGACTTAGCGGGTTAGCGTAACATAACATAAACGAAGAAATGGCGCGGCCCAGGCGCGGTATCAAGCGATCAAGAGCCATGTGCCATGGAGTAGGAGTATTATAGAGTACAATCATAGACTATATGAATAGTACAACTGAATAAAAGTAGTTTGGTTTGATACATCAATCTAGCTTTTTATGTTTATACACTTACATGTTTTCTTATTAAAATAATGGTATTTATTCCGTATAGGTGCCTCCAAACGAATTTTAAATTTTAATATCTTACTATATAGTTTTTTACCTCCTGAATCCAAATATACCATTATTTTTACCGCTGATGAATATTTTCTCAAGATATCACCGTAAAAACATACTTAACATTACAATAAACAAGATAGGATGGATAACATTTCAAGTGATTCTGTAGTCAAATAACTTAATGTTCTCTGTTTTCGTATTTCGTAACATTATGGAGATATAGATGGTGGACTAATTACATGTAGTTCTTATTTAGGCATGTCAGGGTGGTAGGTCGTGCTGTATGTGAATTGGTGACTGACCCATGGGGTTTTTCCCGATGCATTGAAAGTCTCTAAAACCGTACCTATCTTCAAGAAGGGTAACCCTGAAGATATGGGAAGTTACCGGCCTATCTCTATAGTGCCTATGTTCGCAAAAGTTTATGAAACCATATTAAAGAATCAACTTGTTAAGCACTTTGAATCAAACTGTCTGTTTAGCGACTCTCAATATGGATTTAGGAGTGGTAGAACCACCACTACTGCAGTTCTTAAGCTTGTCACTAAAATAGTCGATGCCTTTGAAGAGGGAAATACAGTTGCACTGACTCTAGCCGATTTAAGTAAAGCTTTCGATTGCGTTCCCCACAATCAACTGCTAGACAAGTTGTATTTGTATGGTGTTAGGGGGTCAACACTGCATGCCTTTGAATCCTATCTCTCAAATCGAAAACAGATAATGGCTGTAAGAGGGGCAAACTCACAACCACTGCCAGTTAAACATGGCGTGCCCCAGGGATCTGTGTTGGGCCCTGTGCTTTTTTTGGTGATGGTGAACGACCTCGGGCAGCTTGGTAACGTCTTGCTTTTTGCAGACGATACGACCATCTTTGCAGAAGGAAGTACTCCTGAGAAGGCCAGGGTCAAAACTGAACAGTCTTTTGAGATTACTAAGAACTGGTTCAAAGTAAACAAGCTCTGCCTAAATGAAGGTAAAACCCAACACATGACCTGTAGTCTGTCTCGAAATCTTATCCCTGGCAACCTGCCTGAGGTTAAATTATTGGGCTTCACTATCGACCCCAAACTCACCTGGGAAAATCATACGACAAAAGTTTGCACTAGGCTTGCGAGGGCATTACATCTCCTCCAGGAGGCTCAAACCCATGCTGACAAAGCAGTATTTGTTGACTGTTTACTTTGCTTTGTTCCACAGCCATCTCAGCTATGGGTTGGAAGTTTGGGGCCATGCAGCTGGTTGTAAGGATGTACTTCTGATACAAAAGGCGGTTAGAGTCATTTCATCTGCTGACTACGACGAACATTGTAGACCCCTTTTCAGAAACCTTAACATCCAAACAGTATATAATCAGTACATCCTTATCACCCTAAATGACTTAAAGACCAACATTGCCAATTATGCATTGAGAGAAGACCTACATGTCCACAATACAAGGTCAAAATCCAACCTTGATATCCCTTACTGCAGACTGAATAAAAAAAGAACAGTTTCCCTATGTTGGCTGTTAGGATAATACAATGCAACCGATTGCCCCAATACTTGAAAAACATTCGAGCCCAGGATTTTAAAAATCAACTGAGAGAGTGGCTACTGGCAAGGCCCATGTACTCCCTGGACGAATTTTTTGAAATATGCGTCTAACCTGAAGCCTAAACTGCAAAATGTAAATTTTTAAATATGTATATTAATTGTAAATAGTTTGACTCTGTCTATCCAGCAAGAGCTGGTCATGGACGTCGAGGGAGGTAATTCAGGTAATTAAGTGTTTTGAAGTTAGGTTAGATTAGGAAGGTAAAGTTTAGGTTATAATGTATCGAGTTGTTAGTTTATGTTGCCTGCAGACTGTTTTTGTAAAATTAAAATCCAGAAAAAACACTTCAAATTACTATTTCAAAAAATGCAAGCATTTTTTAAAAAGTAATTTGAAGTGTTTTTCTCAGGATTTTAATTTTACAAAAACAGTCTGCCGGCAACATAAACTAACAACTCGATACATTATAACCTAAACTTTAACTTACCTAATCTAACCTACCTTCAAAGGACTTAATGCAGTCACCAATTCACATAAAGCACGACCTATCACCCTGACATGCCTTCTCTAACATCAAAAGGAGTTTGCTTACACATTCTAGAGGTTTGGTTAGGTTAGGTTATGTTAGAATAGCACCATTTTATTATGTAATTTCTAAACGGCGAAATATAAATCAATAAATCATTAATAAGGATAAAATACTGGTAACAATAATACATTATTAACTTATTGGTCTTAGAAAGTGAAAATTGGATTATTGAAAATCTTTTTTTTTATAACAGGTATGTATACAAATAAAATCTGTCAATGATGACCAATTTGGTATAAAATGAACATGATTTTTTGCCAAATCACAGTAATTCATTGTTTTATTTGTATTAAAATATTTCCCCTCCACTCCCTAAAAAAAGTCCCATTTTAAAAACATCTGAACAAAGTCGAGCGTCGAGTTGCAGTATTGATACGTTAACATTAAAATCACCCACCACAATTATCTATAGGCTTTATATTCTTTTCTAGACCGTTGGAAATAAGTTCTAGGAAGAGGTCAATAGCTAGCTATTGTCCAGGGGGTCGATATACAGCTATAGTTCGGCCGCAAAGCGACCTCCTCCAGCATTGGTTTAGCATTAGAACACAGGTCGTTTTCTAAGCGGCCGAACTATATAAGATTGTTTTCGTTACCTGCAGTTACTTTTGCAGCTGTAATCTCGCACTTCCCTTCTTCGCAAAATTCCCTTGCTTCGATGCTTTAGAATCAATGCCCCCTTGCTAGTATGCATACACAAGCTTATTCATAAATTGGCAACAATACGCACTTACTAGTCTTAAAATAAAAGTCTTAAAAGTCTTGAAATGGTGTGGCCTTGTTGTCGTACCAAGTTATCAATTTTGTAAACTTTTTGTGGTGGTTTAAGTCTTTCAATGGCTTCAAAAAGTTCCGCTTTCCTTGTTGTCATTTCTTCGTAGTCTTTGCCGTGTTTTGACAACCACTCAACCATTACTTTCTTTGTTGAAGACTTATTAGGGACTTTGTCTTCCTGTTCTCCATGGTACGGAGCGTTGTCAATGACTATGACTGAATTTGACGGTAAATTTGGCAATACACGTTCCCTAATCCATTTTTCAAAGTTGGAAAAATTCATTTGGCCATGGTAGTCTCCTTTGGCACTGTTTCCCTTATAAATAAGCCGACCCCCCTGCAAAAACCCTTCGTTCGACCCAATGTCTACGACAATCACGCGGTTTGACGCGTTCATATCAGGCAACACACCATCGACGTCTACACTTTGCCAACATTTCTGGAACGTTAAATTACTGTCCATCCAAGTTTCGTCCAGATAGAAAATTTTCCTTTTTTGTTCCCTTAGCTTTCTTATCTCTCGCAAATACTTAAACCTCCAATTAACAATGTCAAGCCTTTCAATCAAACATTTTCTTTTGGAACCACATTTCTTCCACTTGAACCCCATATCTTTTAAGAGACGCCGAAGTGCCCATTCGCTCCATTTAAAATTATTCTTTCTCTAATAATAGTTTTTTACATGTAGGGACAATTTTTTTGTTCGTGTAAAAATCGCGTATTACATCTACAATTATACAATTATACACGCCTATCAAAGCTATCTATTTGTACTTTATGGTGGTCAGCCTTCTTGCGTTTTTTCCTGGGTGTACAGAGTTTTTCATCCGGAGTTTGTTTGCCGGCTTTTCTAATTCGTTTAATAGTTTTTTCTGACACTTTACAATAGTTTGCGGCACGTTCCGTTGCCTTTTCTATCGGCACTAATAACTTTTTGTCTTTACATTCGTTGTCACAACACTCGATCACCCGTCTAATTAAATCCCTCTCTCCACTATGTATAGTAGCACCATGTTTTCTTAAATCCATAGCTACAAGGACCGTCCAAAACAAAACGAACTCACTACGCGAACACACGAGACTACACTGAATCAAATGACATGACCACATGATGATAATCCACTTACCAAAACAAAGATATGAGTAATTATGTTTACAACAGTTGTTTACAGACAGACATCGAGGCGAGGCGCTCAGATGCTTAGCGCCTGCAAATAGTGCGCGATAACCTCCAAACATAGCTGCGTATAGCTTTGGCTCAAGGGACTTCTTTACTCTCGCGGACAGTACATTATCATAGCTTTTTAGCTTACAGCTTTCGAGTTCATGATCCCTGAGATTATGTTCGGACACAAAACAATATATGGTATTTCGTGTACCAATAACATTTCAATGACCTCATTTTTTGAAGCTAGGCCACGTATATTTTGATGTAATAGTTTTAGATGACTCGGGAGAGCCCGCATATGGCAGGCTCTGGAGCCGTCCACGGTGAGCCCAATTGCCCCCCCCCCCTGTTTACATATCTAATCAGGTTACCGAAAACCGATTTCAAATATCTCAAATAGTTAAAAAGATAAAGGGGGGTGGAAATTAATTTTCAGCCACCCTCATGGTTATTTGGATTTGATACGTTTTAGGGCGCCATTTTGTTATTAGTGGGCCGATTTTCGTTTTCTTCATGTCAATTGTTTTGTTTCGTCAAGCCCTGTAAAATGATACTAAACTCGACTATACTTGTCATTTGAAAATTTTGGGCTACCCCTACCCCCGATACCCCTAAGGGCAAAGTTTTCAAAATTTACCATAATTATTGTAGCCCCTCATATCTAAGAAGGTTGCCGCAAACCGATTTCGAATATATTAAATGGTTGAAAAGTTAAGGGGGGGTGCAAGTTACATTTCAGCCACTCTGTATATGTAATAAGTGAGGCAATTTTTTTTTGTAATCAGTACTCCTCATTCATTGGTGAACGGAGTTCAACATTTGAAGTCTCCAAACAATTCGTAAAAAGTAAGAAATTCGTAAGAAGTAAGAATTTCGTAGTTTCGCAAGGTTTAAAATTTTGCAATTTCCCATCCTCAAAGGGGTGAGGTGCCCTAAAATGTCCAGTTTTTCATCTAAGAATTACATAGGAAAAATCCTATATTCTTATATGAGTAATTTTTGCTTTTATGTATGTATGTATGTTTGCTTGCACAAAGATCTCGAAAACTGCTTCGACGATTTTCTTCAAATATTCTAAATTGTTTATTTCTGGCCTAAAAACGACTTTACTGCACGTAGAAAAATGAAACTGAAAGTCACATTTTTTTAACATTGGTCTTATGGGTTGCTAAGTAACCATGTTGGCTGAATTAAATACAGTAATAAGGAAAAAGTAAACTAAAGACTAGTAGTAGTGGAAGTAAACCATTTTGATCACACAACTCATAAGGTAAACACAGATGTAACGCCACGAATTTGGTTTTTATATAAAACATGTATACCTTATATTATCGTTAAAAAGGGTTTTCGAGTAGTATTAGTAAAACAAAGGTGGCGTATCGATTAGCTCCGGGCCACAAGTGTGTGTAATGATAAAGGTGACATTGTACTACTGTTTTCAAGAACAGTAGGCCTATAAAAAAACAGGTGTTATACGACCAATTATTTCAAATTAAATTGTAAAACTGATTCCAATCCGACATATAGGGGGGGGGGGGGCTATCCCCAGGCCTATATAAAGCCCCTGTCACACGTAGCTTGTTGCAGCAGCTAGTTCTCGCTGCAAGATCCAGCAGCTTTAGTTGCTAGTTCTCCAGCGCGCTAGAAGTCCTGTCAGACGAAGCTGGAGAACTAGCACTACAGCTTACAAGTTTGGTGATGTAATTGGAACTGAGTGCGTAGTTAACAAAAATAATGTCATCTGTTGGTATTAGAAGTGATGTTTTGTCTATGATCAGCCATCGTAGAATTAAAAAGTGCAAAAAAAAAATAAAATTAATTGTAATATATATATAAGCTTCAGCTCCTGTCACACGGAGCTGGTTTTCTCGCCGCTGGTAACTAGCAGCTAGAACCAGCAGAAATAAATATAAATATTAAATATTTATTGTAAACAAAAAGCTGCCAAGATGAATTAAAACATGTAAACATTGTTATTTTCCTATTCTTTCCGCAAAAAGTTGAAAAGAAAATTAATTTGTCATTCCTTTGAAGACTCAGGGGCAGAGCCTCATTTTGTATACGTCAGTGGTTATAGAATCTTTCTCATTTCCTATAATCAATGGAAAATCACAGAATAGTAAACTAACCTGATAGTTCTATACAATAATTTTATATATTTAACCAGTTGTTAGTAAAAAAAATTATATTGCACTAAAAATAACTTAACATTTTAAAACAAAGTATAAATAAGTCAAACCTATGCATGTCATTATTATCCAAATGCCAAATTTGTGTCACACACGCTTAATGTTTACAGCTGTTACGTTAAGCAAATGGTATTATACCAAAAGCTATATAGTGTAAAATGTTAGCGTCGGCTGCTAGACTTTTAAAAATTTTAAACTTATTTTCTAAAAACTGATACCCTAAACTAAAATTATGGCTTCGACATTCCCTAGTTCTCAATATTCTCTTTCTTTCAACATAAAAATTATGAAAATCCGTCAAGTGGTTGATTCAGAATCGTGAAATAAAAAACCCCTGTCATGTTTTAATATATAGGATATTTCCATAAATACTCCATACATATTTATTCCCAATAGTATAGTATGAAATAAATAAATTCCATAAATAAATCATTGTCACACTTTATTCGTATACTTACTTGTTATAAAAAAAAATTAAAAAAATCCCTAACTTAGTAATTTTTCTCCTTTTGGGGTAGAAAGTTTCGCTTTGCTGACGTTATAATTATTCTCGATCAAATGTGTCTAGTTATTAATGGAATTCAAGTATATCTAACTGTAAGCATTTATTATGTCTGATGCAAACTTACAGTGAAATGAACAATATTTTAATTTGATTTAATCGTGTTGGTTTACGGTAGTAAACAATCATGTTCATCATGAGGAACTTTTCAAGTCGCCGCTTATGAGAGGGCCTAGTGTTTTGCTATCTACTGACCAATGCCTTTGCAATCTTGTCTCGTTTTATTGATGTATAAATGTAGCTCTGGTCATTTAACACAGACACAAGTATGAGAGAGTGTGTTGCGTACATCCACGATCACGTCAACTTTCACGTGCGTTTTGCGGTCTTGATGACCATCATCTCAAACCAAGATCCATCAAATTTGTTTCGCTTCTCCTTTTTATTGTTTTTGTGTTAATTTTCGTTCCATTTCACTTCGACATACGTTTTCTTCATTTAATAGGTTTCAGTTTGGTTCTCGATTCCTAAATCAATCATCATTCCGCAATTAGGAAAATTCTCGTTCTTCAAAACGATATATCTTTTCTTTAAAAACTGCCTTCTCTTCATTGGGAGCCACATTTGGGATATGGTTTTATTTTTCTTCAAATTATTTACTATCGAATGACAGAAGTGTCTTTTGCACAAACACGTTTTCCTAACCGAGTAAAATCGCTTAGTCCATAAACACATTTCATAGTTTAACTTATTTCAATTCCATACATGGATAAAATGTTGTCATATTTCAAAGCAATTACTTGTTTTGAATATCTTTTGTGAGATACGCTTCGACTTCGACGAAGAGAGATTCTCTATTGGTGCATCGTGAAAAGATTGAAAGGACCACCCATGAAAGACCCTGACGGTTAGTATATAGCCTATCATTACTCATTAGTCAACTAAAATAATTAAAAGAGGTCATTTTTCTATTTTTAGGGGCCTATCGATAATGACATTGATATTACGAGTAATGGACCAAACAGTTTAAACATTCACATACACATTTTTATGTCTGCAAATGTAATTCAAATTGAGGATTTTATTGTAAAGTTATAACAAAAATAGTTAAAAAAATTTAAAATCATGTAAAATATCATAAGATATTTCAGTGGCTTATCATCTGGTGGACCATTTCTTGTTAACCAAGAGGTTTATAAGAAAAAACGAAAACTACTATTGTGGCGTCCTGAAATTTCAAGGTTAAAAATGCCATTTACGCACGAAACAAAAATAGGTTATTGTTATATATCCAATACTTACTGCATTCTTATGTATTAAATCATAATTTCTTAAAGCTTTTTGGGCGAAACTAAAAATCAAATATCTTCAATGTCTTAATATTGCAATAGTTTGTTTCAAAGATTCAAAACGGTTTCCTTAAAAATGTTTCTCGTGAGATCTTTCTATGGCGGCTTGTTTAGCGAATTTCACATATTAGAACACTTCGCAGCAAACCTGCAGACTAAGCGAATTTCCATTCTCCTGGCTAGATTTACACTAAAATATTTCCTTAAAACGTCAACATTAGTTCATATTTAAATAACATATTAATGTTAACGAGTACTTAGGTTTGCTAAAACGAAAAATAAAATCCGTTTCTGGTCCAGGTCTTTAACATTAACATATGAGACCTACGGTTTTAACTTGCCATGACTTAAACAGTCCACCAAATTAATTAAAAGCAAAATGTATTTTGACTGGGTTTGGTTTAAATTTCCCACTTTTCAAAATTTTGAAAATATTATTTAAGTACCTTATATAATCATTTAAACTATGTTTGTTATTTGTTCATAGTTGGGTTGCATCAGTGATCAGCCGGTAGTAGTAGAATGCTATCGTGGTGGCATAGCAGTGGCTTGTGAAGCCGTTCTAATTTTAGCTTATGATAGCTCTGTTGTGGAAAGGTGCCAACAGAAAGTAGACAACAACATTGCGTTAGTTGTCAACAAGAGGCAGACCAAATTGTTTGTTTATAACAAAGTAGCAAAACCTTTATTCACACAGTTTTTGAATGGGTATTCGGGAATGTGTGAGTTCATCAGCCTCTAGTATCCGAAAAAACTTGATTTTTATTCACGCTTTCAGGTTTCCGTGTCTTGTTTATAACGAATTAACCTTTTTTAGTTGTATAAATAGTTCAGTTTAATGAAATCTAGTGCGGGTCCTGTCCCTACTTGTCTGGGCTACTACGACCAGGCGCTTAAAAAAGGAGTTTTTGGAAAACGAACTAGAGGTAACACATCATTATTACTTGCACGATATGTTTGTTTATAAGATATTATTTCCTTAATCATGTCAGATTCATTATCTATTTCGGTTTAAGAGTACTTTTTCTGCTACAGGGAGGGTAATAAAGTGTGCTTTATTAGTAAAATGTTCATAGCTTAATACAAAATAAATAAATCTGCAAAATTTTATCAAAATATATCCACGAACAAGCAAGCTACAACAGTGTATTTATTCTCTATAAGACCATTATGGAAATGTTAAATTAAAGGGTTGTTGAATTTGTTTCGTAACCATAAATGGTATAACAACGCTCCAATATACACATTTTTCAAGCTTTACAAAATGGTATATAAAGAAATTAGATTGTTACATACTAAGCTATTAACTTTTCATTTAAAATCAGTTTACTATCTTTCCTGTAGTGTAGTAGGAAACCTACGTATCGTTAAACTGGAAACTTCTAAAGTGTTGAAAGAACTATTTTAGTATGCAAATGGAAATTCGATTGGTCCGGTACCATCGAACGCGACTGGTTTGGTACCAAGGAAGAGCTGGTTAATTGTTTACAATTATGTCGTTTAATTTGGTTTAAACTAGTTTAATGTTAAAACCCGAAACAACAGGAAACAAGTATTAAACTAAATGTCCCTACATTAACCAGACAGAACTAAGCTGATCCATAGGATGGCAAATTAATCTTTAAGGTAGTGTGTAGTGTACCAAACGGCTTTAAAAGTGGCAAATTTTCCGGGGAAGAACCCCCAAGAACCCCCTCCTGGTCTGGGACACCCCCGTTAGGGCCCTTAAATTTTATTTGTTCGAATGCGTGTAGTTCATTGTTGTTGTCATTCGTAGGCGAGTACTGTGAGGGAATGTCCCATATAGAGAATAGCTATTGCCGTAGCTGTCATGGTAAGACCTGGACCCGAGGCCGTTTTACTTTTTCGTTTTGATATCCCCAGTGGCCAAAAACACCATCCGTTCAAACTCATATACACGGCTCTTCATTTAGGGTCCGTTAGGACGATACATCGAGTGATCCGATTTGGACGAAATTTGGTACGAACGTGTAAACCTGCGTTTATTCAAACGAGTTTGCGAACCAGTAGGATCGGGCTATGGAAAAAGGGCTATGGGGTAAAATTGTGGATTCTATTTTTTCCCCTTAAAAACCCAATTTTCCCCATTTTTATCCAAACCATTTTGAAGAACTAAAAAATCAAATAATTCAGTATCTTGTAGTGTGTTTACAGTGTATTGGTTGTTGGTTACAGAGGAAATAAAAAAAATGAAACATTCCTATGACGTTATTCTTATGACGAATAAGTAAACTGTTGTATATGGATCCTGTTTGTGAATATATGTCGATCAAATTTAGTAAATTTATTTATTTAACACAAGTTATGCACATTTTACTAAAAAAAAACACACATTCCCTCCCTGTATCAGCAAACCTAAGTACGTGTTAATCCTAATGTCATTTATGGTAATTAGGCAAATGGAAGTTCGCCTAGTCTGTAGATTTGCTGTGGTGGGTGTCTTATCCTACATGACAAGGTTTCGAACTGGGCAACTTCACAAGTACTGTACCTGAAACTGACGATGGTTTTCGTACACCAAAACATGTCCTGAACGAGCATATTCTTTTTGAGCTGTCTGGCGGAAATTTGGATTTATTCTTAAATTGGATCCACGACCTCATTGGCCATACCACATAAGCCATCAACCAGATCAACGACGCAATAATAGACAAATATTTAAGATAAGAAATCGTTTAGCTAACGTTAAAATGGTTTTACTCTGTGCTTCGATAATATCTCTTAGATGCGATTGATTTAACAATTTACTTAATATATGATGCAGTAGTTTATTATTATAGTTGTTGTCTTAGGAAGGGCAATGCTAATCAAACGATAGTTTGATTAAGAAAGTGCTCCGGCAGGATATGGTGATGGGAACTGAACAATTAACCCATCAGAAAGAAGCCCCACTTGACCCAAATTAACTCCCTACTTGGTCGAGAAAGTCTTCAGCCAGAGCATAAACAGATGCTGATGTGATATAATTGATGAGGGCTAAAGGGATTGCTTATGTGCTCTACCATTTTATGCATCAAACATCGTTGTCACGGAATGTGTATGTATACTCGTGATATACACGTAACTCTTATATTCTGAGAAACTACCTTATTAATTTGTTATTTCATATGATGCACTATACGAAATATATAGTCCAAAATGTTGGATGGGATTCGAAACATGAATTTAACTAAAATAGACAACATAATCCTAGAACTTCCAAAGCGTACTGTACGTCTTTCCATTGACTTCGCTGAAAACGGTTGTTATTACCAGCTCAAATTTATGTGAATGAATGAATGTTATACATGATTGTAAAATAGTTATATAACGCAAATAAATAAATAAACTTTATTAAAATAGTCAGCCTCTTAGTCACGGATATTTTTAATTGAATACGGTTGGTATAGAGAAAGAAAGGTCCAAAAGTATAGCTATACAGGGTGTCCCGTAACTCTCTGGACACGTATATAGCGTTCGTTATTGCTTAGGTCAAGACAAACACATTTCACCATAGGAACATGGGTCTGCGGTGACTAGTTTACCGACTGTCGGTATTTATGTGTTTTTACAAAAACATTAATAACTCCTAAACGGTTTTGAATACAGCGTTGAGATTTTTCAAAACTGTTTATCTTATTAAGACTTATCTTTGTTTAAAATTATACTAAAAAATCATTAACCGTTTCAAAATGGCAGCACTTTAATATTTGATGCCAAATTTCACGAAAACCGTTAACTTAACTAACAAATTGCAAAAGACAAAACATTTAGTAAATTTTATGTAGTTTTCAATGATACCTTATTTGTTAAGAACGGATAAATAATAACAGAGAAATGCCTTCTTTCCAAATGCATGACAACTTTTCTCCATTTAAACAATGCTAAACAACGTAAAAGGAGTATTAGCATTGTTTAAATGGAGAAAAGTGCTCATGCATTTGGAAAAAAAGGCATTTCTCTGTTATTATTTATCCGTTCTTAACAAATAAGGTATCATTGAAAACTACATAAAATTTACTAAATGTTTTGTCTTTTGCAATTTGTTAGTTAAGTTAACGGTTTTCGTGAAATTTGGCATCAAATATTTTGAGGTGCTGCCATTTTGAAACGGTTAATGATTTTTTAGTATAATTTTAAAAAAAGATAACTCTTAATAAGTTTTGCATAATCTCAAAGCTGTATTCCAAACCGTTTAGGAGTTATTAACGTTTTTGTAAAAAACACATAAATACTGACAGTCAGTAAACTAGGCATGTTCCTATGGTGAAATGTGTTTGTCTTGACCTAAGCAATAACACTGTATACATGTGTCCAGAGAGTTACGGGACACCCTGTATAACGTAGTAACCAAAGTTAAGAGAAAAGTATTGTTTAATAGAACTAAGTAAAAAAATGATTAAAATATCAAATAAATACAAATGGGATGTATAAATACGTACGGTAATATTGTTGTTGAATGTGTGCAAGACACTTCTATCCATATCAACTCTTTCATAGTAAACAAGTTTCTTGTAAATTCCCTTCAAACTCAATTTTCGCTGATCGTTGGTAATTT